TACATCACACTTTGGTATAACTACATCGGAGTGCGAAAAATCCACACCCAAGCGACAGAGTTATACCAACCTTAACCCTTGTAGGCAGTGCTACGTTGGTGGGAGAGCTTCTCCCATGGATATAGCTACTGCCTCTCACAGAGGTGGGGTTATTAAGCCAGGAGAGCTCTCTCTTGTTGACTAGCGTGTCTTCACCAGAAGCGCTACAGCAGCTGCACTGAAGCAAGTTTGTAATGTAGACCTGCCCTCAGTGTCCCTGTGTAGACAAGCCCTTATCCTGTAAGTTCTGGAATGCATGTCTAGCAGAAGCAGTAAACAAAGCTTCACTGTGTTCTTCCTTATTTAACATTTAAATAGTACTAGAGTTTACACGCAGCAGTGTAGAGTTCAAATGTTTTCACATTTTCTCAACACCCCCTACATTTGGATCAGTGTAGAGAGCATAAACACATTTTATTGCATCTTGTTAAAGTGTATTCAGAACTTATTTTTTAAATAAACAGAAAATCACGTACAGCAACAATGTATAGTTTATTTTCTCTAATTTTAATGTGCAATATTTTCAGCAAATGTCTTTAAATTTAAACATACATCTAAAATTATATTCCTTCCTTTTACTCTGAATACAGCTACTGTTGGTGTTGGGGCTCCAAGCCTTGCCCATCATAGCCCTTAAACCATATGAGACAACATCATAGGACTGTGTGGTATGCCGATTACCTTATCCTTCCTTTGTCAGGCTGGTCTAATTTGACATCACGTGTAGACAAAGACTGATGTGAATGATGACAAGTCCAAACACAACATGCATGTGACAAAGCAGTACATGCATCCCTAAAGTGTGTTTCCACAGCATTCATGTTCAGCTAACTTTAATAACTTGACATACCATAGAAGCTCTCCGGGTAGGAATGTTAGCAGTGTTTTTGAAGTTATTTAATGGATACTTTAAGGTAACAGGCACAAAAATTTCCACCTGAATTCTCAAAATGAGGTAAATTAGCACACTGGTCTTCAGCACCCTTTCCGGATTCTTTGGCGCAGTGTTTATCCTAACAGTAGGTAGGCATCTCAGTTTTACTACAGATAACTTTTTATTTAGAATAAGGGAATTACCTAAATACTTTCTTTGCTATTTTATAACCTTTAAAATTGCCTTCTTTTTACTGTTACATACTGGTGTCAGTTTAAAAATATATCCCTTGTTATTCTCAGTTGGTTCCTGGTTTTAGTGCATAGTATTCTTGGGGTCTTTATAAGAAAACTAAACCTTATTTAATGCAATAACTCAGCTGCCCCCCCGAAGAACCAATGGGTAAAATACTGAATGACTAACAATCTCTTTAGACTGCTTATTGCTATATTTATTGCTCATTACACCTGAATGTTTCTTGCATTCAGGAGGCATGATACATGGATAGTGTTTAGTCATGACAGCTCTGAAATACCAAATGAAGACTTAGAGTCTGCTCTTGAAGACTGCTCTTGGAGGATTGCCTTTGCAGGGTTTTTGACACAACCTCCTTATTTGCTATACAAAGCTAACTGTAATTAAAAGAGAATGACATGATGAAATACTCTTAAAATAGAATTAAGAAATATTAGATTGGAATTCACTTAACTTGAAGGTTGACTTTTTTTTCAAGTTTGATGGAAAGCTACTCATTAGGGATTCACAGGTTTAATCAATGTTCATGTGAATTTGTTTCAGAGTAGCAGCCATGTTAGTCTGTATCTGCAAAAAGAAAAGGAGTATTTGTGGCACCCACCTTAGAGACTAACAAATTTATCTGAGCATAAGCTTTCATGAGCTACAGCTCACTTCATCGGATGCATTCAGTGGAAAATACAGTGAATGCATCCGATGAAGTGAACTGTAACTCACGAAAGCTTATGCTCAAATAAATTTGTTAGTCTCTAAGGTGGGTGCCACAAGTACTCCTTTTCTTTATGTCAATTTGAGAATCTCAGATTTTATCCTTTCATGCTGAGAAGGGATTTTCCCCAATGGGAAGTAATATAATGTAGAATTCATGAGTACTGGGTGTTTGTATTTATTTTTTGACTGAGGGGGACATCCCAAAGTGGGCACAAAGGACTAAAAAGAAGGATCTTTAATAAAACCTCAACTGCCAGTCTTAAATTGCAAATAGAAATTATTTGCATTAATACAACTTGTTTTAGTATCAAACATAAGGTAGTTCAAATTTTTCTGCTGTTGCACTCAGTGCAAAGGAAGAAAATAAAACTTCACTGAAAAGAAAGGAAGTTACTGTGCCAAACTTTACTGGCCAAGTGATATCTGCCTGATACTTTTTAAAAATTCAGAGGAGAGTTAGAGAGAGTCTCAGGAGGCAGCACTTTTATGAAAAAAAAGCAGGTCCTCTAGGTCAAACCTCTTTTAGATTTCAATACGTTATCAATTTGCTTGTTCACAGATGTATTTTCTTAGCTGTGCTACAAACTATTTCAAGACCCTCTAAATGAAAAATCTGATTTATCAATTCACATTATATTTATATAGAATATGTTAAATATTGCTTGTTTTAATTATTTGGGAAATCAGACACACATCTAACAATATTTATACCTCGGGTCTCAGTGAAAAAAAACTCAACAGTTTAATTTCCAAAACCAATTTGATGTCAAGCATGGATCTGGTTTTATGCTACTGATAGCATATTAAATAGGGAAACAGTTAATCTTGGTCAAATATAAAAAAATCGTAAACTGGAGTAACAAATCTTACAGATGGTAATTAAAAATAAAATCTAACCTTAAGATTTTTTTTAAATAGACACAGAAAACATGACCATGTGATATTCTGTTCTGCTGTCAGCGGCAGAAATTAAGTCATAAAGCACAACGTAACTACTGATGGGTGTTACCAAAATTGTGTAGATATTAGTTATGATTTTTACAAATACAAAAATTATAATTTTCATTCCAAAAGAAACAAAGGACAAAAATGTACATCAAAGGAAAGAGATGTTAAATTTTAGCCTTATAAATGTATAATTACAAACTATGGAGAATAACAAACATGTCCCCTTCGAGACATTCATATACCTGAAAATGAATGTGTATTTGTATTCAGTTAATTATTCTGGGGAAGAAAAATCTAGAGACATTAAAGATCTACAGACAGCAAACCTGTTTTCTATGTATGACAAATCTTCGTGGAGATAAGACCGACACACACAACTATTCTGATTATCCTTGAATTTATCTGAAGACAGACCTGGCTGCATTGCTTTTGGGTGACAATTAGAAGTGGGAAACCTGAATATCCTATCAAATGCCAAGAATAGTACTGACAAGAGGGAATTTATCACATGTTGGCTAGAAGTTCATTTCTGTCACCTGTTGACTCCTTACCTTAGTATGCTCTTTTTATTGTCTGGAAAGTTTCTATGGCAAGTCCCAGTTGATCTGTTTAGAAAACTTCAGAAGTTGGGATGGCCAGCCTCCATTATCTGGAGGCATACTGACCAACCATGCAGTGGTTATTTATGAGGTTAAAAATATGTAAGATTTATCTGTTCATGAAACAGAAAGTATAGTGATCTATGGTTAAGATGTAACTACCAAATGCTTCAGAAAATATATTAAAATCTATTTTAAATTTTGGAAAATAGCTTACAAAAATATCTTCACTTATAGTATACCATACAAAAACTGACTGGTGTGTGGGTTTATAGTAGAAAACTATTACTGGGGGCTATAAAAGGAACTAGTGATGTATGTTACCCTTAATTGCAATGCAATTAATTGCATTATAGCTCACTGCCCTGGCAAGTAGTCTCTTACCAGAACTGTAAGATTTCCAGTATAACCAAAATCTTTAACAATATCTATTTTTTTAAACCCTTTCTGAACTTCAGTTTCTTTTTTAAAAAAAGACACCACAGTGCTGTTGCCCAAGAAAGAAGAATAAGCCAACTCAGAGGCAGAAATAACTCTAAATTATAAAGTCCGTCAAACAGCTAGATACAGCAAAGTCTACAGTTATTTCTGCTGCCCATATCATACTGGGCAATTCTTTTATAATCAAGTTATGGGCAAAAGCAACCATTTTTGTTCTAAGAATTGGAATTAGTTTAAATCCATGGGTTTAATAAATACAAATATACACATTTGTATACATTAAATGTAGTCACATGTGTATAATTACATATACATTATATACACAAATACATACAGTATATGTTCCTCTTGATAACACTACTTAGATATTCTGAGTGTTAGCAACAGGTGTTAATGGAAAATGTAATGAGGTTAAATATAGCAATGTAGCTCAGAACCAAGGCATTGCTTTTCTATATTGAAGACTTAGATACAGTTATAGGAAAAATACTGCCCGAGATTTCCCCATGTGCAACTAGCTAAAATCAAAGGCTTGCATGAGGTGTAATCAGAAACTGGCCCTGTGTGGAACTGGAGAATTTTGGAATTTGTGGATGTTTACGCTGTGTTTGTGTATAAACATAACGTTGTAGACAACTAATAGAAGAGGTTGTATAATCTAACACCTTAGCCAGCCCCAGAGTAGACCACATTAGACTTCTGATTCATAAATGTCAGCATAAATTTGCTTAGAGTAAAGTGAGAGTGGTTTATATCCAAATGACTCCATGGTTTCTGTTAGTATAAATGAAAAAGCCAGATACAGATAACTACCAGTAGTTATTGGCTACTGGGAACTTGCATCATTTTTCTCTCTTAAACAAAAACACCCCCCACCTCTGCAACAAGTGAGAGCAGCTTAGTATACAAAGTGCTGATCCAGGATATCTAGTCCCCTCTCCTTTACATCTCAAAATAAAGAAACTCAAAACAAGCTACAGTCAAGTGGATCACAAAAATGCCTTCTTAACATATCAACAAAAACAAGCCTATATATTCCAGTTTTTAAAGTGTTAACATACAAAAACGTGAAATGTAGAACATAAAATGTAACCCGTACATTAAGATGGATTTTAAAAATGAACAGGAACTTGAGCACACAATGAAAAAATGAGGACAATACAGATGTCAAGACATTCAGCAGAGTGGGCTTTTTGTTCATTTCAAATTACAGCACATCTCATGCACCACACATTTTACAATTTTACATACTTTACATGATATAGAAATATTTAAGTTAAAATTTCTTTTACTGATATATTGTACTCAAATTTTAAATCCTGAGAAGAAAAAAAGAAAAGTGTGGTTATGTATGTGCACTACATGTCCCATGCCACCAACACATACACCACAGTATATTAGAAAGTCCAGAGATAGAAGAATTACATGCTGGGAGTGTTACCCCTGAAAACTGGTTTCTCTTTTCTTTGTTTGGGAGAGACAGTAGGAAACAATTTCTGATCTATACTACCCCACACTGTGTGTGTATATACATATATATCTACATAAACTTTGTAATGACTGCAAACTTGCACTCAGAGAGTATTTCTGTCAGAGTTTCAATACCAGATGCAACACGGTGACTTAAGTTGAACATCAGGAAGAAGAGTAATACCTGGCTTTCCTGCATAGAAGTATATGCCCATATATTTTACAGTTAGTAACTCAGCCTCAGGTTAATCCCAAACATTATTTAAAACATATACATATTTCCATTTAGCACAGCTACCCACTGCTAACAAGCATGTTACTATTACACCTTTCATGTGATTCTCTGTGGTGCAGAGTGTTCTCCATTCAAACAAGCATGAAGTATAAAACTGACAGACGCAGATTCATTGCAGAAGCAAATCCCAGCTGCTTTCTGCACCTTAATATTTATCTAAACGTTCATACCAGATTCCAAATCAAGCCACCGAGTTTCATTAACCAACATCAAGATTTTCAGCACGCTGTGATCTTGTGAACATTTTGCAAGCAAGTTAGTAGGCGATGATATGGGCTTCCTGGCGATGCTACCATCTCAAACACAGACTGAAAGGCCCTTCGATCTAGTTCCTCATCTATCTGGTGTCTGTAAAAGTCTATGGCCACCAAACAGAAGAGGTTAATGTCCACTTGCTCCGATTTTCCCATTCTGCTGATAATATGTGGAAGACTGAGAAAGTAGTTAAGGGCATAATAATGAGGTAAGAGACAAACTTTAAAGTTTTATACAAAATATCACTGACTTAAAAAGCATTCCCAGATAAATTAAATATTTTTGCTTTACCACTGTGTAATTGTAAGTGCAAGACATCTGCAGATAGCAATTAAACTGCCGTTGCAGAAGCTTTATTTCTTAGCTGTATTTCTCTGAATAACTTAATGCAATTTCCCCATTATTGTTAGCTTAAAATGAGTTGGTAGGAATACTTTCCACTTGTTAGATTATATATTAGGAGAAACAAACCCGCATCAACAAGACAGTTCTGCACTGCTTAAAGATAAACAGAAATGCCAATGCACAGAGCCTCAAAAATAATCATCAAGGAAATGTAAAACACAATGGAGAAATTTCCATTTTTAGACTGCTATCAAATGTCCTATTCAGGGCTGATTTTCCTGAGCAGCGGTTCTTTTTAAGGGGAGACGATTTTTTTCTTTTTTTTTAAAAAATTATACATTCATTGGGCAATGCCACTGCATCCTTCAATTAGTTGTTCCAACTATTTTGGGGAATGTTATCCTATTGCCAGTTTAAGATTATTGTGATTTGCTGCCTTGCAGAGGAATGTTTGCCAAATACAATTTTTTGGGAGAAGTGGAGGAAAGACGGAGCTGCAAGGAGGGGAAAGAAAGTAGATGAGGATGTTCTTTTGAGAGTGTTTTTCCCTAGAGCATGGCACAATGGCTTATGACTTATTTTTAAAAGGAAAATAATAAAAAATCACCTTGAAAATATCTGGTAAAAAGTTCTAAACATTATAGGATCATTGATCATTTGTTCCGTGCAATAAATTACTTGTCAATGCCTCAAATTCTTTACATTAAAAGCTTATACCACTAAAATAAAAGATTTTCCATAGTAATGTAGGGGTTGAGATGCAAGACTCCTCTTAACATAGATGTAAGCCATATGGCTGAACCTGACATACTGCTAAAAAATTCACCCTTATCTGATAGTAAAGTTATAAACCATTATGGTACCAATGTTGAACTACTACAGCTTGTACCCACTGGCATCCACTCTTGGCAATTCAAACAACCGAGTTGTAGATTAAGACCAGAAGGGACCACCATGACCATCTAGTCTGATCTCCTGCATAATACAGGTAATACATTTAACCCAATAATTGAATATTAACCACTAAATAGACATGGAGAGCGAACTATGTCTTCGCTTCTGGAAGTGGACCCACTTGGTGAAATCTGATGCCCTGGCAGGGCATTGTGGAGAAGTACTGCTGCCCATGGTGTATTCATTAGATACATGAAGGGAGGATTTCAGTCTCCAATGTTATCAATCCACTTTACAGAAGTGCTAAACCCACATAAAAATGGTTTAGGATACATTGCTGAAACCCACTGAGTGGTGGAAGCACTGACAAAAAAACAGGAAAGACTCCACATGGCCATTGCAACAGGCGTTCTCTGTGTGAAGTTGGAGAGAGAGAGCATCACCCAATCACGGACCATTGGTGACTGTCCAGTGGTATGTAGTGTCTGAAAAACCTGCAAAAATTATAGTAAATATTTCATGTGGGAAAAGACCTGTTAGAACACTAATGGCCAGACATAAAACATACTGCAAACATGTAAGCCTAGATGAATGTCCTCCTGCTACTCCAAACCCTGGAGGCATTTTACCCACTAAGATGGGTGATTCATGTAAGCATAAGAATATTTATTAAATCTTTATGACATTACATGTGGCAGTCAGATTTTAGTGATCGGGCTGTCAGTCAAAAATGTTCATTACGTACATGAGATTGCCGACAAAATTCCATTTGGGTACATTGTGACAGATAGCTGTATCTAAATATAATTAAAATATCAAATTAAACATCTGAGCCTGTCAAATAATTTTTGTATGATTAATTTCTGCTTCAGAAACAGAAAACAGATCCCAAGAGACTATGCCAAAATAGCATATCCAGACTAGTGATACAACTGAGGGGGCTATTCTTCCCAATCCGTCTCAAATGATCTGAGACACTTCAGAGTGCCCCACCCAGTTATACCTAGATTCATAACTGTCTACTTTCTGTTCACTGATTTGGTAAGTGCCAGTTTAGTCATGTAATACTATGACCATGGACTTTGCCCTCTTTGGAATGTCATGGTACATCTAAACCTTTAAATGGGATCTAAAAAGAGATTTGCATACAAACTAATTTTCTCCTCAACAGATTATAACGTGAATAAGAGCGTATAAACTTTTTCTTTGATTTCCTGGCTCTTAAAATAAAATTTCCCTGCTTTCTGTTATGAATTTAGTATTGTAAGAATGTAGTCTTCTCTGAATGTTATTATTTCCTAATTACAGGTTTTATTTATTTCAACTTGTGCAAGTAAATGTGAGAAAACAAAACATGTTCAGGTCTATCTTTGGAATTTCTAATTTCACTCTTCAGCGTAATAGCACAAGCATGTAGTTTGTTTACTAAAACAGAACCACATGCTGGTTTATTTTGCTAGTCACTTTTATGAAGTTCTGCACCAGAATTATATGTATTATGTCATGAAATTTAGTATGAACAGCATTAAAAATTTTTTTTTGCCCTTTTCACATATTCAGCTCAATGTCACAAATGGAATTTTTAAATGTCAGTAGTGGATATCTTCAGAGTGAAGAGGTTTAAAATAATTTTTGCCAGATTATATGCTCGACAGAATACCAGTAATAGTATGTTTGCCAGGAGTCCTAGTTACCGAGAGTGAACAGCCTTGCACCAAAAGTACATTTATGAAATTCAGTTTAAAATACACTACCTTATAAACTACTGTGGCCATGAATTGTGGGTATGGCTGCTGGTTGGATAAGAATTCTCCAATAACTTTATTCATTACATCCTGTGGAGGGAAAAAGTCATCTAGGAACTGAGGGAGGATCCGTGCCACTACTCTAGCTTCAAAAGGAAATCCTTTCCGGATCCTACAACAAAAAAGAATGCATACATTTGACCATTTTAATTCAGCAGAACATTCATGCTGATTTAGTCCCTATGAAATTTTTTCCTGTTTTTCCAGAGTCAAGAGGGATAGGAGAATAATTCTTTTCTTTTATATGTAGATAGATCTCAATGCTGAAGAGCCCACAGATCTAACACTGACCCAACTGACAATCCAGTTCTTCCACAGCTGTATGACATTCAACTTATGACTGCTAATGGTTTTTTTTTTTTTCTTCAAATGATAGGCTGGGAATAAGTGAAACTCTAGAGAGAGAGAGAGAAAAAAACACAACTAACTCTACACCTGAGAGTACCACACTATGTCTGAGATGCATGCTAAAAAGACAGTGTGTCTATGCATGTGGGGGAATGCATTAGCACTGCTGGCAATCTGAGAAAGAAAATTCACAAGTAAATTTTTTTCATTTTCATTCATACCATCCCTGCTGGTTGAACAAAAGGGAAATAGCAAGAAGAATGTTATGTTGTAGATGAAGAGAAACAGAGCTAGATGGCAAGGAAATGAAAGTCATTTTCTTTAAGGATACTTTTAATGAAGAACCACCAACTGGAGAGTCTTTCGGTCAAAGGCTGGATCTGTTGAAGCTCATGGTGTCTTGGGAAAAGCAGATATGAACTACCATACCACTGATTTCCTCTGCAAAGGTACGCTCTCTCTGCTTCATGAGGGTTGATCTTATGGAGTGCTCCATAATGCCTTTCAGGACTGACTTATGAAGTCTTAAAAGGCGGTATGTTCTAAAGCATTTAGCATTGGTATAACTCCCGTTGAAGTTAATGGGAACAGTTGAATGTTTTTGAAAATCCCCATTTGACCCTTTGTGCTACAGCACCGAATACAGCTAGAGATCATCAGGTTAGAGCAGGAGTTCTCAAATCTTCTGCAGTGGACCAAACTGTATTATGGACCCTCCATTTTGCAATTGCTTATAATCCTTGCGACTACAGAAGCTGATCACATGAAAAAAAATTAATGTATTTTAAGTTGTCTTTTAAAGATACTACTTTAAAAAAACCTGGGCTTATGCTCTGTTTCTTTATTGTGTTAAAAGACATTCTGAAAGTGGTTTTATTATGCTTTAAAAAAAAGCATTTTATAAAAGAAAAGTACTTTTTAATAGTTCTTGCAGTTCACATGTTCTCAACCCTCAAAATGGGCATTTCAACCCTTCACGGTGGCATACACTGCGATTATTTTATGCAGCCAGTGTCAAAACTACGATTTTCATCATGACTGGAAATGACATTTTTCTGACTACATTATAAATGTCAGTAAATAGGATCATAGTATTCTTAATTCTTACTTTGTTGTGATCATTCAAATATTTTACACACGTAATCACCACGTGCTGAGGCATGTATTTTAGGTAAGCAGAGGCATTTGTTTTGTGTAACACTAAATACTGATTAGAAATCTGTTTCCTATTTACATTCTTGTATGTCTGTGTTGGACCCAACCACTGTAACGACATTGCTGTGTACCTTATTGGTACAGTATTTTTAATCAACAGCACAGTAACTATCAGCAATGACATTTTAAAATCACGAACAGAATAGTGACCAACAAACTGAGCCAATGCCAAAACTTTTATTGCAGTTTATGCTGAGGTTGTTTTTTTTGTTTTTTTTTTTCCCCCTTTCTTACCTATCAAAAAGAACAGACACCCGTTCCATAGCTACAATAACAGACTCGCTGTCTGGAGCTGTGGGATTTGCATCTGTTGCTCGACTTGGGCTGATTTTCTCTTTTCCTAAACAGAAACAAGATATCTTGTAGTAAGTTCACTATAACTGAAAAAAATTCATTTGTCAGTAAGCTGTAAACATTTGTTTAATTTTCTGGAAAGAGCTCTAGAAGAGCTAGATATTACTCTACTAAAAAGATGTACTTAAAACAGAGCATAAATAATTGAATAATAAATCCACACCTGAATACATGCAAGTCAGCATTAACCCCAAGGCTGCCATAGCTCTGTGGGGGCTGTGTATGTTCACTCTGTCAACACTTAGTTTAACTAAAGATTCACTATCCAGCCTAGAAAGTTGCTCTGAAAGGAGGAGTCGTTCTAATCCTCTGAGGACGCAATGGTAAATAATGGATGGAGTTGATTCATCACTTCCAGACACCATTACTCCACACACCTGAAATAAGCAAGAACGAAATCTAAAACAATTGATTATATTTAACTAAACTCCGACACCAATATATCAGAAAATAACTAACATACACGGAGAATTGATTTAATCTCCTCAATCAAATCATTTTTTTTGTGTGGGGGGGGGGGGGAGAAGAGAGAAAGAAAGAAGAGGTTACTCATCTTATCGTAATTTGAGTCCTTTGAGATCTTTTTTCCCTCTGGGTGCTCTGCTATAGGATGCGTGGGTACCCTTGACCGGAGAATGCAAAGCAGTGTCCAAGGGTACATGCCTGCACAGAACAGCACCTTGTGTCTCAAAATGAGGGCACAAAAGATGGCGTGGACCCTCCACCACTCAGTTCCTTCTTGCTGTGAAGCAGAGCCACCACAGACAAGACAGAGGACTCAGAGGGACAAAACATCTTGAAGGACTCAAGTTACTGTATGGTAAGTAACCGCTCCTCCTTCTTTGAGTATATGTTCCTATGGATGCTCTGTTGTGGGAGACTCCCAAGCAGTAACTCAGCAAGGAGGGGGTGCTAAGGAGGCAAGTCCAAAATAGTCCAGAAGACTGCATCACCAAAGGTAGTATCATACCTGGAAACATACCATCCCTGGAGCGTATGTAGGCAGATCTCTTGGAGACATGAGGCTTTGGATAAAACATTGGTAGGTGGATCTCTTGATTAAAATAATTCCGAAGAGACCTTAGGGAAGAAATGAGGATGGGGATACAGTGTAACCGTATCTCTACAGAAGCTAGTAAATGACAGGTCTGCCATAAAAGCATGGAGTGAAATTATGGCTATAAGGAACAAAGTCCTGAGGGAAAGGTGGAGGAAAGAACAAGTATGTAGGTTCAAAGGAGGGTTTCCTCAGGGCACTTAGGGCCAAATTATGGTCCCACTGGGAAGTTGGGGGCCCTTGAGGAATCTGGCCATACTGGGGTTGGCAAAAACTGAGAAGCCCTTGATGTGTGAGTGGAAAGCTGTGAGAGTGGCCAAATGTATTCTGACTGAGCTCACTGATCGACCTTGTGTCTTCAAATCCAAAAGATAGTCTAAAATTTTAGAAAGCAGAACCTCTGATGCTAGAGAAGAGTGAAAAGAACAGTAGGAATGGAAGTGTTTCCACTTCTGAAGGTAAATTTTGCAAGTACTAGATTTCCTGCTAGATAGGAGAACTGATTGGTCCTTTTCTGAACAGGTTAACTCTACCTTGAGAGCCATCCAGGAACCATGCTCTCAAGTTAAAGGAGGAAGGGTTGGGATTGATCAGGGTCCCAGAGTTCTGTGACAGGAGATTTTTTCCTGATAGGACCTAGTTGGAGGGACGTTGCCACAGAGAGGTGATGGAGGTTTGACTACCACACTTGTCTTGGCCAGGACAGTGCTGTGAGGATAACCCTCGCTCTTTCCTGATGCAGTTTGAGTAAGGTCTTGAGAATTAGAAGTAGAGGCTGGTAAACATAAAGCAGGTACAGGGCCCTGGTATTATCAGGGCATCTCCCAATGAGTTGCAGCCTTATAGTCCCTTGGAGCAGAAAAGACAACATTTTGCATTGTTTGGGGTGTTAAAGAGGTCTGCTTCTGGGAGACCCCACATCTGGCAGATGCCAAGGAAGACAGAATCACTGAACTCCCATTTGTAATCTTGAAGGAAATTTCTGCTCAGAAAGTCTACAATCTTGAGATTCCTATCTCATGGGAAATGCATCGGTTCCACAAGTTTGGTGACTGCATGTAAGGGCTGGGATCTTTCTCTTCCCTGTCAATTGATGTAATACATCATTGCCCTGTTGTCCAGCTTTACCCTGAAGGAGTGGCCCTTTACGGTGTGAAGGAAGTGTTGATAGGCCTATCGAATGACTCCAGTCCAGAACGTGGACGCGGAGTGTGACCTTTATGTGGACCACTTGCCCTGCGCAGTGTCCCCTTGGAGGTAAGCCACGCATCCCAAAAAAGAAATATCGGTTGTGAGGATCTTTGAGGGTAGGGTATATGAGACTGGGGTTCCCACTCAGACCTTCAGTGGGTCATTCCACCACCTGAAAGAGTCCAGAACTTTGAGGTACTGTGATACATTTGAGGATGCTGGGGTGCACATATGGCTTAGGTCTGTGTGAAGGCACCCAACATGTAGTCTCATGTGAGGTGTGACAAAGATGGATGCCAACATGTGGCCCAAGAGTTGTAGGCAGGTCCTTGCAGTTGTTTGCAGACTGTGTTGTATTGTTGAGATTAGACTGAATAAACTCTCTTTGTGGAGTTAGGGAGTCTACAGTGGTTCTGATTAAATCTATTGTTTGGACGGGAGTCAGTGTAAATGTCTTCCGATTAATTCGAAGTCCTAGAGACTGAAACAGTGCTAGAACCCTGGAGGTTGCCAACTGGACCTCCCGAAACGTCAATCGTTCAGGTAAGGGGAATACTGCTATGGCCCACTGTCATAAATAGGCTAATGCGAGGAGATTTGTGAAGACCTTTGGGGACTCAGTACTGGCAGCATTCTGAGCCTTTTATGAAACATAGGAAATGTTTGTGGGATGGGTAGAAAGCTATATAAAAGAAGGCATCCTGCAGGTCAAGGTCGATGAGGCAATCTCCCATATCTAAGGATGGGCTTTATAATGGCTAGTGTCACCGTTCTGAAGTGCTTGGAAAGGATGTAGGCGTTCAGGTTTCTGAGGCTGAGCATCAGTCTCTATCCTCTGCCCCTCTCCCAACAAACTCTGGACTAACCAGTTTGATTGCCCCAAGAGTAAGAGAGACTGGATCTCTTGTTTTAAGAGATCTTCATGAAATGTGTCTCTGAAGACGGATGGGGAAGGCAGGTTGGGGGGAGGGGGGGAAATAGTATGAAAGTGGATGGAACATCCCCCATTGATGACTTCAAAATCCATTAGCCTGAGGTAACCTGCTCCAGGCAGGCAGGAAGTGGGATAGACGCTATCCTAAGGGGGTGGTAATGGATCGAATTGCACAGCACTGGATCCAGGAAAGTAGGTTGCTTGATGCCTTGACCAAGATGTAAAATTGTTTCTTAGAGGAAGGAGCAGATGATATTGTAAAAAGGGGTGGTCTCTTTTTGGAGATCTAGATATCCTCCTCTGAAAGTCCAAAGGTCTGGGAAAAGTTTGCTGAGAATGGTACTGATACCATATAGAGCACTGTGATGTTTGGGACTAAACTGTTTCTTTCTTGCAGGAATGTAAACTCCCAGAGACCTTAAAGTTGACCTCAAGTCCCTCAGGGTGTGGAGGGGGAAGTCTGTCAGCACTGAGGAGTTGGGTCCTTCAAAGGGAAGGTCTTCAACCATATTTCTGCACCTCTCTTGGGAGGCCAGAAGACTAGAGCTAGGATGCTCTTTGCATACCTACAGCCATAGCTAAGGCTCTAGAAGCCATGTCTGTGGCACCTAAGGCAGCCTGGAAAGAGGTGTTAGCTATTAACTGACCTTTCAAAATGATGGCCTGAAATTGTTCCCTCTGGTCCTGTTGCAGATGTCCAATAAAATGTGTGAACTTGGAATGTGTGTTAAAATCTGCCACCCGGGCTTGGTAGTTTACCACTTGAAATTGGAGAGCTACTGAGGAGTAGCTTTTTCAACCCAGGAGGTCTAAACATTTGGACTCATCATAAGGAGAAGATCTGGAGCAGATTTGTCATTTTCTGTCTTTACCTGCATTCACCACCAGGGAATTGGGAGTGGGGTGGGAAAACAAATGTTCCATTCGCTTGGTTATTATACTATACTTTTTTATCTGCCCACTTAGCAGGTGGGCTGGATATTGGCAGATGTTCGCTAGATTGGGCAAGTAGATGATAACAGAGCTCCATTGATTGGGAGGGTAATTTTGCCCTGAGGAGTGATATTTAGAATGTTCATCAAGGAGCACAGACTCCTGAACCTCCTCTACTGGGATCTGGGGGAATTCTGTCAGGTATTTAATGAGGTCTTGGAAGGCTGGAAAGTTGTCAGCAAAAAAGGGTGGTGGGGGCTTACTTGGGGGATGAAGAGAACTTAGCTGATGGGGCGAGTTTCCCTCCATCTGTGGGTCCTGCTTTTCTTCAGTGCATACCAGGGCCAAAGGGGCATAAGGTACTGAAGGATGATCCTGCAGTACGGAAGGTAGGTCAGGTGGTACCCGTCAGTGATGCGGTACCAATAGATATTGGGATCTCTTTTTGGCTGGTCCCCTATAAAACTGTTCACCAAGCTGACCCCAGGGATTCCAGTGAGTCCCCTGAGGGGGCGGAGAGAGAAGGTTTTCCCCAAGGATATTCACAACCCTTGGATGTACGGAATCTGGTGAGGTCCAGAAGATCCTCCTCAGAATGACAGCTCAGTGGGGTGTGATAGTATGGTGCCAAAAAAGAGCCCTATACCAAGACCTTAGATTCTGAAGAAGTGTCACCCCTTGACTGAAATGGGAAGCATCAGATAAAGGTGCTGGTATCAGAGGCCTGACTGGAGTTCAATCCAGGATGATTGCGGTTGCAGGTGACGGAGCAGTACCAGGGAAGGGGTTTTCATAGAAGTCCGTAATAGAGGGGACTCCGGTTCCTCCGGTATGAAAAGGGTCTCCAAGAGAGAAACCTGAAGGGTGCTGGAGGGCTATGGTATCCTGAAGTTGGTACAGGAGACTGGTCAGCGCAGTGATGGTACTAGAGAGGCTTGTAGAGGAACTTCTCTGACCAAAGAACTCCAGTGCAGAGAAGACGACAGCACCAGAGCACGAGTAGGAGCCTGTGTGCATCTCGGTGCCGAGAGGCAGATGGCTCTCTGTGCTATCTGTTAGAAGAATTCTCCACATGCTGCTTCTTATGTGGTACTGACAGCTCAGTACTGGAATTGTATGGGAACCTCAACCATTCCCCTTGACAGATGTGAAGTCTCAGAGTGGGATTTACGGATGACCTACCCCTCTTCCTTATTTCCCTAACAGGGGAAAGAGTCTTCTATTTCTAAGAAGTCCTAGCCTCTGAAGGTGTGGCTGGAGCTGGGGCAAGTGAGTATTCCATTAGAAGGAGCTTCAGCCTAACCTACCTGTCTGTCTGCAACCTGCGTTTAAATCCCATACAGACTATACACTTTGGTGGGACATGGGTGTCTCAGAAGCAGCAGAGGTAGATTGAATGCCTGTCAACTACAAGGAAAAGACCTTTGGCAGGGTTTAATCCCCAGGGTCTTTGGAGTAACTCAGAGGACAAAGAAAAAGGTGTGTGTGTAGGGTGGGGGGGGGGGCGGCAAGCTCCTTCTATACCCATCTGTATTAAAGCTATAAAGAGAAATAAAATAACTAAACAAATAAAAGAAAAATTTAGAATAAGTCACTATGTTAAGATAGGCAGGAAGCCAAGAATCAGGGGATACACAACTGCTCTGTATCAAGTTGCAGGGAGCTGAGAAGGAACTGAGTAGCGGCGGGTAAGTATCCTATATGACCTCATTTGGAGGCACAAGGTGCTGCTCTGTGCAGGTGTGGGCCCTCAGGGAGCACAGGCAAATCCTAGGGTGGAGCATCCATAGAAATATATATGCAAAGAAGAAAACATTTCTTTCATAAAGCTTATCAATAATAATCCACCTAAAAGTTTTTAAAAAAATCTGCATTGATTCAAGATTGCATCAATCTTCTGTAATCTGGAGCACTGTGCAATACATACCTGTATAATTCCTGCAGAGAATTCAGGCCCTACATCAAGTGGGTAATTCTCTATCAAGTAGAATGCTGCAGCACACATCACTAAAATATGCTGTTGGTTATGGACATTTACAGAGCTGTAAATAAGCAAGAAAGCAAATGGTTATATATCAGTAAAGAATTGGTTACTTACTGTAAACTGTGATTCTTTGAGATGTGATGCAGACATGTATTCCATGTAGGTGTGTGCGTGCCCACCATGCCAGACCCGAAGAATTTTGCCTATAGTATCCATAGCCCCCTCCCTGGCTATACAAAGCCATGCTCCCTTGACCCCCCTCAGTTCCTTTGCACTGAACGACCAGAGACTAGACTCTAATGCAGAAAAGACAGCAGGTGGGTTGTGAAATACACATCTGCATCACATCTCAAAGAACCAGTTACAGTAAGTAACCATTTCTTTTTCTCGAGTAGATGCAGCCGTGCATTCCACTTAGGTGGCCCACAAGCAGTACCCCCACGGAGAGGGGCTCAGAGTCTATTTAAACAAGGACTGCAGGACTGTGTTCCAGAAGTTTGTAGCCGCTCTGGATGCTGTGGTAATGGCACAGTGGTTCATAAATATACGTATCGATGACCATGTAGCAGTCCTTCAAATATCCAATATTGAGACGTCACTTAAGAATGCTATTGACGTACCTTGCACTCTTGTAGTGTGAGCTTGCACCCATAGACGGTGTGTAGCCGAAGCTGTTCTGTATGCAGTCTTGATGGAGGAAATTATCCATGAGAAGACTGCCAGTCCCTTCATACAGTCTGCATATGACACAGATAAGGCAAAGCCCAAAAGGGTTTAGCCCTGTCCAGAGAAAAAGGTCAGACATTGTCTGATGTTCAATGTGTGAAGACACTGCTCCTCTGGAATTGAATGCAGCTTAGGGGGAAAAAAACCAAGAATTTGCCTCCTACTTTTAATGAAACAGAGAGACCACCTTAGACACAAATTTCAGGTGCGACAGCAATGTCACTTTGCTAACCATTCCAACGGGGGAACCATACGTTCCGATAAGACCAGGTTTAGATCTAGGGAGGGATGGGCTCTTGCACCTGGGGGTATAATCTTTCTCGATGTTGAGGAAACGGATAGACATCTCTTGTGAAAAAACAGACCGGTTATCCACCCGAGGATGGAAAGCTGATAGTGCTGCAAGGTGAACCTTCATTGAGGAGATAGTTAAACCTTGCTGTTTCAGGTGTAACAAGGACTTGAGATTGTCCTGAAACAATGACCATGCAGGCGAGACTCCACACTGAGCAGCCCAGACGAAGAACGACTTCCACTTTGCGAGGTAAGTAGCCCTAGTGGATGGAGGGCTTCCTGATACCAGTAAGACATGACAGCCCTGGTCTGAGTAAGCCAGCTCTCTGGGATTTAGCCATGGAGCTTCCAGGCCGTCAAGTGGAGGGAGCTGAGGTTCGGGTGCAGTAGCTAACCATGGTCCTGACAGACGTAGAGGAAGCAGGAATGGAGCAGCCACAGAAAGGCCTAGCAGTGTGGCAAACTGATGTTGGTGGGGCCAAGCTGAGGCTATTAGAATGACCCACACCCGGTCCTATTTGATCTAGAGCAGAATCTTGTGCATGAGCGTAGTACAGGTGACCTGTCCATGGTAGTAGGAAGGCGTCCGTGAATGATCTCAGGCTGAGACCTCGCAGGGCTCAACTCAGAGGAAGTGTCTCAGTGGTGACACTTCCACTGTTGTGCCTGGTTTCAAACAGGCCTGCCTGGGGAGTCCCATACTGCTGGTAAATGCCCCTCATGATGTCCAGGTGAAAAGACCACTTGTGGTGACTGGAGAAAGACTTGGTGAGGCGATCTTCTAGCTCCTTTTATGCTCCTGGAAGATGAGAAGCCTCCAGTTAGATTGAATGGGCTATGCAGAACTCCCACAGCTGAACTGCTTCACTACACAGAGGGGAAGAGTGAGCTCCTCCCTGCCTGCTGAGAAAGAACATGACTGACTGTAAGAATCAACACACACTTGCCTGTAATGTGAGGTGGGAATGCCTGACAGGCCAGATGAACTGCCCTGAGCTCTTCAGTGATGCGTAGCAAGAGCTCTTCTGAAGGCCAAAGGCCTTGAGTCCTGAGGTGCCCCAGGTGAGCCCCCAGCCTAACGCTGATGTGTCTGATACCAGGGATATCTACAGTTGGGGTCGTGAAAAGGGAACACCAGCACAAACCACCAGCAGGTCCAGCCACCAGTTGAGGGAGGTGAGGTCTGGGGAAGGTACCATAAGAACCAAGTCTGGGTGGTGGCAGTTTGGTGAGTACATCGAGGCCAGCCATGCCAGAAGGGGTTTCAGATATACTCTTGTGTGCTGCACTACGTACGTAAAGGAAGCCACGTGACCCAAAAGCCTCAGACAATTTTGGGCTGTTGTAACTATAGTGCACTTCAAGGACAACATCAGGGACATCATTGTCTGAAACCAATCTTCTGGAAGGAAGGCTCTGGCCTGGGTAGTCGAGCACAGCTCCAATAATCTGTCCTCTGTACTGCAGTGAGAATGGACTTCTGTACATTTATTAGCAGGCCTAGGGCCTGGAATGTCAACTGGATGAGGAGGATGCGAGGATGCCGGACTCCATCTGAGCTCTTAACCTGCATCTGCCTAGCCCAGTGGTTCTCAACCTATTTACCATTGTGGGCCAGACCCAATACTACCTCTATGGCCCTGAGGATGTCACATGGGCTGCACCTCTGTGCTGATTGGGCCGCAAGTGGCCCACAGGTCACAGGTTGAAAACCACTGGCCTAGCCAGTCATCCAGATGCAGGTAGACTTGCACTCCTAGCTTCCTCAGGAAGGCTGCCACTACCACCATGCATTTTCTAAATACCCATAGAGCTGCCAACAGGCCAAAGAGGAATACTGCGAATCAGCAGTGCATTTGGTTCACAACAAACCTGAAGAATCTTCTGTGGCCTTGAAAGATTGATATGTGAAAGTAGGCATCTCTTAAATGGAAGATGGTATACCAGCCCCCGGGATCCAGAGAAGAAATAATGGAAGCCAGGGAGACCATGCGGAACTTTAATTTCGTGAGATAGCTGTTGAGCTGGCGCAGGTCTAGAATAGGTCTGCACCTTCAGAATTAGGAAATAACGGGAGTAGAATGCTGTCCCCCTTAGATTTTGTGGAACCTCTTCCATGGTCCCCACCCAAAGGAGAGATTGAACTTCCTGGGTCAGAAGTTGCTCATGAGAGGAATCCCTGAAGAGGCATGGGGAGGAAGAGTGAAAAGGAGGGGTAGAACTGAACTGGAGGATACATCCCACTTCCATTGTTTTCAGCACCCAGTCTGTAGTGATACTGGATCATGCACAGCTGAAGTGGGACAGGCAGTCTGCAAATAAAGGGGGAAATATGATAAAGAAACATGAGAACTGGTAAAAATCCTTGAGCGTCCCATCAAAAGCTGCTTGGAGCCTTCTTGCTGTCTGGGTGGAGCAGATATTGACTTAGAGCTAGAAGGGGATGGTGGTCTACGCCTAAAAAGCCCCTGCTCCTTTTCCTCTGCATGTCTTGATGGGCTGGTGAGGCAGAATACCAGGAGGACTGCTGAGGTCTGTAGTGCTTTCTTGAAGTCACTGGGTAGCCCTGGAGTCCTTCAGCCCATGAAGCTTCTAGTCAGTCTGCTCCAAACAGAGCAAAGCCCCCTCGAAGGGAAGATCCTGGAGGGTTTGCTGGACCTCCCACAGGAGACCGGAGGACTATAGCAGTGAACTCTTATGCATGGCTACTGTGGAAGCCGTGGACATGACCACTGAATCTGCTGCAATCAGGGAAGCTTGCACAGAAGCCCACGCTATGGATTTCCCCTCATCTACCAGCGTGGAGAACTCCAATACGGCCTCTTGTGGCAGCAAGTCCGTGAACTTCAACATGGAGTCCCACATGTTGAAGACGTATCTGCCCAGCAGCACCTGCTGGTTAGTGATCCTGAGTTGCAGACCCCTGGTAGAGTAGACCTTTCTTCCGAATAGGTCCAACTTTTTAAGAGTATTTTTCTTTAGGTGATGCACCTTACAGACCCTGCCTTTCTTTTTTGTTGGCAATGGAGACCACCGGGGATTGGGGGGGCGGGGAGGGGGAGGGTAAGATTGGGATTAGTGTACAAGAACTCATAACCCTGGGCAGGAAGGTGGAAGTTTACTACAAGGCTTTCACCGGTTTCATGATGACCTCACTGAGAGGCAGAGCAACTGCTGCAGCCAAAATGTCCACCAGACAATGAGAGGACTCTTATTATCTCCACCTGAATGCCCAAATTTTGGGCCACCATCTTAGCTGCTCCTGGTGGGCCTTACAGTCATCTTGGGGCAGCAACACTCCTGTTCCTGACACAGCCTCATCAGGAGAAGAGGCGGCGGCTGAGGGCACTCCTCTTCCCCTTCTGCGCCGACCAGATCCCACAGACTGGTTCCTGAAACTCAGCACTGGACTCGGTACCAGAATCTGGATCAGATGCTGCCTGATGGGGAGCAGTGCCCTTCTCTCAGAGGCCACTGAATAAGAGCACCTCAAATGGGGCCCCAGGATTGGGGGAAATCCCCATGGATTCCAAAAGGGACACTGCATCAGCATAGGTCTCCAGTGACCACTAGGCGAAGCACTCGATGGCATTCCTGTGCCCTGATCCGCAGCAGATGAGAGTAGTACGACCCAACCTCTGACTCCGACAATGAGGTGTGTCTATCTGATGACCACGGAGGAGTGGCTCCCACCGGTGATGGAGAGCAGTGCCAAAGTGGGGAAGCCAGTGTCGGGGCCAGCATGGTCAGTTTCCCCTTAGACAGTACCGGACGGCCTGGTACAGAACAGTAACTGGTGGCCACAAGCTCTCTCCTGCCCGCCAGCACCCATACCACTGGCTCTTGCACTGTCGATGACACCAGTACCAATAGCAGGTGCCTGGTGGCAGTGAGTGAAGCCAGCATGGACGGCATTGCAATAGCACTAGTACTGCACTGTCCCTCCAGTGCGGACTGTTAATCTGGTACTGGACTCAATGGCGTCCGTATATGGGCCGGAGTCAGTCACGCTGGCTGCTGCGCTGCTGAGGCAGAGCAGTGGCCTGGCTTAGATCACACTCCGATATGCTCCACATGCCTGGCCTTCTTAGGTGTCAGGGAACATCCCCTCTCAGCTGGCTGCTTCTTATGTCTCTTCCTCTGCACTGGGGATGGTGAACAGTGCTGGGACTCCCGCATGGTAGGAGGAGCGCACTGACGCCGAGGTGCTTGATACTGAGTCCGACCGGCTGAACTCAGAGGAAGGTCTCAGTGCCACCTCCATAATCAGGAACTTCAACCTCTCTCTTTGCATGGGGCTTAAAATCCCTTCAAATCTGGCAGTGGTCCCCGACGTGAGCCTCATCCAAGCACTTCAGGGTCACACAGGGACAAAGTCTTGTTGCAGGAGGTACAAGGTTTGAAGCCCAGCGACCTAGGCATGCCTAGGCAACAGATAAGGACAAAACTCCGCTAACTAACCAAGATACGCAAACTATACTAACTGACTAACAACTATGCCAACTATATACAATAATCAGAGGAAACAAAGTTCACTGAGAACACTGGTCAAAGCAAGAGGAACAGTTCCAGCAACCATCATAGGCAGTAAGAAAGAACTGTGGGGACACGGAGTGAGCTGGACCCTCTATACCGGTGCAACGAGCACACCCAATGCTATGAGCACCCCAGAGGATGCTCGAGCCACCCTGACGGATACCACCGAGGGAAAATTTTCTGGCGATTGTGCTCAGCACACACCTACAATGGGATCAAAATGTGCAAGCACTCGAAGAAGAAAGTTTAAACCCTTTATGACAATGGTTTTCAATCTTTTTTCATTTGTGGATCCTTAAAAAATTTCAGATGGAGGTACAGACCCCCTTGGAAATGTAAGAAATTCTGTGGACCCCCTCAGGGAACACTTATTTCTCACTCTTCCTTCAAGCACGTCACTTCTGCAAATCAAAGCTGAAAGTGGTGGCAAGGAACACTAGTATGTATCAGCTACTATGATAGAAACCTTTAGTTTCCAGTCTGAGAGGCTGTTACATTTCAAAATGGCTAGGGGACAGGCAAACAACGTCCATATAAAAATAAAAATTGACTATTCACCTCAATCTTGAAACCAACTATCTTTTTGAGGTTCAAACCTGAAATGTAAAAGCTTTTTGCTCATGACTATGCACTCTATTTTCAATTGGAATCAGAAGCAAAAATAGTAACATTGCAAGAAATTTAATTAGCATATTCTCAACCTGAAGTCCTCAGAATCTTCTAAAAAAAGCTTGTTTTACAGGATCAAGAGATTTGTATAAATCAGCATATTTCTAGATGCTTATTCTACAGTTCAAATTGTTCTTTGCATTAAAACACTGCAAAATTTCTAATACATAACACCTACTGTGCTATCCCTCTCAGATTGGAAAGCAAATACTCGCTGATAATTGGAATGAGTTGCTTTGCTGTTTCATCAAGCAGGTCACATTCAAGGATGTAAAGAATTCCATGCAGAGCTCCAATCCGACTTGGCATATGGGTGCTGCGTAGTGTTGATTCCAACAGACGGCTTACTGGCTCGGCTACAGCTTTATCCTAATGCACATAAACAAAATGATGCACTAAAAGCATCACTGGACCAATGCAGCATTCTGATGACTCATTAAAAGTGGAAAAGTTTTTGATGGTGAACTAAAGACTAGAAAATGTACCATGAATCAGAGGTTTACACAAAACAAGTACTTAGATATCTGAATAATGTACTAAGGGAGATTGGAGTAAGTTGGAAAACTGGTATATTCTGGCTTGCAAATTTAGTTAAACTAAAGAGGTTGCATCTAATTCTCAGTGTAAAAGCATTCTCCTCAGAGATCATAACATTAAATCAGTGTAAGTATTTTATCAACTTTTTGCAAGTGAAATGGTAAACCACTGCACCAAGATGATAACAATGTCACATTTGGAAAAGAAGTTCTGTGATAATATATCATCAGTTTAGGGGAAGCACTAATACTACTGATAGGTAAGGGATGCCATGGATGCAGATTAGGATATTTACATACTAAGCATCCTTATATGCAGGCCTTGAGCTCCGAGAAGTTTCTAATCTGTCCATGGTCCTCCAAACTGGTGGATGTGTGAGGAAGAACGCTAATATATGGAACAGATTGCTATATGCCCAAGATCTGCATATAAGGATGCTTGGCACGTAAGCACTCTAAACGGCATCTATGGTAAACATTACCATGGAGCCTCAGTCATTTGGACACACTGTTAATGGTCTGTTACCCATGGCCACTGACAGTCACATCTGGACACCACTTCCTCCCCACCACCTGTATGTTTAGTCCTCGAGGGCAAACATGGTATTAGAGGATTGTAACAGAAGAAGCAGAAGCTGAGAAGGCTGGAATGCAGGTTATTTATATTGCAGTAGCACCTGGAATCCCAATCAGGGCTCAGGGCCTCACTATGCTAAGCACTTATAAACGTAACAAGACGGCCCTTGCCCCAAAGCCAAGAGACAGCAGGTGGAGGAGGGGCACCCATTCAAGGACATAATGAGACAACAGTTAAGCACAGCACACTAGCTGCCTAACCATTGTCAACCTTTTTGTACACATCACAGCAAAGAAGATTTTAAGGAGGGTAACCAAGTGGCTTTATGAAAGTTTACGGGGAGATGTTGATGGCAACAGCTTTGCTTTCCATGAGCTTCATGAATGGAATGAGAATTTTTAGTGGAAGTGGTTGGGTGTAAGTGAAGGTGGTTTCTGCACCATATACTGGAAAATGTATTTCACTACAATGACTTTCAGGATTGGAGTCTTAGTGGATCTATCACTGCTCAGGCTCTCTCTGGTAACAGCAGCAGCTCAACGGTAACATTCACTATCTACAACTGATCATAAGATTATGGCCACTCACTCCTAGTGTGGACCCAGCAATGGGCCTCCATGCCTTTGCTAGAATACTAAAATGCACTCTTTTTAGGACTACAAAACGTCCATCCTAATCTACAATCTAGCTCGCAATGTAACTACCCAACTTCTGAGTGGCATGAACCACTACATAGACCGACCTGTGTTCAAGTCTCTACAAAGGTTTCCTGTCTGGTTTTGGGGGGGTAATTGAAGGGGCTGCTGCTTATCTTTAAAGCGCTGAATAATCTGGTACTTGGCTATCGGGGAGATGGCCTCTTATCATATCCCTTGTCACAGCAGTTAAAAATCAAATGAAGACTCTTGCTGGACCAGAGGAAGGCTCTCAGTTTCACAGAATTTAAAGCCAGAAGGCAACATTAGATCATCTAGGCCACGGGTGGCCAACCTGTGGCTCCAGAGCCACATGCATATCTTCAGAAGTTAATATGCGGCTCCTTATATAGGCACCGATTCCAGGGCTGGAGCTACAGGTGCCAATTTCCCAGTGTGCTGGGGGGTGCTCACTGCTCAACCCCTGGCTCTGCCACAGGCCCCACCCCCACTCCACCCCTTCCTGCCCCCTCCCCTGAACCTGCAGTGCCTTCGCTCCTCCTCTTCTTCCCCAGAGCCTCCTGCATGCCACAAAACAGCTGACTGGGAGGGAAGGGGAGGTGCTGATCTGCAGGGCTGCCGATGGGTGGGAGGAGCTGATGGGGGCCTGCTGACGTATTACTGTGGCTCTCTGGCATTGTACATTGGTGAATTCTGGCTCCTTCTCAGGCTCAGGTTGGCCACTCCTGATCTAGGCTAACCTCTTGCATATCACAGGACCTTAAATTTCATGCAGTTACCCCTGTATTGAGCCCAATTACTTGTGTTTGACTACAGTATATCTTCCAGGAAGGTAGCCAGTTTTGATTTGAAGACATCAGGAGGTGGAGAATCCACCATTTTCCTTGGTTGGTTGTTCCAGTTTTTTCCCCACCTTAACTGCTAAAAATTTGTGCCTATTTCCAATATGAATATGTCTGGCTTCACTTTCTAAACATCTTGTGCCTTTCTCCACTACATTAAAGAGCCTGTTGGTACCCAGTCTCTTCTCCCCATGAAAGTACTTCAATACAGTAATCCAGTACTTCTCAATTTTCTTTATGCTAGGCTACACAGTTTGAGCTCTTTAAACCTCTCGCTGTAAGGCATTTTCTCCAGCCCTTGAATAATGTTTCTGGCTCTTTTCTACACCCTCCCTAATTTTTCAACATAGTTTTTAAACTAGGGACACCAGAATTGGACACAGAATTCCAAAGTCAGTCTTACCAATGCCATATACAGAGTCAAAATCACATCCCTACTTCCCTGTTCATACATCTACGGATCACATTAGTTCTATTTGCCACAGCATTGCACTGGGAGCTAATATTGACTTACTTGTTCACCATAACCTCTAGATCTTTCCTAAAGTAATGGCTTTCAGGCATACATCCCCCATTCTATACATATTGCTTGCATTCCTAGTTCCTAGAAGTATAACTTTGCATTTGGCTATATTAAAACTCTGTTTGAATGGGCCCAGCTTACCAAGTGATCCAAATCGCTCTGTATGACTGCCCTGTCCTCATCTTTATTTACTACTCTGCCATTTAAGGTCCTCCCCTCTGGAATTCATTCCCCAGAACACTCCAAACCACAAATATAGCAGACTTCAGGACACAAAGACACTGGGTCTAGCTTTAAGTTAATTTAATTATTAAAATTATAAAAAAAAATGGATGGATGAGAAGTAATTAAAAATGTATTAAAAATATGAAGCTGCCACTATGACAGGTGCTCCCTAAAAACCTCTGAAAGTATGCCAGTTCTTGGTGGCAGAAGTGCAGCAATTCCAGTATCAAATAGACCAAAATAGCAGTACATTCACAGACTTGCCACAACTTTTAAGTGACAATTTCTTACCATTCCAAGAACAGCAGCTGCTTTACATGTGGCTGGTACCAAATACTGAATGAGAATCTCATCTTCTGATGGATGCACCTTCCGCAATTCTGTCAGTGTGGTGTACATCATCTCAAATTGATTCCTTTCTGTAAACAAGTCAGACACTGCCAGAAGCTGTGAACATGATAAAAATGGAGTAGAAAAATCTGTAATTATCAAGTCACAAACATTAGACTGTCCCCGCTTAATATAACTACCAGAAAAAAAAAATTAAACTCCTTTTATTGTAACATGGGCTATAAAAAGTTTTAATTTAAAAACTACAGTAAAATCAGATATAGCCTAATCAGACACTGGCTTAAAAAGAAACAGTCAAACTTTAAAAAGACAAAGAACCCAAGATGGTAGAATGACATTTACACACATTTTAAAAGAAAATATTTAAAGCCAGTTCTTCTTACATACCTTCTGAAAGCAGAGTTTAGGATTCTGTCTCTCTTAAATAACAGTAACACAAAACATCGGAAAATGCTCCCTGCTTTGTTTTAGGAATTATGGCTGAATTGCTTACTATCTTAATCAATGTGTTAGCTAACTCAGTCTTGAATATGTATCGGGGTGGTGCCCCAAACATATTCCTCAATGCTCTTTTCTACCACCCAGGTATTTTTACTATCACTTGACCCCTGAACAGGAGTCAAAAAAACCCAAAACCACTTGGATTGCACAGTAACTTGGATTTGAGATGTGTTCTCAATACGTATTCCACGTCTGGGGCACTTCTGCCCCAGGCCAAGATTGGAATCAGTAGTGCCCACTGGACCATGCCTGTGCCTTTCATGCCCTTAAGCCCCCTCGCTTGAGGGCATAAAGTGGGCGAAGTGACCAACCAACCCTCATTTCCTTCACCAATATGGAATTCCAGTGTTGTTAGACCTTGCAGTAGCTGGGAAAGGAAGGTGGGTTGCGGACTACATATAGATAATATATCTGGAAGAGCTCCAGTCACTATACAAGTTAAGTAACTTCCCTTTCTTCTTCAAGTGCTTGTCTATATGTATTCCTCATCTGGTGACTCACAAGCAGTGGACAAGATAACAGAGACAGGTGCTTGGATTCTAACTAAAATAATGACTGTAGCACAGCTCTACCAAATCAAGCACCAGATAGAGATGCCTCTGCCATGGAATAAAGCTTAAGAAAGATACATATCACCTTCCAACTAGCTATCGTATATGTTAGTTATGGAATGTTTCTGAAACAAACTCCAGAAGCTGCATGTGCTCTTGTGTTCTATGACGTGCTAATCTGCCCTGGAGGTCCATATGTAGAGAAGGTTCTCTCTACATACACCAACAACACAGCTTCCATGTCATGACATGTAGAGATGCCAGGTCTGAATGAAGTTTTCTTCCCTTGTCCTGGCTGATTAAGTCCTGAGGGAAAGAAAGAGTTATTGGGGGACTATATGGACAACCTGTTGAGCTCTACCACCTGGCCAGGTAAGGCTAACAGAGTGATTAATCCCAAATCCTGCGTGATCTTTTTCATTATTCATGGGATCAGATGGATGGATAGGCAGTCATAATATAGACCTTGAGTCCACAGAATTGGAAAAGTATCTGACTGTGAACTGGGACTCGGTCCTCTGGTGGAGCAGAAATTTTTGTACTTCTTGTTCTTGATTGCAAACAAATCTGTGCAAGGAAAATCCCACTGGTCAAACACTGACCCAATGACAGAGTCCTTCACAAACCACTTGTGGTTCTGTTAGAAATATCTGCTGGCATGTTCTGAAGACATGGCAAGTGGATTATCAAAACAGTTATTTGGTGTTGGATATGCCTTTCCACAGGTAATGGCTTTCTTGCATAGACAAATGGATCTGGTCCTTCCCTGCTTATTTACATAAAATGTTGCAGTTATAGTGTGTCATTATTCGGATGCTTTGTCCCCTGATGTGGCTGAGAAAAGCCATATAAGCAAGACACTGCTCTGTATTCTAGAACACTTATATGTAACAATCTTCTCTTTGGACCACCAACCCTGTGCTCTGAGATAGCTAGGATGGGGAGCTCATCTAGGCATCGAAACATCGGTCACTGTACACTTCACAGGAAGTGATGGGTAGAAAGCAACACCCTTACATACTTGATGTGGTCCTTCTACCAGTTTAACCACCTCAAGACTTGGGGGATTTGAATCTTCATGTCTTTATTATGAAGGTGTGGGCTATAAGAGGACTACAACCATTCCTCTGACAACATTGATGGAGTCTGGCGATTGCAGTCACAAATGCGCATAAGACCACGTCCTACCAGACAGATATGTCCTTACAGTCGTTTGAGGATTTTCTTGATGTTGGTTGATTAGTAGAGACATGTCAAATTTGGCTCAAGGTAGACAGACTACACCACAGCAAAAGTGTATCTGGGCTCTGATAAATTACATTTTCTGAGCATGAGTTAGGGAGGATTAGTCCTTGTTTATATTGAGCCCTAAACCTGTAGAATATACTCAACCACACAAGGAGACAATATACTGAATCCTGTCCATGACTTGCTAGGGAGAAGTTCCTTGAACCAACCAGACATCAAGGTACATTAAATGAGCTGCTACTGCAACCAAACATTTCACAAAAGTTCTTGGGGCTTTTGACAAACCAAAAGACACACTTTGTACTGAACGTGTGTGTTGCTCACCACAAAAATGTAGAGATTTCCTGTGCGCTGGATGGATGAAAACATGCATCCTGGAGCTCAACAGCTGCAAATCAGTCTAGAGGATCCAAGGTGGTGATTACTGAGGACAGGGTCACAATCCAGAACTTGAATTGGCCGATGAATGTGTTTAGGTTTTTAGGTCTAGGATGAGGCAGCCTATTGATTTTTGGGGGGACCAGAAAACAATGGGAATAAAAGCCCTTTCTTACAAACCGAGGAGGAGCCGCCTCACATTGCTCCTAATTTCAGGAGGGATTGTGCCTCCCAATGTAACAGACTCTCATAAGAACGGGTTCCAGAAAAGGGATGGTGAAGACAGATGGATGGTAGGAAAGTCTTGAAGCTGAATGGAGTAACTTTCCCCCTATTATCTCCAGCACTCATTGGTCAATGGAAATATGGTTTCAGGCTTCCTGAAAACTAAAGAAATGGTTCCCAAAAAGGGTGGGGAAAGGGTAAGGATCTCCCAAAACTGGCTGACGGCTCTAGAAGTGACCGTCAAATTAACTGCTTCGAGGAAGGTAACAGTGTCATGGCAATGGTGACAACATATTAAACTCAATTGGGAGGATAGGCAGACCTGTGATAGGAGTATAGTTATGATGGAAGGCATTAATCTATAGACAACTGGAACACAGCTTGAGGCTGTGGCTGTGCTAAAGAGATGTCAGGGCTTCAGGTGTCTCTCATATCCCCTTTTCTGATATCCCTCAAAATCAACAGGGCTCTGGCCACTGATGCCTTGATCAATTCCAGAATCTCAGGGAATGGTCTGTTGCAGCATTCAAAAGTTATGTTTTACATACATACACAGAAATCCCATCAAGTTGAGTGTAAACATGATGGCCGCCCTCCTGGCCAACAGACCAGGGATCTACAGAACTAAAAGCCATGAGGTGCTTGCAACTGCTTGAGCTACAAGCCAAGGGTTCTGTAAACTGGGGTTGTAACAACTCATATGCTCTGTTGACCAACATAGAAGTGGACTGTAACACACTCACCAGTGGGTTACATAAGACCTTTGCAAAAGCTTAACAGAAGAACAGGGACCGCAAGTGCAAGAGATCAGACACCACTAACTTTGCTCAGTCTTACAGCCATGGGTGGTGAGAAGGAATTGAGGGTCTGTTGGTCATTCCACACCCCCTTATGCTCTCAGGCTGGGGGGCTCAAGGGCATGAAAGAGGTAGGTGCAGCCTAACTGACAGTGCTAGCCAAAAGACTTCCATTAAGTTCATGGGGCAAACGTGCACCAGACATGGAAAACATACAGACAAGCACTCAAAAAATAACTTCTCTTTACTTACCCTTTTGGCTTACAAAACCAACAACTAAAGTAAAATAAGTAGTCTTGGGGTCCAAATGAAGGTTACTGTTTACCAACATTATGAACCCAGATTTCCAAAAATGCACAATACATTATCTTTGCAGCAAGGGTGTCCCATCCTAAGATTTTCTAAGTCTATGAATAATTGCCTTTCAATTTATATTATCTTAAAAATTTCAGTGGCAATCACTTCCAGGTGCTCCATCCCTCAAGAATCCTAGATTTTATCAGATGTTTCAATAATAATCTTAGTACCTACTTACATCATTTGTTCCTCTGCTTTTATATTTTCTTCCTCCTTATATTACAGGGTAAACACAGAATCATGAACTCTAGTCTTAATAGGTAGGCAAGTAAAGGAAGAATTTATTCTCAAATTTATTCTTTTATAACATATTTATTTGTAACTCAATTTTACACATATTCTACTATTAATGAGTGCTTAAAACAGCTTAATATATTTTAATCAAAAGCTTTCCCATTGAAATTTAAGTTACCATTACGGATGAAGGATTTATCATTACATCAATGACGATGCCTACAGAAGTCAGTTTTTCTGTATATTAGGAAAAGCTACTTTATAAACTCTCTGTAAACTCAAACATACCATGAAAGTGCACTCAATTATGGCACAGAATTTATTTTTAGACTTACTGATCGCACCACTTCACTAATCAGAATGACTGGTGTTCTCTTGCTAGGATTTGATGGCAATATCCATTGACTGTACAGTTCAAGCAAGAACTGAGAGCAAGAATGTATATCAACCCCAGCCCGGTGTTTCCTGCAATGTACAATGAGCAAAGATTACAATCACTATATTCATGTTTCTTTTCAAAGTAATTAGAAAAGCAATCCTTACACAGCATCCATTTTATAAAAGGCAACATATAATTCTCTTTTAATGACTTCAAAACGCAAGAACTATTAGCACTGAAGTCTTTTCAAAGTGGCAAACGAAAAAAAAGCAACACAAGTGACCTGGAGTTAATAGGAGAGGTTGGTGGTGAAGAAGGAGCAGGCATATCATTCTCGTCTTCTTCATCTTCATCCCACTCCTCTTCTCTCAATGGAGTGATGTTATTTCCTAGCCACACGGAGTGTATAGAAACCTTAAATATCAGAAAACATTAACTTGAAAAATATTTAGCTTTTTCATAATCAAATTAGAAGTTGCTAGAACAAAAAAGCTATAACAAACTTTTCTATTTAAAAGAGGAGCAAAAATACTGTACAGTATCAAGATAGGTTTATAAAACCTTTATACCATTATTTTTATAGTATTTTATGTTGCATATGTGTTGTGCTTATATGGCAGCAATAAGATTATGCTGTGCACCCTATCACTTCACTGCAAATACTGAACTTGTTTCTAAAAACGTATGGCATATTGAGTTTACAGGCACAACAGTGAGTTTTACAGGCATCGATCATACCACTACACTTACAGTACATTAGCACAGACCCATTAAGCTATAGCTATAACCAACTGTATCTTATCTGGGAACCAATATAGGTATGAGCAAGTCCCAACCCTGAATTTTCTAGCCAAAAATACTTTCAAAAATGTTTCCTTTATTTATATTCTAGTGTCAAACTAGAAACAATTCAGAAAGTGCTACTACTGTAAAATTAAAGAGGACATGGGACGGTTAGTGACTGCTGGGTCTACTGCCATTTGCAAAAGTTTAGAAACTTAACTGGGTTTAGCTAATCGCAACTCCTATGCTAATTTCAGAAAAATGCTTGTGAGAAAAGAGAATTGGAAGGTCAGAGTTTGAACAGTCATGTTTAAAACAGCCAAGGCTCAAGTAATATGCAATATTAGAGGACTTCTACTATGAGATATATGCAGTGACATTGCTGCCTTCCCTTAGATATGTCTGGAGGAGGGGGAAAAAAATAGATCAGCATGAAACCCTGATATCATTCCACAGGGTTTTGTGGGAACATCTGAATATGTGTGAATCCCATCCAGTTTGCATAACTGGATTTTGCACCCTACTTTTTGGGGCTAAATAAATCCCAAACTCAAAGTGCCAGTTAGCTGACATGGCCTCACTGTTGGGTTGAAACTATGAAAAAAAATCAGACAAAACTAAAATCAATCTGGCCAATGCTCATGAAAGCTGGGACAAGTTGGCTGAACGGTTAATGAATCTTAGAAAACCTGATGAAAATGTTGAGCTTATAACCAAGTCCAGAACCAGCCAGGTTTTCTTTTGTTGCAGGTTTCACTATGAAAGTTTTACACAACTCTAGAAAAACACCACTTAGTATAAAAGATTTTGAGGGCTCTCCTAAATTTTATATGTTATATCATTCCTGCTCGTGTACAGGTTAATATTACAATTTTTATGTCTAACTTCGGACTGAAAATATTACTTTAAATGTGACTTTTTTAAAAAAAATCTGGATCCAGAACTTTCCATCTTCTGCTCATCTATTACTGTAATTTACTAACATTTCAAATATTCCATAGTGAAACTGAAGTTGAAGGAAACACAATCTACACTAAAACAATTATCCCCAGCCAGTTTTGCTAATTTCCATTGTGCTGTCAGTTTGCAGCATTGGGCAGAAAAATTAAGTAATGATGATTTTCAGATTTGCAAGTGTGTGTGTGTGTGTGTGTAATCTCACTGAGTCAGACTGAGTGTGCATTTCATTTCTATGACGCATTTTTAAAACCTTTCATGCTCTACTGTTCTTTGAAAACTAAGCAAGAAAAGTAAACTCCTTAAAAACCTATGTTTTGGAACATCCTTCAATATACTTCCCAGGGTAACTGTAAGAAGGTCACTAGTAGTTTTGTTCAAAAAAATCATCACTGGGATTGTTCACTGTCTCTGAAAAAATGGGACGATTTCATTTGGGTACCAAGATATGAATTTAGTAGGAACTCATTGGAAATATTGGCCTCAAGTGTTAAATATTTATAGCACTGCTTAGTTACACTTCTGTAAAGCATTACATTCATATCTGGCACACAATAAGAATGTTTGTATCAGTTTGCTCAATAACAAGTCAAAGTGATATTTTTCCCCGAGTACAGTAAGCTGAGACCAGTTTCCAAAAAGCAAGTTGTGCCCTTGCTTATCTTATCATTGATAAGTTTATGAAACCAGAAATTAGATGGAATTTTGTTGTTGTTGCTGCATAAGCCGAGTACAATATAGCTTGAAGATTCAGATACATTGGTTCTGCAATGCAGACTGCAGTAAAAACTTGTGTTTGCAAGTCATCTGAGAACCATCTCTTGACCACCACAGAGCAGCTCCAATTTTTCTAATTTAAGTTCAAAATATCATTTCTTACAATAACTACATTTTATGTAAGAAGCTGAGTCACAATTCTGAATTTTAAAGCAAAATATAATACATTTTTAAAGTATGTTTAAGTGCTCTAAAGGAAGAGAGGGAGACTAAGGAGTTAAAAATCTTACATAGATCACAATTAGAGAGAGGATTTCTGGTCTCAACCTAGACTACAAAACATGGTTTTACTCCAGTTATCTATATAAAAAGTTGCTTTAATCAGGGAATGAAGTTATTTCTATGAATTCTAACTTGAAAAAAAAAGTTTCTACACAAATAATTAGTCTAGCTAAACCAGCTTTATCTTTCCTAAGTGTATGTTTATGTTCTTCCATCCCTTCCCTAAAATTATTCAGAAAAAATACAGATTTGCTTCCTCCTTTTAAAAATAAAATAGGCTTAAAATGTTGCATTCTTGTTTGCTCTATATTGTGCAAGCAGCAGCTGTAATGATGATGTGTACACCACAACGTCCATCCAAGATATTCAACTATACTGAGGTTATGATTTTAGTTAAATTAGCTGGCATTATATAAAGCTAGATAGGAGCACAACACATACATACTTTCCCTTAGTCTAACCTTTTTAATATTTATAAATATTTTATATTTATATATATTATACACACAATACCCACATATAGCATTATACACACAACAATCAAGGATATTTATGTCATGTTTTCAGGGGCTTGCAAATTGGAAATAAAATTCAATCCAGGCAGAAAAAGTGGTACAAGATCTCAGTCCACAAGCTAAACAGCAAAATGTTTTGTTTGGGTTTCTGATTTGGAGTAAAGGCACATAGGTGAGTGAGGAAATGAATAAAGAATGTGAAAAAAATCCATTTGGCCATTTTAATTTTTACGGAAGTAAAAAATGATTCTCTCCAATGATTAATCTCTGGATAAGGATTAAATGTTTTTGTTATTTTGAGAAAGAAAAATAAGACTAATATTAAGTTATTTTAAAAATAAAGTTACTCATCATGAACAACAAATCCTAATTGCCAGAATATTCACAAATGTGCATGGTGCATTTTGGCAGGGTCATATTTTAGACTGCAAACTAAACTTAATTTCACAGCTGCATATTAGTCTAATGATGGAGTCACTTCAATTAAAAAAACTGAAAGGAAATTCAACACACAAACACCCTACTCCAGAAGATCATTTATTTCAATGTGTGAGGCTAAATTGTCTATATTGCATCTCTGGTACAGTGCTAAACACCAGAAGTTTGTATAATGTGTTTATACAATGAAAAATATTGTAATGCTCAGCTTTGTTGACAAAATTACTTGAAACATGTCAAAGGCATGTCATTAAGGAGTGAGCCAATGACATATTTGAAGATTTTACAAAAGAAATTAAATTGGAGGAGTTGAAGAAAAAAAAAGATCAGAAAAGTTAACTTGTGAATAAACTTAATTTTCACTCCATAGCGCACACGCACACAAAAAGCTTTCCTGGCCAAATAAACTCACCTTGGGCAGTAATATTTTTGGACGTAAGTGTGACAGACATGGCATTTTTCAGCAATATCCTTGATACACCTGACTGAATTAAGTTTATGTATCTTTGGGGTCCGTTATTTTAAATGAATGATTTATCTATTATCATGGGCCAGGAATGTATGTAACATCTGGAGTGGGGAAATGTGACAGATGTCAGACTTGGGGGTACAAAGGATTATGTTGCATAATGTGCCAGATAATAATGGACTTTTGGAACAAAAAGTGTTAAGTGGTTTTCCTGGAGACTATCTCGGGGAGGTGAATGCAAATTCCTGGTTACACAAAACCCAGCCTTTTGAAGCTATGCCCTTAGAAGTGGACTATTGTTTGCTATCACCTGTTACATGAGGCCAAGATCAAATGACCAAGCAGCATCAATGAAAGGCTGAACTATTCATGGTAGTTCTTATTCTGAATCTGTGACAGTTATGAACTTATAGCGATGGGGTGAACTCAATTGTGGGTTTTGAAGGACTGACTTCTATGAGAGCCTGAGGCTGGAGTTGGGGTAACCTCTTATAAGCTTTTTAGCATGCATGCAGGTTATTTTTTGTTTTTAAATGTGCTTTATTTGTAATGGTTTCACCTTAAGTATAAAATGTACTTGCATAGAAAGAGCTGTGTGGTAACTTGTAACTATAGCAATTATGCTGTTAGTAGCTTCTGGAGAGAAAGCAAAGCACAGACACTGGCCAAAATGGAGGCAGGGAACTGTGTAGCCTGGAAAAACCCAGGTCAGGAGGGAGAGACATGTAGGTCTCTTCTCAAGAGAGGTAATGACTGTGGAGCTATGAGACTAGAGTGGGTGTCCTCAAGGGACCATGGAGGTGGAATACGGGTGCAGTTGCCCTGAACAGTGACAAAAAGTACCTAAAAATGGTATTTTGTAATAGAAGTTCCTTCTCAATCAGAACTTTTGCATTGCTAGTCCTTCAATAAAAATGTTGGTATTGTCATAGCTGTAATGATTTTCTTGTAGGAAATACAAATGCCTTGCTAATGGACAGTAATATGACATCCAGCAAGTTAAAATATTCTCAACTAATAAAGGGGGAAACGGGTCCTAGAGACAGACAACATAAGTCTGATATTTTCCATATCTAACTTGGAAATACTAACTTGGGCAATTTAGATCTTTTAACAGTGACAGAAACCTTATTCAAATATAGTATTTGAAATTGAGAAGTTTTTGCTAATGCATATGTGCCTTTTTAAAATGGAATACTATTTTTCCAAATGGAGTTTAAATTTAGTCATGGAATGAAATATTTAAATTATGCATTTAAACATCAGAATTATTGATAAGGCATTATACTTGGTGCTAACAAGTATTTAATGAATCCTGGTGGAGAACTTGTGCTCCCTAGCTAGGAAATTTATTTACAACTCAAAAAAAACTTCACTTGTTTTGTTTTCAGTCAGGATTTAAGATTGTCCTTAGATTACTAAATCTAAATTGGATGTTAAGCAATGTTTCTTAAACTGGATTTTTGAGAATAAAGACAAGAAAGTTTTAAAAAGTTTGGGCTTGATGTATTAACTTGAACAAACCTGTCCTAGTTTATAGCCCATGTTTCCCATTTCTCGCTCAGTATTGATCTGCAGTAAAAGTTTTTCATGGCTGATAAGACCACCTAAAATAAAAAGACAAAGGACTTTTTAAACAAATGCCCAATAAACCTGAAAACTACTTTTTTTCTACATTATTTGTTCAGAATAGTGTATATGGTAATTCCTGTATATGTTTTTCTATCACATATAAGAAAAGTTACTTTTTTCAGCAAGCAGCCATCATTTCATTCACTGCAGGACTGAAGAATTATTGGTATAAATGACCATTGCACACATACCTGTGGTAGCAGGAGAAAGTGATGGAACAGGGTCCCATGCTTGATAAAAATGGTGAGTGGCAATATTATCCCTTTTAGATATCATTGCTTGGATTTCTTGTTCCACAATTCCTCTGATAACACTTAACTTCCTCCCAAACCTGAAAGCTCAGAAGAAAGCACATTAATGGTTTAAGATGATGTTTTTTCCAATATTTGCCTATAAAATTAAGTATGAAAATTACTAGTTTACTATTCTAGCTGCATATTCACTTAGTTGTTTTTAAACAAGTCTGAAATTTTGCCTGAGCTTAGGGTTTACTGTGATTAGGATTCCTTCCATATTTAGCTTAGAAAAACATGAAGAGCTTTCATCAGGCAACTGCTATGCCAACAAAAGAGATTTAGCTATATTTAAAAATAAATGTACTTGTAGTGTAGTGTTTCATTTTGGGGTTTACAAAATATAGCGTGTGTATGTATACGTACACACATATATATCTATATTATACACCACATGTCTACATGTTACTAGAATAACCTATCTTGTACAGAGCTTGATAGAGAGTTATCAATATACATTAATGTGCTTTCAGAACAGGTGAAATAATACCTTGTATCCAGAACTTTTAAAGCTTTATTGCGGGGCTGCTGTTCCAAGCAGCTAACTGCTAGATTCCCTGCAACTGGTATCGTCATTGCACTCAGCACCAAGGAGGTTATTGCTTGTACAGCAAGAACATTAATTTGAGTCCTCTCTGTGTCTTCCTGTAAAGTGATCATACTCTATGTGAAAGTGAAATTGGAAAATCATAAGTTCCACCAAAACCAATGTAATATATCACTTGATGCTACAGATGTTCTCTCAATACTCCAGTGGAAAGCAACACCACAAGGACTTTGGCAATGTTTCTGGTGAGAGTGTAGATTACTTCCTGACCAGAAATCATAGAATCATAGAATATAAGGGTTGGAAGGGACCCCAGAAGGTCATCTAGTCCAACCCCCCTGCTCGAAGCAGGACCAATTCCCAGTTAAATCATCCCAGCCAGGGCTTTGTCAAGCCTGACCTTAAAAACCTCTAAGGAAGGAGATTCTACCACCTCCCTAGGTAACGCATTCCAGTGTTTCACCACCCTCTTAGTGAAAAAGTTTTTCCTAATATCCAATCTAAACCTCCCCCACTGCAGCTTGAGACCATTACTCCTCGTTCTGTCACCTGATACCATTGAGAACAGGGTAGAGCCATCCTCTTCGGAACCCCCTTTCAGGTAGTTGAAAGCAGCTATCAAATCCCCCCTCATTCTTCTCTTCTGCAGGCTAAACAATCCCAGCTCCCTCAGCCTCTCCTCATAACTCATGTGTTCCAGTCCCCTAATCATTTTTGTTGCCCTTCGCTGGACTCTCTCCAATTTATCCACATCCTTCTTGAAGTGTGGGGCCCAAAACTGGACACAGTACTCCAGATGAGGCCTCACCAATGTCGAATAGGATGGGAACTGAAGCACAGAGAGACCACATGACTTGCCCAAGATCACAAAGGAAGTCTGTGGTGGGCAGCAAACTGAACCTAGATCACCCAAAGTCCCAGGCTAGTGACCTAGCCACTGGCCCATCCTTTCTCCCCATTCTGCCTACACAAAGCCTCTCCTAATTCATTCATATTTATTCTTTTTAGTTTATATTTATTTTCCAATACATTGTTTCCATTGCAGCACTTTGTAAATGTTCAATTTCAATAACCTTGTCTGTTAAATATGCTGAGGTAAAACATATTTAAGGGTCTTATTGATACAGTACTTTCAAGCAAGTGCAGGGAGATGGACCAGAGAGCGGGTTTTTCCATCTATGACTTCTATGGGTTAGTTCAGGATACAACAGCAACAGAGACCAAGCTACATTACACATCCTGCTCACTTTGTGATATAAATCTTACAACAAACAGTATTGTATCAAGCTACTTTTTAATACTAAAATAGGAATAGAAAATATCATGTGCAATCTGACCAAATTATTGTTGCTGTTGGAACCTTAGTGCATTTCCTGAGTCTGATTATAAAGATGCAGCCTTTTTCTGATGCAATAAGAGGTTTCCTGTAATCTTTTAATAAAATTAAGCATCTGTATTATCACAATTAGGGTTTGACATGTATTTCTTTCATTCTTCTGTAACTCAAAAATGGTTGAATTTTTTTCTCAAACTTTCCAAAACCATTCACCTACAGGCAGAGACTTTAGCCCAGAAGGTAAATGTTAAATATAAAGGAAATCATCTTGCAGTATTACAGTGGGCAAGGGTCCGCCTAACAGAGTAAAAAATTACCAATAAGGAAAAGCATTTATACTACATAAACATGTTACTGAATGGCTTTACCTCTTGTTGACTTTCTTCTTGGTCCATTACAATTGGTTGAGTTACAAGCACACCAAGGAGAGTAGCCCAGGTCTCTTCAAACTGAGTACGGCTGGTCCACCCTATGAATGTATTCAAAGGTATAAGGCTATTTACTACTTCAATGCAACTATAAACTAGCTTTTATTACAAACATGAAACAACATTTTAAAATGAGATGTAATTTCCACAGATATAATTTCACACTGGTTCCCTTCCAATTTAAGTCATTTTTATAATTGTCGTACCCTAAGTTTCTCCAATTCTATTTTAAAAAATGTCAATCTCTTACCTAAACTGGATTCTGAACATGCGTACTTAAATGATCCTATTCTGATTTGTTTTTCAGACACAATTATAGTTTTTGATCTTCTAGTTTAAAAGCAATAAAACCTCAATGCACAAAAATTTGAGAACAGGGTTTTCATAATACTACACACCAAAAGCATCCAAAAATAGATCCCTGACTACTAAAGTTTACATATAAAATAAATAAAATCTGAGAACATTCTTCCAACTAAGCATACAGAGTAATCAAGCAGGATACAGACTTACATCGTAGATTAGTCAAATACATCCTCTTCTGTGATGTGTTATCAAAACAATGATCTATTTTAAGTACACAGAGAATTTTATGGTGCAGCCTTGCAAATCTCATTTGGTGGGAAAGACCCATCCATTTTACTTACCGCCTCCATTGCTCTTTTTAATGAGCCTTGTGTGATATTATCTGATTAAAATATGACTATGAAGATCATTGTTGCTACCACTGCTATATAATTGCAACAAATCTTGTACAAAGTATGTCAAGTAAGGTGTCTATGGAAAGGTTATGATTTGCTGAATAGGATTACGCTATTTGTATGCATGTATCATTTTTGTATCTGAAGTTATGAATATTAACTATGTACCTGTATTTCAAATTTATTTGGGCATAAGCTTTCGTGGGCTAAAACCCACTTCATCAGATGCATGGAGTGAAAAATACAGTAAGCAGTATATATATCACACCACATGAAAAGATGGGAGTTGCCTTAACAAGTGGGGGGGGGGGGGTCAGTGCTAATGAGGCCAATTCAATTAAGGTGGAAGTGGCCTATTCTCAGTTGACAAGAAGGGGTGAATATCAAGAAGGGGAAAATTACTTTTGTAGTGCTAACGAGGCCAATGCAATCAAGATGGATGTTGCCCATTTCTAACAGTTGACAAGAAGATGTGAGTATCAGCAGAGGGAAAATTACTTTTTGTAGTGACCCATCCACTCCCAGTCTTTATTCGGGCCTAATTTGATGGTGTCCAGTTTGCAAATTAATGCCATTTCTGCAGTTTCTCATTGAAGTCTGTTTTTGAAGTTTTTTCAACAAAAAAACTTCAAAAAACAGACTTCAACAAAGAAACTGCAGAACTGGAATTAATTTGCAAACTATTGAAATAATTTGAACTTTTCAAGTTAAGTGGGTTTCCTAGGAAATACCTAGAGGGGAGGGAAGAGAGGGTTACTCACCTTGTGCAGTAACTGAGGTTCTTCGAGGTGTGTATCCCTGTGGGTGCTCCACTGTAGGTGTTGGTGTGTCCCAGCGCCGCCGACTGGAGATTTTTGGTAGCTGTGTGTGGTTGGGGCGCGCATGCACAGTTGTGCCGCCTTGTGGTGCTGTTAGTGCTTGCGCATCCCGGCCCCCCCTGTTCCTTCTCTACTATAACGCTCCTATTTAGAACTCCGGAATAGAGGGGAAGAGGGTGGGTAGTGGAGCACCCGCAGGGATACACATCTTGAAGAACCTCAGTTACTGCACAAGGCGAGTAACCATCTCTTCTTTGAGTGCTGTCCCTGTGGGTGCTCCAGTGTAGGGGACTGTAAAGCAGTGCCCCATTATGGCCAGTTGGGTTCCGGAGTAGGTTGGATAGTCGATGATAGTACCGTAAGACCTAGTATTGCATCTGCCTCAGAATCTTTTGTGATTGCGGAGTGGTTTGTGAACGTGTGTACTGAGGCCCAGGTTGCAGCCTGGCATATTTCTTTGATTGGTATATTATGTAGAAATGCTGTTGAGGCAGAAAAGGCTCTCGTTGAATGGGCCCTAATCCTCTGTGGGGATGCTATCGTCTGTTGGTAATATTTGTACGCAATTTGAAATCCATTTCGACAATCTCTGTTTTGAGATGGCTGTGCCTTTTGATCGTTCTGTGGTGGATATGAAGAGTCTTGGTGACTTACGGAAACGTTTTGTTCTATCTAGGTAGAATGTTAGTGCTTGTCTAACATCTAGTGCGTGTAGCACGGATTCCTGAGTAGACCGATGTGGTTTAGAATAGAACGCAGGTTGATTGATGTGGAATGATGAAGTTAACTTATGTGTGGTCTCAAAGTCACTTTGTCTTTAAAGAATACAGTGTAAGGCGGATGGGCCATAAGGGCCCCAATCTTGCCCACTCTGAGTGCTGATGTGATCACTAAGAGGAACACTACCTTCATTGATAAATGTAGTAGCGAGCAGGTAGCAAGAGGTCTGAACAGGGTTTTGGTGAGGCTCTTAAGTACGAAGTTAAGATCCCATGCTGGTGTTGGTTTGCGGACCACAGGGTACATGTTTTGAATTCCTGTAAGGAATCGTTTGGTGATTGGATGCGTGAAGGCTACAAATCCTTCTATCTTGTGGTGAAATGCGGATACGGCTGCAATTCTTGGAATTGTTTTGGATCATCTATCACCGTGGTTGAAGGGAACATGACTGCCTCATCTGGTGATGAAGAGGAACTGCGTTTCAGCGACAGTTCTTGTGTATCATCCAACTTCTCTATAGCTTCCGCAGGTGCCTCCGATGGATCTGTGGCTGTCTCCGTAGGAGGTCATATTTCCTTCCTTTGAGGGACGTGGGTCCCTTGCATTTGCGTGCTTTATGTCACCCCTGGATCCCAGTGTGCCCATTGCATTGGGAATGGTAAGGGTGGGCACATCCATGGGTTGGTCAACCATGGTGGCATGTCTCTGCGCAGGCATGTTTTAGTATTTCTAAGTGATGGTTGAGGTTTGGCACCGGAGGGGGAGGAGTGACCTGAGTAGAATACTCCCTCCTCCATATCGTCTTCCTCCTCGCTAGAGAAGGTCTTGGTTTATTGGCCTAAACGGTACCGGGGAGTTGTCAGTACCAGGTATAGAAGCCCCTGGTGTTGATGTTATTGGTCTGATCGGGGCCGGGGTCATTGGTGCTGTATATATCTGTTCAGACACTTGCTTTGGTACCGACCGCTTGTGTGTCTCTTTAATCGGTGCCGATGTGGCTGATTTCATCTTTATTGATAACTGCTCCAGTGGAGTCTGTACAGGAAGGTTACATCACCGCTTTAGGTATCGATGGCACCGGGTCCTTCCTTGGGGTGGATGATGCTGTGAAGGAGGAGGTAGTCTTATACCTTCCACTCGACTCCTCCTCTTTATCATTTGTGCTCACGGTGCGGCTCGTGCTGGATGTGCCCAGAGCATCCAACGTTCTAACTCTGCTAGCCACTGGCACCAAGGGTAATGATCTTGCCAGAGACAGTTTTCTCTTTAACAGCTCTTTCTGCAAGGGTGAGGCATCCCTTTTCCTCGATTTTCTGGAGGTTAGGGTGCTTTCCCTATCCAGGGAGGAGGTTCCTGGAGAGTCTTCTCTCTGGTTCTTATTACTGTCTGATGGAGGAGTAAGAGATTTTTCCATCAAAATCATTTTTAGTCTCAGATCACTCTCTCTCCTAGCTCTGGCTTTGGCACTGGTACCAAAAGTCTCTGATCAGTGACGCCGGGATGCAACGACACCTACAGTGGAGCACCCGCAGGGACAGCACTCGAAGAATAATGCAAGTTTCCTACTTCAAAACTCACACTTTGGAAGCTATGCTGTGAGGAGGGGACCCTTTATCTGCTGATCCCCGGTTATAGGAGGACAGATTAAAGACCCAAACAATATAAAGACGACACTTTCACATTCACGGGGGCCAGTAAGCTTATTAGCAGTGTGCAGGTTCTTTTCATGTTTTAATATGTTGCAATGCTTTCACCTTAAGAATAAATGTACTAGCTAAGAAAGAGCTATGTATTACAATTCTGAGCTCAATTTAGTGCTCACTGAATTACAGTAATTCTATCCTGCTCTGCAATACCCACTATTCCACTTCACTGACTATCATTCTCTGTGTAGAAGTACCAAAACTGAATTGTTTGCGTGTTTTTTTCATAACACTGATATACATACATACATACATACCCCCCCCCACCTCACTCCCTCACCCCCAATTAGAAAGAGACCAGTGGATTCATTTTAGTTTGGGAATTAAGCAGTATTTTCCTGCTCTCCGAAAGGGAAAGACGAAATCATGATCACAGGATATTTTGATTTAGTTTCAACCCAGAGTAAGGTTTTCCTATACTTCATTTTTGCTTTTATAATCAAACCTAGTTTATCTGAAGCTCATATACTCAAAAGTTATGTATCTGACACAAGGTCAAGTCCTCCATCATGTATCAAAGACACCAAAAATGTCCCACCACTTATCCAGATTTCTTTCTATCCTCCAACACATTTGAGTAAACAGTGATGGTCTATCAAACATAGGTTGTTCCCGGATCTACATTCCAAACGATGAATTTACATACTTCTGATAGCTAGAAAGAATAAGTATTCGAAAGAACCATAAACATGTTGTCTACCTACCCAGTGTATTAATGCGATAGATGAACTCTTTAAAGATTTCTTTTTCTTGAAGAAATTCTACAGGGATTTCTGGAAAAGCTGTGCCAAAATCACCTGCAGGTTTTGGTGACCAGCCTAGTTTCCAGACCTGTTGGAATATAAAAAGGATACTAATTATTTTAAAATAGTAAATGTTATATTAATCTAACAGCTATGATCATCACATTTGGAATTAAAAATAGCAAGATACCAATAGTAAAGATAATCCATCCTAATGCACAATGGATTTGTAAAAAGATTCTAAATTCAAACAGTACTTTTATGTGCCTACTACATATTTGACAGTCTTTTTCATGGTATTTTAAGCATGTGTTACACAACCTGCTAATAACGCAATGAAAATCACTCAACTCTTCCAACAGTAACAAAAACAAGTGGATAATCTTGTTACTAAAAAGCGTTTAAAAACTTTTTTTTTGTGACCGTTTCTAGTAACAGACTTATTACCCTTCTTCCTCTTTACTGAAAGTTGTCAGACAGGGAAACTTTTGGTAAATAAAAAAGCCAAGGTTTCTTTTCTACCCTTACATCATTTCAGAAGTAAGTATCTGAATGTGCTAAATCCCATACTCTTCACTTAGAGACCATACAGCACATCTCTCTCTCTCCACACTGGACTGAGTTTCAGAAGTTATTAGATCAATTATGAATTTGGTCTACCTGAGTAATAGCGCATAGTACTGACACTAGGCCAGTAAAAAGAAAGAGGTAGTGCCTTGTAATAGCCAATTAAATTAGTTTGACATTTAAAGGATTCCATGTTTGCCTTAAAACCTGAACTGTGTTATTAAGACATTATGCACAAAACCTATATTTAATGGCTAGAAGCCCATCTAGTCTCAGAGGACCCAAAAATCAATGCAACCTTACTCCCCCTAAGGCAGTATTTTAAAATGAGATGTTAAATTTAATGGAAATAAGTAAAACTTGGAAGTTCCATGTTTCACACACTGAACGGACATCAGACAAATCTCACATTATTAATCTGGATTACAGTGGTGCCAACAATGTGCAAGGTGCTTTCCAAATAAAGGGAGTCCTCGGACTTACGATGCCCAATTTACGTCGGACACCACTTACGACACGTTTCAACTGACTGCCTGTTTCGCCCCTATGATGCTTGTTTCGCCCTTATGGCACCCCATTTGCATAAAGTTTGCTTGACATACTTCCTGGTTGCGCTATACTGGTATGGAGCTAGAAGGGGTCACTTCTGATTGGCTTCGAGGCAGAGGGGTAGCTTGTTGCTGGATAGGGTTGCCACTTGTTTTTGATCGGCTCCCAGCCCTAAGCTCAGCCAATCAGAAAGCTTGAAGAGTGATTGGCTGTGCCCTTCTCCCTGGCTTTCTGAGCCTGTGTTGCCGGCATTCAGAGCATATGTGAGTTTGTGTGTTGATTTGAATGCTGCTTACAAAATACAGTGTACAGTAAATACATTGATGTTGCAACATTAGTCATCTATCATTCATTTAGCACAAAAATCTGGGTTATTGTGGTAAAAATAGTGCATCAAGCCTTGGTTCAGGAACCAATCCCCCCTTCACACCATTGATTCCTTGGGAAAAGCGATTTCGTCTTACAATGCAATTCTGAGGAACGAACTGTTTCGTAAGTCCGAGGACTCCCGTATAACTAACGCTTTGCCCCAAAAGACAGATTATAAAAGTCAAACACCACCACTCTCCCCCAATCCTTCACAGAAATCATATACTTTTAAAATAAGCCCTTTACCTACCCGCTATTAGTTGACACTACAATGTAAATGCTTTTGAGGGAAGGATTTGAAGGAGAGGTTGTGGCCTCTCAGACTAAATTAAGGGAAGGTATTCCACATGCAAAGGGTATCAAAAAAAAGCACAAAGTGAACAAAAACTTTTGACTCAAGAGGAAAAAAAGTGTTCTCTCAACACTTTGTGGCATCCAGGTTGTCAAACACCAGTATATGCAGATTCAGAAACACTCTCCCCCACAACAGCTCAAAACGCTTCTGATAATTCTGCTTTGTACTTTTAATCAGAGGATTTTAAAGTCCTTTAAAAATATTAAGAAATCTTGCAACAACTCTGAAATATTTATCAAGCCATTTTACAGGTATATTAACTACGCACTAGCAGGGCTAACTACCTTGCCCAGTTCAGTTAGCTAGCAGCAAATATGAACAGAATCCAAGAGTCCTGATTTTTTCTAACTACTGGAACCGTTTCAAACAAACAAACAAAGAACTCTCAAAGGATTCCATAATTCTAACCAAACATCCCACTCCACAGAAGATATTCATATTTGAAAATATTTTTACAGCTAGTATTGCCAGGCGCTATTTAAAAAAAGGACAAAAGGGGACAACCAAATCTGAGAGTAAAGACTGAAGATCTAGCAAATTATTATATTCATTTTATCCAAAAATGGCCAGTATTTTTCATCTACTATGAAAACAAACCATAATGCACGTACCAAGGGAGGTACTCTTGTATAACTGTTTACTAGAGGCAGTCTACCCAAGCTGACGATTATGTTCTTAAGGACAGGAGTGAGAAATGCTGGGATACTGTTGTTTCTCTTATGTCCCAAAGCCAAGACAGTCTGTAAACACTCCACCATTTCAGCCACCATTTCACAAGATGCTGTAATATATTTTGCTTCTGAGTTGAGAGAAAAACAAAAGTTCAGTGTAAAATATTGTGAATATATACAAAACGCATACAGATCTAAAGATACAAGAGGACACAAAAACTCCAATAAGCATATTTCTAACCAACTGAAGTGGAGTCTCAATGTCAGATGAGCCATATCATCACAGTAAATCCTCTTCCCACACCCAGACTTGTACTCATTCCCAATACAGTGCACCCTTCAAATGACAAGTTAATAGTTTTTACACTATGCAACTTAAGGTTCTCATAACACTTTTCAAATAGTGTTCCATTGACACACTGTCAGTTAAATTGCTTTAAACTGGAAATAAGGAGGAAAATCTGGCAAATTTTCTACAAACTATGTAAAACTGCATGGAAACTAGAACTTCACTGTTTACTTACTCTGAACATTTGAATCAACTTCATCCCCATTGACCCCTTTTGAAGTATTCTTCTTCCTTTCTGGACTAAGAAGCTGGTTTCCAGGTTCAATTGCAACTAAATTAGATAAATACAGAGAAACATTTTGATTATAGGTTTTTAATTATATTTCTCAGTTTTAATCCTTTCACAAAATTGTCAAAGCAGCACTTGTATTGGCAAGATATTTGACAAGTTCAAAGATAAATAAAAAATAAAAAGTAACTTCCATGGTGGAAACACATTTGGAAAAATAAAAAATTCTAAGGACAGTTAGAGAAAATTCTGCATTTCTTCAGGATTCTTAGCATAGGATCAGTGAGGTTTGCTGGTTTATTCAGAAGCATCTCCCATATTTGTGAAAATTTAACTCACCTGCCTCTATTATAAATCTGACACAATTAATTAGGGAGCAAGCCTGTGTCACATACACTGCAGAAGCCAGCAAATTCCAGAGACCAGGTTGCTGTAATGTCAGGCAGCAGCATTCCAAAGCAGCTTGAAGATCTACACTTAGTGGAATCTGTTCATGTATTAAATGCCATGACAGTGCCTGTACAAGAAAAAGTTTTCCATTATATCAAATTGTCCCCATATGCAAAAATATGAGATCAAATTATTTTTATCCACATAATTACATATATTTGCAGCTACCAAAACAAGAAAAATTAATTCTGCTAGTTACAGTAAATTAGTATGGCACTAGTTCAAAAAGTTCCAGCTAGGAAAAAAAAAATTATAAGCACTATATTGAGTAAACTATCATGTTTATTCATCTTCCCAACAAGCCCCACAGTGCCGCTCTCCGAACTGCCAAGACCTTCCTGTCCCTCAGCCAGACTGCGGTGAGAAGTCTCCCTTAAAAAATTTTTTTTTAAAAATTAGTTTTTCTTGTCCCATATCCTCTGCTAAATTCTACCTGATGTGTACAATATACACAAAAGAGTAAGCACTGAATGAACTAATATTGGAAACTGACGCTTATACATAAACCTAGAGCCCAGAAATGCTTCTAGACCTGCAGAACTCGCATTGAATCTTCAAAGTTAGAGGGAAATGGAACATATTTGTAAACATTCTGTTGCACTTTTTATTACACTCACTCTCTTACCTCTAATGACATTACTACAAACTTCAGGATGTCACTCTCTTTGTCAGGTGGAATACAGAGAGATGCTGGTAATTTAGAGAGTAATAACAAATACTGAGCCAGTGCACGAGAGAGTTTCATCACAGTCTGATACACCATTGTGTCTCCTATAAAATAAAATGTCAGGGTAAAATCTAGAGGCTTGAAATAAAAATCATCATGGTTAACATTTTCTTTAACAGACAAAAAATTTTGGGCAAAATATTTTACTGCTGAGAATCTTTGATCCCATTAGAGAACTGACTTATTGTGACAACACTGTTATACAGTACAATAAAGAGAATAAGACCTTTATTTTGTATTACCAAAAATATCGCTTAGCTTGCTCCAATAGGCTGAAGTCTCAACTGGCTGCAATGGCTGAAAAACTTGATGGCTGGCAGGAAGTTTTTGAACAATGTTACACACATGGTCTAGGGTTACCCTATGGGCAGTTTCAAAGAGGCTGCTCTTTTGATCTTCTGAGATTTCGTTCATGCCAAGACTTAAACAGGGAGCTAACAAGCTTAAGTTGAACTCCTGAAATCACAAATGGTACATAAAAGTTTAGAAAGGACACATTTCCATGGAGAAAGGAAATTAAAGCAGTTGGGTAATACTATGCAAATTAATAGATCAACATTATGGAAGAGCCACTGTGATTGCCACAGTTAAGGTTGTGTTCTGTTTCATACTTAAAACTGGATTCCAACTTTATTTTGTTTGGAAAATGCCATCTGTCCCAAATTTGCAGCACCTAATTTGCATAAAACTAGAGTTTTCTATGAGTTTTAACTGATTGCTCTGTGTGTGCGTATGGGCGGGGGGATGGGGCGGTGGCCTGGGATTCCACTGGTGCTCGAGGGGGGAAAGGCCCAGGACACTGCTGGTGCTCAGGAGGGGTGGGGGCAGTGACCCCAGGCGCCGCTGCTACACTGCACCAGCTGCTGCCGAAGTCATGGAGGTCCTGGAAAGTCACAGAATCCATGACGTCCATGACAGACTCACAGCCTTAACAATAATTAATGCACTTGGCTATCTAGAGCACCTTTCAATTGGGAGCTCAAAGTACTATTTTAGTTGTCCAAAGTTAGTAAAACACAAAAAGTCAACAAAAACTAAGTAAAATTTAAAGAAGTTTTAATTTCTTTTTTAACAGTCTAATTTGGTCATTAACAGTAATATGAATAGGGACACTTTAAAATTTTAAAATATTTAGCAAGTGTCATCTTAAATTCTCCTCTTCTCATTGTGAGAGACATTACCTTACTGGTCATGAAGGAGTTCAGTTCAGGCTGAGGTATCCTATTCACCAGCTCTGCACCTTCCAGCAGTGCAGAGTCTGACCTGACCCAGCACTGTGATCTGACTAGTGATACATACCAGTCCTTTAAAATAAATAAATAAATAAAATGAAATTTACTATACATTTACTTTTGACAGAGCTAGAAAATAGTTCAATTTTGTTTTACCCACTAATTAGTCTTCTCAAAGAGACTGTCCCTTTGCCAATCCAGAATTACTGGATTAACCATGCCTATTTCTATCTGTGGACACAGAGCTGTATATATTTCAATTTAAGCACTGAAATTAGGTCCTCTTAAGAGACTATTAGGTGTCATCTCATCTAGGCAAAACTTTCAAAGCATAAGGGGGTTAGTAAACAAGAATAAGAAAAACACAAAGCAAGAAAGAGCACACAGGATTGCTGAACAGACCGAGGTGGTCAGAGATAAGAAAGATGGTACCTATAAGTCTCTTAAGGAACCAGTGAACAGTTCTGAAGTAGCAAATGGACAAGTTTATCACAGTTAGATATAAATGTATGTGCATGATATTTGGTTAGCTGCAGAATTTAAGAAGAAATAGGCAGCTGATGTTTATTTACCACATTATTCAGATTTGTGCACAGAGCACTATATGGGGATTAAAAAAAGCTTCATTCATAGATATCTTTTACTAATAGAAAAGCTTGTTATAGCACAGATAGCAGATGTATTTTCCCATGAAATATTCTAAATATGGCCTTACTTTGTCTGGAATTACATTCTCTAAGGCTGGTTGGTTTTCCCCATCCAGTGGGTGTGAAGTAACCAAAGGTGAAGGGCTAGTTGTTTCTGGTGCTACTGTAAGACGAAACCTGTCCAATAGCGAGTAAAGTCTTTGGTGTCTGAAAACAGATACACACATCAGAAAATTCGAATTTTAAAAGGAGAGAGATATGGGAAATACAGGTAAGGTACATACTAACTATTATTTGTTAAAAGTATTTAGAGTAAGAAAGATAATTACTAGTTCAACATGCCAGAGAGAGTGAATTTTTCAAGTGAGCTTTACATGAGATCAAGGAGTTATATATTTAATCCAAAATTTTAATACACTACCTTCAAATCAAGTTGTCTTTAGAAGTTGGTCAGGAGTAAATAGATATATTTTACTGAAAGTCATTGTTTATTTTAGATTAGTTTTTATTCAGAATTGCATTATGCCTTACAGTGCAGTATGCTTTGGAGTCCCATCCCCCTTTCCCCACAAAAAAAAATTTATATTTATTTATTTATTTAAAAGAGGACAAGGATAATATGTTCTATAAATAAAGTTAACCAATACCAAAAAAAGTTTTTTTTATGAGGAATACCTATTTTACATTATGCTACATTTAATATACCTGTGCTAATTACCTAGTACTGATATTCCATTCTTATCACTAAAACTAATTTTTCCACTTTTCTACATTGTCCTCCAGCAGCTACCTATCACAAATTGAATTTGAAGGAAGATAAACAGTTACTCACCTTACAGTAACTGTGGTTCTTTGCGATGTATTGTCTATATATACACATTTTCCATTGTTAGTGTGCATACACCCAGTGAACTCAAGTTTACATTCTTTTGAACATCATTTGTCTGTTGGGGTATGTGCCCAGAGCATCCTCATGCCTTCAACCAAGGGCTTAAAGAGCAGGGCAACCTCAACTGCCCTTCAGTTCCTTTGCCAACAGGTTTTAATTTAGGTTTTAATTAGGGTTGTCAAGCAATTAAAAAAAACTACAATTAACTGTGCTGTTAAACAATAATAGACTACCATTTATTTAAATATTTTTTGATGTTTTCCACATTTTCAAATATATTGATTTCAATTTCAACACAAAATACAAAGTGTACAGTGCTCACTTTTTATTTATTTTTATTATAAATATTTGTACTGTAAAAATAAAAGAAACAGTATTTATCAATTCACTTAATACAAGTACTGTAGTGCAATCATGAAAGTAGAATTATGCACAAAAAAATAACTGCACTCAAAAATAAAACCATGTCAAACTTTAGAGCCTACAAGTCCACTAAGTCATACTTCTTATTCAGCCAATCGCTCAGACAAACAAGTTTGTTTACATGTGCAGGAGATAATGCTGCCCGCTTCTTTTTTACGATGTTACCTAAAAGTGAGAACAGGTGTTTACATGGCACTGCTGTAGCTGGCATTGCAAGATATTTACATGCCAGATGCGCTAAAGATTCATATGTCCCTTCATGCTTCAACCACCATTCCAGAGGACGTGCGTCCATGTTGATGATGGGTTCTGCTCAATAACGATCCAAAGCAGTGCAAACTGACTTATGTTCATTTTCATCACCTCAGTCAGATGTCACCAGCAGAAAACTTATTTTTCTTTTCTGGTGGCTCGGGTTCTGTAGTTTCCGCATCAGAGTGTTGCTCTTTTAAGACTTCTGAAAGCATGCTGCACTCCTCGTCCCTCTCAAATTTTGAAAGACATTTCAGATTCTTAAACCTTGGGTCGAGTACTGTAGCTATCTTCAGAAATCTCACATTAGTACCTGCTTTGCATTTTGTCAAATCTGCAGTGAAAGTGTTCTTCAAGCGAACAACATGCTGGGTCATCATCTGAGACTATTATAACATGAAATATATGGCAGAATGCAAGTAAAACACAGAGCAGGAGACATACAATTCTCCCCCAAGGAGTTCAGTCACAAATGTAATTAATGCATTATTTCTTAACGAGTGTCATAAGCATGTCCTCCAGAATGGTGGCCAAAGCACGAAGGGTCATACAAATGTTTAGCTTATCTGTCACGTAAATACCTTGCAATGCCAGTTAAAAAGTGCCATGCGAATTCCTGTTCTCATAGAATATCATAGAATATCAGGGTTGGAAGGGACCCCAGAAGGTCATCTAGTCCAACCCCCAATTTTTACCTCACTTTCACTTTTCACCTCACTTTCAGGTGACATTGTAAATAAGAAGCAGGCATCATTATCTTCTGTGAATGTAAACAAACTTGTTTGTCTTAGTGATTGGCTGAACAAGAAGTAGGACTGAGTGGAATTGTAGGCTCTAAAGTTTTACATTGTTTTGTTTTTGAGTGCAGTTATGTAACAAAAAAAAATAAATCTAAATTTGTAAGTTGCACTTTCACAATAAGGAGATTGCACTACAGTAGAGGTTCTCAAACTGTGGCCCGTGAACCACCAGTGGTCCGCGAGCTCCATTCACTTGGTTCGCAGATAGTTCCCTCTACAGTGCACACCTGGACAGCCACACACGAGAGAATGAAGGGCCACCCACTTAATCAGTGGAGCTGCACAGGCATGGCTCCACTAATTAGGTGCCTGGACCCTGGAAAAGACGCACATATAAGGTGAGGTGCTAGCCTTCGGTAGTATAGGGGGTAGATGGGAGGGGGAAGTGGGATGAGAAGAGGGGCTGGGGGGGAATTTGGGATGTGCAGGGCTGAGGCGGCCAGAGAAAGAGGTGACTTTCCCCAGCTCCAGAGCTGCGGCTGCTGGGGACAGATGGCCCTCATTCCCAGCCTCAGCTCTGTGGCTGGTGTGGTGGGTGAAAGACCCCCACCTCCTTTCCAGCCCCAGCTTGGGGGAGAGGGCACATCTACTGCACTAGAAAGGTAAGACTACTGATATTAAAATATGAGTTGTGTGCTTTTATTTGTACCACGTAAAAACGTTTATTATTGGGGTTTTTTTAATATAGCGGTTATATCCAAAGCGCTTTACAATAGTTAGCTAACACCATTAATTTGGGCTTGAATAGGGACTGGGAGTGGCTGGCTCACTACAAAAGCAACTTTACCTCTCCTGGAAATGACACCTCCTCCTCAATTATTGGAAGTGGACTACATCCACACTGATTGAATTGGCCCTGTCAACACTGGTTCTCCACCTGTGAGGTAACTCTTCTCTTCATGTGTCGGTATAATAATGCCTGCATCTGTAATTTTCACTCCATGCATCTGAAGTGGTTTTTTACCCACGAAAGCTTATGCCCAAATAAATCTGTTAGTTTTTAAGGTGCCACCAGATTTCTTGTTGTTTCTGTGGATACAGATTAACACGGCTACCCCCTGATGCTTTACAAATGTGCAGAATAGGGATGTGTGCAAGGAAGGACAGTGAGGATGCTTGTCATCTTGTGAAGAGAGCACACAGCTAGCCAGGTGGTGAAATGCCTGCCAGATCAGAACATGCTTGCATACGAGAAGTAACCCAAGATGAAATTCTCTGAGATTGGAAGAGCTTTCATTGTGTCTGCAATAGTCACAAACAGTTGGGTAGACCACCAAAATGGTTTGGTCCTGTATATGGAGAATGCCAGTGCCCATCTAACGTCCAATGTGCATAGCTGTTGCTCATCTCTATTTGCATGTGGTATTGGGTAAAAATTCAGGAACTTCAATTAACTGATTGGTAACTACAAAACAAAGGGGGAAACTGTACAGTGAGCAAAGAGGCTTGAAAACTGTAAATTCCAACTCATACCCACAGATGGCGAGAAAGAAATGAGAGGTGGCTAGGGTCACCCTGCTTTTGATATCCTCTGTTGGAGGCATGAGGACACTCAGGGTGCATGCGTGGACTGCAACAGACACTGCTGGTCAGAAAATCCAAATTCAAGTGCATTAGGCATATGCGCACCAACAGTGGAATACATATGGACAAACACTCAAAAAAGAACTTTGTGTTTTGGTAGGAAAACAAAAAACAATAAATTTGCTGTGTTACCAAAACGTAGGAGACATTAATCTGCATTAGCACTAAAAGATGTTGTTTTCTTCACTGAGCTACTTATGTTGTTCAATCAAAAGTGAGTGAACCAAAACTGCTGATTTAAGTTCAGAGCCTGCCCTTATGACTGATTTCCACTAATTCTACGAAATCACATTGACACTGACATTTTGCAGTGCTCTGTATGGAATTTGAAGTCACAGCTCTTACAACTCAAACAGGGTTTCAAATTAGCAGACCTTTAAAAAAAATCTATTTTTTTCATAAGAAGTTTAAATGCATAGTTCTTTTGATAGACATTCCACCTCCAAAATATGTAGAAACTAGTTTACCTTCTACTAGCTAATGCACTGAATGCTATATATGGCATGCCCAGCAATATGAGAAAGGCATAGGTTATGGTGTGTTGCAACAACAGGTCTGACCTTTTTTTAATCTGTCAATCAGATAATTTTTCTGGCATACACTTTGTCCCCGTAAGAAGAAATTCAAAAATGGTCTACAAACGTACCCAAATATTCTTAAAGAGAGACAATACTGGCAGAAAGCACATCACTGATAATACTGGTCATGAGCCTCTTACAAACCTTTTCAAGATTCAACTTAGACATTTCTTGCTCTTACTATTGTTTCTTGACTTTTGTTACTATTATCAATAAAAAGTCTACTCCACAAGTTATGTTGGGAGTTGTATGATGGAACAAGTCTTGTTAACTAAGCTTATCCCAGGGATGCAGGCAAGAGATAACAATATTATATTCTTTTTACCAAACCATTTTACAGTCTTGAGCCTTAGATTCTTTCCTCCCCACCAGCTCTTTCCCACAGGATACAATAAACTCCTACTGAAGACAACAGGGTTATTCTTAACCAGCAGTTGTGAGGAGCCAGGTTAATCAGGCTCCTGATCTTTACAAGGCTGTATCAAAATAAACAATAGTAACAGTTTGAATCCTTCTACACAAGCAAGATTAAACTTTGCTATAACATAGGTGAGAGACTACTGTGCTCATGTGACAACATGACCTGGACTTGGTCTGAACTATTCGTCTTTGAAATACTTATGAAAATTAAAATCGCCATTAAGAATTTATAGTCTTTTCCCAAGAATTTAGAGTCTTATAGAGGGTTCCCTCCACGCCCCAATTATAGCAGGCCAGCAGAAAATATCCTTGCAGATGTCCAGGTTGAGTTGTTGTTTTAAAATTCATCTACACTAAAAATTCTACTCTGTCAAGGCAACTAGTTACAACAAATGGTTGTTCCTGAGAGAGCTACAATATGGTTTCCATCTTGCAGTACAGAGAGGGCCTAATCATGTTTTAATTGGGTACTCAAGTCATGGCAAATCTGGGCATACTTCCACTTTTATAGACATAACTTTAAAAAGCAGTGTCACCTCATTAAAAACCATGCATGGTTTGTACTTATTACATACTATGTTATGACAACAGGGACCTATTACTAATATTTTACCTTGGTGCTAATCCACTGTTTTGAAGATATTCCTGAATTCTATCCAGTTCTTCAACTGGTAACTGAGAAATGCTGTTCTGTAGAAAACAGTGACAAAACAATAGATATGAAGCACCAACATGAATAAAACCATTCATATGTATATTAGCAGACTAAGAGCAGCAAGTAAAAATTATTAAACAATCTGGAGACCATAACACAGGATGAAACTGAATTACTCAGACATGCATGCTAAACAAACTGACATTCTGTTTTTCACTCAGCACTAAACATCACGGTCAAGTAATTAAAATGTACTTTAACTTACATCACATTCAATTATTTGCTGGTATTAGCAACTCTAATTTAGAGACATATATTTACTTTTTTTCCCTACCTGGAAAGTTGCAGCCAAAAGCATTTCTACTCGACGACAAGCAAGTGTGTCAACCATGCGAGCCAGCACACGGAATGGAGTACACAAAAGCTTGTCCACATACAACATTAACACAGCACCAGACTGGCTGAGATGAATGCCCTCTAAGCATTGCAGGGTCTTCTTTAGTGTTGTTGGCTAAATATTAGAAAAAACAACTGTTACATTTTTTTTCTCATCTTATTTATTTTGTACATACTGTAACACAGTTAAATATAAAAGGTGCTGGAACAACAGACGGACTGCGCGAAACAAGCAACTGGTTCCAACGCCTAAGAGTTTACAGACTAAAGGAACAGTGGTTACAAAGACAGTAGAGCAGACAACTAATTGAATGTTGTGTAAAAATTACTATTTAAACAGGTTTGAGGGTAGGTGGATTTTTAATTTTTTTAAATTAAGGAAGTGCAGAACAGGGGTTGGTGAACAGTAACTGGGGTGCTGTTCAATTGTACAAAGCAGCTAGACAGAAGACATGAAGTCTGAAGTGATGAATGAACAAACCATGTGATTAGAAGTGGCATAGAATTTAGGGAGCAAGAGTTAGTGTAGTAGTAAGAGAAAGTGAAGACAGAGGGTCTGGGGTGGAATTAAAGAGCTTTGAAAGTTACAGACAGCTTGAATTTAAGGTGAAAAGGAAATGAAGCAGACCTTAAAAGGAGCACTGGGAAAGGAAAATAGCATCTGCAGAGTTTTTCAGGATGAGAGACAACAAAAAGGCATGTTTAACCGTGGAAGGGATAATGCCTGTGCAGAGGTAGAGGAGAAGTGAGGTAAGAAAATGAGAATAAGAGGAGTAAGGAGATTATAGTGGCAGATAATATGGTTGATAAAGAACAGAAGGGATACTTCACCACTAGAGATTTGAATGAGGAGGTGCAGAGAAAGAGAAGATAAGTGTTCAATGCTGTTTATTTTAATTTTCAAGCAGTTTGTGAAAAGTCTAGTAAAACAACTTGTCAATTAAAGCACAGCTGTCACCAATGTTCACTTTTAAAAGAGAAACTTGAGTGAATGAACCTGTCTTAAAATAAAGTTTAGCATTGTTTAGTTCCCTCACTCCCAAATATATGCACATAAACCTACTTCCTAGGAAGCCTTCCCCTGCTTATGACTTGAAAGAGATGAATATGCAGACAAGGGAAACGGCAACAAGTTCAGAAATCTTCATGGAGAATGCACAACCCATTAGTGTAGGATTAGGGAAGAGGGCACAAACCAGCATTGCTCTTTTATTACTCTTTAGTCTTGTTAGGGTCAACATGGCAGTGAACTGAATCCTACTTGTTCTTCGGCATCAGCAGCAGAATCGTCTACTGATTTCCAAATATCTGTACACAGCCATTGAAGGCAAAGGTGCTACAAAAATGTCACAAAGGACTTAATTTGCATTTCAGAACTTTATTACTTGTGATGATGCATAGCAAGGAAGGAACGTAGATTGACTGACCCCAGTTGAATTTATAGGACTGGCAGTTGAGCAAAAAAGTCTTAATACTTTCCATATCAAATATGCTCAAATTATGAAACAAACATGGATGCTTTTTACAGAGTTACTTCTATACTTTTTAATTAGTGTGTTTTCCATTCAGGAGTACAATTTGTAGCGAATACACATCAGTGCAGAGGCTCCTAGAAGATAAACAAGATCCATGTTGCATTTATGATTTGATTAATCTATAACACAGCAACTGACAAAGTATGTTTGCACTCTGTGAGGCAACAGAAAGGCTATGAAGATGAAAAATTTGAGTTTGTAAATAAAGAGGCTTAAGATCATAAATTAATTTCTCTCCAAAGGGTTGTAAACATGTGGGGAAGTGAACACAAAGTTTTTAGTTACCCAATGTCTAGAGTTTCTTTGTATTTATTAGTTAGTATTAGCTTGTAAGCTCTTTGGGGATAATCACATCTACCTACCTGTGTGTCTGAGTAGCACTAAGCACAATGTAGTTCAGATGCCAAGAGTTGTCTTTTGCACCAGTGTAATACATATAATAAGTTTTGCACCAACACCACATTTGGTGCTGTAAAAGACCCAGAAAGGAAAAAGCACTCAAAGTGTTTCCAAATACAGTTAACAAGAAAGGCCTAAACTTCATTACTAAAAGGTTCAGGTCAAACTTACAGTTGCGAGGTTCTCACACCGAGACTGAATAGCCTGGATGAAGAGACCGCTGGCTGCTGAATTCCTATGAACAGCACTAATAAAGTCTTGTACTGGAGGCTCATGAGACAGATTAATCAGATCTTGAACATGATTCACTATAAGCCACGTCAAGTGTTCTGAATCATGTAGGTTTTGACACTATGGGGAAAAAAGGTAAAAATTATGGTTTCCATAATTCTAAAATTACCATTACTACCACCCGTGTAAGCATTTCATTATTAAAAAAATAACAAACAATGCAATACTATTTATACACAATTAAAAGCAAGTAATTTTCCACTGGAAAAACTGAACCACATTATGTTAAAAATATTCTGTTTACAAGTGTGCACGTTTCATTTCCTTCTAAGCTTTATTACTATGATCATTTGCATAACCACCAGATCTTTTCTTTCAACTTCATTTGATCCTGTTGCAAATACACCTGAAGTCATAATCCTTTATTTGCAACAAATTATTTCAACATCCATTATGTTGTAATCATAAAGACAATGAATACTGGTAGAGAACAAATGGAAAGAACTAGTAAACTCAAAGACCCTGCTTTCATGCAACATTTTTAGTAATGAATGAATTGATACACACTTAATATGTATCAGAATTGTTTCTGCAAAGTCTCAATGTTTGTCTCTAGTTTTTGTTTCCTTTTAAAGTGAACACCCCATATCTTTCATGGCAGTTAACTATTTATGTCTTCAACAGTTAATTTTTCTCACTTGAGGCAGAACAATCTTCTAGAAAGTGTGTACTAATATCAGTACAGAGACTGACTCCTGTAACACTGTGTTTGAGAGCCTACGAAATCTGAAGCCATGGGAGTTGCCCTATTCCTGAGAGCCTGAACAGAACTGGGGAATGCAGTAGCAGAGTAAATATATGTAGGAGGGTTTAAGGTGAAAAGAGTTTATTCTAATTATGACATGCAGAAACACTCAGCCTCAGAGCAGGGTCTAAACTTTCATAAGCTTCTTAGTCTTCTCCTGAGATCACATATGTAAGAATACAATGTTCAAGACATCATTGTTATTTACAAAGAATAATTTTGTAGACAACTAAGATTCAGTGTAGAGAGAATGCCTAAGATAATGCACAAGTATCTAAAATAATCACACTAATAAGACATATGCATAGAAAGAAAAAAAAGAGCATCCACTTCCAGAAGTGAAAATTGATATATAAAAATTCCATGTAGTTCCCCATGGAAGTAAATATGACTAAGATCTCTCACTTTTCCCTTATTGTGATCACACTCTGTACCTCAAAGATAAAGCACCCAAGCAAAATCCAAAAAACAAACACTTATAGGTTTAAAATTCACAGTTCTAAACTTACAACATAGTCACAAAAAAGAATGAGCGCGCCTCTTCGTACTATCTCTCGATTGCACATGCCAAATTTGGATTCTGAATCAAATTCATCACTGTCTCCAGTTATCTGAGGGCTCAGCAATTTAGTACTGGAAAGACTGTGCCTCCTGTAAGAAAAACATGTTTTATTGCTAATATTTCAGTCAAAGTAGATAATTTACATTGTAAAGGAACCCATTTTAAGCATTCCTCAATATGAACTGCTTTGTCATTAGTTCTTTAGTCTCTTGTGGGGTGTTGTGGATTACATCTCATTACTAAGACTAAGATTTTGTCATTGCTATTTTTAGTAAAAGTCAGGGACAGGTCATGGGTAATAAACAAATTCACAGCTGTCATGACCCATCTGTGACATTTGCTGTTGCGGCACCATGGTTTTCCCCAAAACCAAGGTGGCGGGGAGCTGTGAGGTTCCCCCTCTGCCCATGGCAGCTGGAAGCTGTAGGGGGGCCCCCCTCCGCCCACGATGGCTAGGAGCTGCAGGGTGACCATATTTCCCAAACAGAAAACAGGACACCCCCAGCTGCTCGCCTGAGGCGTCCCCCCCTTCCAACTCCCAGTGGTCCCTCCACCACCCCTCCCATGCGAGGCTATCGCCCATCGCTGGAACCCTGAGAAGGGCCCCCTCAGGAGTCTGTCACATGTCGCTGGAACCTTGCAGGGGGCCCCCTGTCACTGGAATCCTGCCAGGGCCCCACTAGCTGCCAACTCCAGAGTCCCACACCCACTGGGGCTGAAGTAGAGAATGTCACAGAGGTCTCTGAAAGTCATGGATTCCGTGACCTCTGTGACATAAACATAGCTATACTCATCACCCCTCTTGTTCAATACGTATTACAATGTGGCTGACAGAGATGCCTGCAAGGAGACATGGGCTACAGAGCCTTCCATGTAATGATAAAACTCAGCACTTCTCTCCATCCAGCTACGGTGATTGAGCATCTAATCCAGTGTTGGGGTAAGAAAGACACCCAATCCAGATAAAAGGGAGCTGTTGCTGGTAAACTGGGGGAAACAACAGGAAGAACTGACAGAAATTCTATTAGCCCCCTTAACTGATACAGTATGTCCCACAGCTTGTTATTCAAATTCATAATTTGGTTCTTTATTTAACAGCAGCTTTCAGACAATCAAGTTGCAGCTAGGCCCAGGACCACTTTTTCTAATCTAGATCTGACTACGTTTGGGGTCTTTTCTTTCAGATACAGATCTCAAAACTGTCATTCAGAGTCTAGACAATGCAATGCTTGTACTCTGTCTACCAGATACTATATTTTAAGACCCTTTGGAAGCAGACCATTTCAAAAGGGAGGATTTGTTACGCAATGGCTGCTTAGTGAACAGATCTTTCCATTAATATACCTCACCAGTGCTCCATGATCTGCACTGGTTGCGTAGCAGTTGGAGGGTGAAATAAGATGTTGATATTGACCTATAAAGCCATAAGCATCCTGGGATCTGACAAGACCACCCTTTCCCTTATGTAGTATTTCCACAGTTGTAATCAGAGGCACTCAAGGTAGAATTCCCTCCCTTTAAAAGGGGAAACAACAACTGGCACGGAGTTCTACCTGACATGCCATCATGTGTGGAACACACTCTTTCTCTTGGTCTAAAGTAGTCAGATTTTACTGACCTTATGGAACACTGCAAAGACTGTACAGACTCCTTTATAAGTACAATAATTTCTTTAAGTGGTTCTAACACATATAGTACTCAAATTCTTAACAGCTAAGAAATCATATAAGCTACATTAAAAAACAAAACTTAATTAACTGTAGAAATTAAAAAACCTTACTTTGGTGTTTGATGCACCTCTGACCACCAGCTGTAGTTAGTGTAATTGACAAGAAGTAGGATTTGACACCAGAGAAGCACTAAAGAAGGGTGTGTGGGAATCATGAACTGAACAAGACCACTCAGACTCTCAAGGGTATAAAAACTACCATCAGATCCATCTCCTGTAAAAAGCCTGCTGGCAGCAGCTGTGATTCTTCTGAACATCCCTGGAAACAAACACACACATACATTAAGGGGAACCATGTATGTTACCATTTGTACTGAGAATTTTTAAAAAACCCTCATCAGTTACACAGCATTTGGAAAATTTAAACTGTCTCATTCTCAACCAAGCAACCTAACCCTTAGCATTCTGGGGAGGTAGATAAATTAGATTATCTCCATTTATAAATGGGGATATAGAAGCAGAAATGTTAAATGACTGTCCAGGGTCACAGGGCAAATCAGTGACAAGAACTGGAATTAAACTAAGGACTTCTTGGCTCTTAGCCTCAGATTCAATCCTCTAGACCTCAGTCTAAAACCATAACACTGAAGTAATCAAATTATACCACAGATGCACATCTTAGTTATAGTAAAAGTTATGGGAGTCACATATATCAATATTTTATTCTTCCTGAAATTGTTGTATTATTGGCCAGGGTAGATTATTTTTTTAGTGAGGTAGTGCTCGAGGCCCCAATCAAAATCAGAACCTCACTGTGTTAGGTACTATACTTACAAAGGCAGACAGAATGTAGGCTCCTTAGGGTAGGGACTAAAGTGGGAGGTTGGTAGACTTCTCTGCCTAGATAGCTACTGAGGGTGTTCCTCAGGCTATACCGATACTACAAGTGGTTAAGCAGCACAGCTGAAGTGTCGCAGCTATGGTCCTGTAGCATTGTAGCATAGACACTCCCTATAGCGAAGGTTTTCCATTGCTGCAGTAAATTCAGCCCCTGGAGAGGTGACAGGTAGGTTGACAGAAGAATTCTTCCATTCTTTTGGTGTCAATACCGGAGCTTAGGTCAGCTTAACTACATCTCCCAGGCATTTGAATTTTTCATATCCTTGAGTGATGCAGCTAGGTCAACCCATGTTTCAGATGCAGACCAGGCCTCAGATATATTCTGTTGTAATAATGCAGTGGCTACAGGACTTGAATGTAAAGCTTTGTGCAACAAGCAAAACTACTAAATGAGGAAAACAATCTTTGCTATGTATGCTGAGTGATGGTCTGCAGGGTGGAAGCAGTTATGGCAGAGCTCTCCTTCTGTGACCTCTTGTCCTTCAGCTTGCTCCTTTTATCCCTTTTGCCACAACTGGGGAAGGGGAATAAATAGATGGGAGGAGCTCAGAGAACAACTCTATTCATGTAACAAAGCTCCTTTGGTACCCTTAGAGAAGGGTGGGGGAGGGGGAACAGATTTCTTACAGCTGCTGCAGAATCAACTATAAATTCTAGAATAGCATGGATAACAAAGGAGCTCTGCAGTGCTGCTTTGTTTTGCATGGTCAGAATCAGAGCATCAGAGTGAAGCCATAGGGGCCATACACCACATCCCAGAGCCATGTGGACAAGTCTGAACTGCCTCTGGTATTTGGAGGAAGAGAGGAACAGTGCAAATGTCTTGCAAGGGGACAATATCAGAATCCAGAAATGCATGTTGTACCTACTTTCTATTAGTAATATCATCCCTGAACTACTTCCAATCCGTTTTAGCTACTTGCATGCGAAGCAAGTGTGACATCTAGTGACTGGACATGGTGATGCACATAGCTATTAAAAAGAAAAGGAGTACTTGTGGCACCTTAGAGACTAACCAATTTATTTGAGCATGAGCTTTCGTGAGCTACAGCTCACTTCATCAGATGTTACATCTGATGAAGTGAGCTGTAGCTCACGAAAGCTCATGCTCAAATAAATTGGTTAGTCTCTAAGGTGCCACAAGTACTCCTTTTCTTTTTGCGAATACAGACTAACACGGCTGTTCCTCTGAAACCTGTCATAGCTATTAAAGATATCTACCTTAGGTAGGCTAAATAGAGGACAAAGCTGTTTAAAATAATCTACTGAAAACTTGAAACTAATCTGTTAGTTTCAGTAGTACTCAGTGTGTTAATAGCTGTACACAAAGAAAAATACAGTTCTGCAATCCCGAAGAGCTCACATTCTGAACCAATATAGCACAGAGGCTATGGAAGAGGGGTAAGGACAATATCCGGCTACACCATGATAATACACAAGTTTGACAGTACATTTTTATATTCCCAGACATAAACTACATTAAAATGCAGCTAAATTAAAAGTATAGATGTCAGCAACTTAAGTTGTCCTTTTGTTGAACTGATAGAGAGGCCCAATTGTTTTAATTCCAGAAGGTAGTCTAATATCAATGGAAGAGGTGCCGATGTTGCAGTTGTTTGTCTGGCGGTGCACCAGGCTGTAAATCTTTCACTTTTGTAGGTAGGTCTTACGTGGAGAACGTTTTCTACTGTGAAGTAGCACCCACTTCCTCCGTTTAGAGCAACCTAGTTCATCATTAGAGAACCACAGAGGAGCCATGCCTTCAGATGTAGAAGTTCTATGTTCAGACGGTGCACATGATCCTCGCATTGTGTTAACAGGTCCATCCAAGGCGGGAGAGTGACTGCAGCACATGCTGACATCCGTGTTATGTATGTATACGATGCTTGTCTTGGCCATGTGGGGGCTATTAGGATGACTCTGGCTTTATCAGGTCCTTATTTTCAGTATTACTCTGGGTAGTAATGGTATGGGTAGGAATGCAAAGAGGAGATCTGTGCCCCACTTGGTCAGGAACACGTCCCCCATTGATTACTTTCCCAGAGCTGCTCTGGAATAGAATCTCGGGCATTTTGTGTTCTGGGCTGTCGCAAATACGTCTATTTGTGGGTGATCCCATTTTCAGAATGTGTGTTCTAGTATCACGTCGTTCAATTCCCATTCTTGGTAGTAGAGGAAATGTCTGCTGAGCTCGTCTGCCATGGTGTTCTGGCATCTGGGTAGCTAGGAAGCAGAAATATGGATATTGTGTTGGATGCACCAATTCCAGAGTCTCATAGGCTTGGTGCATAACGAGTGTGATATGGCTCCCCCTTGCCTGATTATGTAGAAAATGCAAGCAATGTTGTTGGTCATTACTCTTATGTTCTGGTTCTTTATGAATGGTAGGAAGTGGAGGAAGGCATTGCAGACAGCACAGAGTTCTAGCAGGTTTAAGTGTAGCCTCGTCTTGGCTGCAGATCATAACCCTTGAATTGTGTGATGTTGCATATGTACTCCCCAACCTACAAGGGAAGCATCCGTTGCGATCATCTGTGATGGAGGGTCTTGTGTAAATAGGATCCCTGAGCACCTGTTGTGTGGTTGAGTCCATTAGGTTAGTGATTCCTTGACTTTGGGAGGCATCATTAATAGTCTGTTTACTCCGTGTTTATTTGGTCTGTAGATAGTTCCTAACCACCCTTGTAGGCAGCGCATATGTAAACCAAAAATGTGCATGCTGCCATGTGGCCCAGAAGTTGGAGGCATGTGTGGGCTGTTCCACATTGGATATGAGTGTCTTTATCGTGTCGAATCTGTCTCATGGAAGTGACACTTTTGCTGCCACGGAGTCAAGGTAAGTGCTGATGAATTCTAACTGTTGAACTGGTTCTACTGTCAATTTCTTTTTGTTTATTTGTAGACCCAGATTCTGGAAGCAATCTATCGTCATTTGGGTAGTCCGAATGGCATCTATTCGAGTGTGTGACTTCAGAAGACAGTTGTCCAGGCAAGGGAATATTATTATTCCTTGTTTTCTCATATGCACCATTGCTACCACGAGGATCTTTGAGAAAATGCAAGGTGCTGTTGACAGGCCAAAAGGTAGAACTTTGTATTGATAGTGGTCTTTGCCCAAAGTAAATCTCAGAAACTGCCTGTGGGCAGGATGTATCGTAACTTGAAAATAGGCATCCTGCAGGTTGAGGGCTGAGAACCAGTCCCCCTGCTCCAGCACTGGAATTATAGTTGTGACCATCTTGAATTATTTTTTTCTCACAAACTTCTTCAGTCACCTTAGATCCAGCATAGGTCGCCATCTCCCATTTTTCTTGTGTGTTAAAAAAAAATAGTGGGAATAAAAACCCTTCCCCTGTGTTGCATGGGAACAGTTTCCACTTCCCAGAGTTCTAGGACATGATCTACCTCTTGTCATATCAGATGTTCATGAGAGGGATACCTGAAGTAGGACGGAGAGGGAGGGTGTGTGTGTGTGGGGGGAGATGGATAGAAAGGAAAGAGATGGTATAGCCCTTATGGATGACTTCTAGAGCCCATTTGTCCATGGTGATGGCAGCCTATTTCAGGTAGAATGGAAGTAAATGGTCTCCAAAAACAGAAGGATGGAGGGTGTTAGCTCTGGAATGTGGGAAAGGTCTTCCAGACCCTCACCCAAGCCTTCAAATTTGTTATTTAGAAGAAGGGGCTTGGGACACTGCAGCTGGTGGAAGTCGGCATCGTTGTGGTCTCTTTGTCGTTATTCTTAAGGCCTCTGGTGTTGCTGTGTATATTTTGAATATCTATTTCTCTGGTATGGTAGATACCTATATTGTCTCCTTTTTGTGGCAGGTGTATGAATGCCGAGCAATTGAAGAGTTGCCAGTGAGCCTTTCACAGTGTGCAGTACCTCATTGGTATTGGCTGCAAATAATCTCTCTCCATCGAAGAGAAGGTCTTCGACTATATTTTGTATTTCACATGGGAATTCTGAGGAGTTCAACCATGAGGCCCATCACATAAACACAGCTGTAGGGGTGTTAGCAATGTCTAATGAGGCCTGAAGAGCCATGCATGCAATCATTTGCCCTTCAGAGACCAGCAATTTGAATTGTTCTCTATTAATGATATTCCGGAGGGGAGAAAGTCCATAAACTTTCCATAGCTCCTGTGGTTGTATTTGGCAAGTAGTGCTACATAATTTACCACTCTGAATTGAAGTGTGGAGGAGAAATATACTTTGTGGCCGAATAGGTCCAACCTCTTACTATCCTTAACAAAGGGCGTGGCGGAAAGTGTTGTTGTTTGCCCCTCTGGTTGGCTGCTTCCACTACCAGCAAGTTGGGTACTGAGTGTGTGGGGAAAAAAAACTCTGATCCCTTCAAGGGAACATAACACTTTTTCTCTGCTCTTTTACTGGTTGGAGGTATGGTGGCTGGAGTTTGCCAGACTGTTTTGGCAGATTCTATTATAGTCCCACTGATTGGCAATGCTATCTTTGAGGAGGAAGATGTCTGTAAGATGTCTGTTAGTTTGTTACTGGCACTTCCTCCAGAGCAATTTTGAGCCCATTGGCCGCTATTTTAAATAAATCTTGGAAGTGGTTAAAGTCATCCGCAGTGGTTGGGGGTGGAAGGCATAACTGTCTCATCTGGTGAGGAGGATGAATTATTGTTGGTTGGCAAGGTGTCAGGAGCAGTGTCCTCTTCCTGCTCTGCCATGAGTTCATCCCTTGTCTCGGTAGCTTCAGTCTCCAAGGGTGGAGGTGAGGATCCAGCATCTTCCCTACATGGGCTGGGCCACCTGCTGTAGCGCCTTCTGTAAGACCTCCAAGGATCCAAGTACAGCTAGTGCTCAGGGAAGGTCATGGATGGTCCCATATGTGGACTGTGATCGTAATGGTCCAGCTGCCGTAAGTGTTCTGATCGGGGAGGAATGGTGAGGGGAGAATACCCCTTCAACCTCCTCATCTTCATCACTCAAGAACGGTGGTGCTATCGGAGATAACAGTTGCTCTGGTACAGACGGCCCCCGTGAGACATCAGTGCCCAAAAGAGGGAACTCCAGGGTCAACAGATCCTTCTGGTGCAGAAAATGGTGCGGCAACAGTGCTTCGGTGCCAAAGAGTGAGGTGCCAATTGTATCGGGAGTGCGGTGTGCTGAGCCGGTGCTGTCTGTGTTGGCGCTATTGTGCTAGCAGCATTCGGCTGCCTTATAATTTGAGCAGTTGTTGGTGCTGTCTCCTTTAGCACTGTCGATGGCGCTGTGGTGGAGAGGGGCAGTTTTTAGAGCCCTTAGACTCCGCAGCAGAGCGCGGGGTTCTGGCAGCAGCTGCCATGAAGGTGCTGCCAGAGGTGCCTGGAGTATCGTAAGTAAGGCTCAGTGTTTGTCACAGAAGTCACAGATTCCGTGACTTTCCGTCACCTCCATGACTTCTGCAGCGGCCCATGTGTCTGGCCTGGGAGCCGCCTGAGCAGCTTGGGCAACCCCTGGGCCAGCTGCACCGGCTGCTGCTGGGGCAGTCTCAGGCCCCCTCGCAGCAAGAGTTTGGGTGCGTGGGGGCCTCAGAGCTGGGGTGTGGGCAGTGCGTACCTGGGGGGGGTTCCCCAGAAAGGTGACAAGAACTTCCCTCCCTCAGCTCCTAGCTCCACATGCCTTCTCTGCTCGCAGGCACCACCCTCACAGCTTCCACTGGCCGCGGTTCCCAGCCAATGGGAGCTGCAGAACTGGGGCTTGGGGCGGTAGCATTTGGTGCTAAGAGCTGGAGGTTGCCGACTCCCAGGAGCCAGGGAAGGGAACCTCCCTCTCCCTCCACCCCCGCCAAAACTCCCCACCCACCCACCACAGAACTCCCCAAGCTCCCCCCGCAAAAGTTTTAGTCAGGAGTATATAGTAAAAATCATGGACAGGTTACGGGCCGTGAATTTTTGTTTACTGCCCATGACCTGTCCATGTCTTTTACTAAAAATACCCGTGACTAAAACGTAGCCTTAGTCATAAGTGCTGAACCATGCTGCGGCCAGCACCAATGAGAGCGATTTAGCCAGGGACCATTTTCTGCTGGTCTGCTCTCTATGAGGCGAACAGTATGTTTCTTTTTTGTCTGGCAAACACTAAAAACTGTCTGGCAAGCGAAGAATTGTATAAAGTTGTATGACAAGTTTTATTATTTCGAAGAAATTTGAAATAAAAAATACAATATAAACATTTTCTTTTCTGAACACCATCTTCAGTGACATTATTGGCCCGCTGGGAGGATTTGAGGACTGGCACTGGCCCTAAGGTAAATTGAGTTCGAGACCCCTGCATTTGGGGAAGGTGAGAGGAAATCCAACTCAAGAGTAATGATGCGCACTGCATTTCTCAACTGGAGTTCTTTTGGACATTTAAAAGGACAATGTTTAACGAATGAAAGGTCATCAATTATAGTCTACTCTGCTAAAAGGGCAGAGTATGAAAACAGGTCTTGAAGCTGTGTGTTCAATAAAAAAAGTCTAAAGGAAAAGACGACTTTTCTGGCTCTGGCTTCTGATATGGACACAAACTTGGGAGAAGAAAAGATATTTTATATGCAGCCAATATTCTCAACCTAAACAGATTTTAAACTCATTAAACAACTGATTCAGAACTGAAAAGAACTCTTTGATTGTCATCATGGCACAATACAACTCATTTTGAGATTATTACCTGATTTGAAGATATGTATTAAACACATAAGCAATGTGCCCAACTCTTGGCAATAGAAAGTGTGCTGCTGTTCATTCATGTCCACTTTCAACTGTTTAGTAGCAATGTCTTCCAATAGAATGCCCACTAATTGTAACAAGAACCTAAAAAAAATCCCACACAACACAGTCAGGAAAATAAACACATCAGCTTATTTCCTATCTGTCCCAACTAAGGTTTTTACTACTGAGTTAACAGGTTTCAGCAGGTTGACCTGAACCAAATACAATCCTGCTTAACAGTGCCTCACTTTAAAATTTTCCCCATAAAGTTCTTCTTGCTTCCTCTACCCACAAGGAAAAATCTCAGCTCCAGCTTTCAGACTCATTTTCTAGTGTAAAAATTGATTAAAGCAGAGTATTTGCAGTGTGTTTAAGCGTCCAGGTCTCAGTTATGCAAAACCTCATCTGCCATCAAATCACAGATGGTCACTGTTTCACTAATCACCACCCTTGCAATCAACATGAATCAAACACCTAAAACCCTACCCAACGTGCTATCCTTCCAAGAGACAACAGACAAAATGAAGGGCATCAAGACTAAGCCACTCAAAACAGGTTTCCACCTTACACAAAATCTTTCCCACTGACCACCCTAGACACGAAAGACCCCAAGTCTTCATAACCAAAGACTCCCCTTTCTCTATCAGCTATACATATTCCTAGCAAAGGGCATCATTGTGCCACCAGAAAGTGGCCACAGGAATATAGTTACCCAAATAAAGGCCACCAAGGAAAGCTAAAAAACCCACCCAACAACCTGAATCACACTAACAATCCATCCCACAACCATTCCCCAATCCTTCTCTTAGCAAGTCTCAGATCCAGTAGGATTCCCAGTCCAAAAGTTCTGCCAAATCACAACTACTCCCCCCTCCGCCGAATGAATTTGTAGATAAAAAGTTCTTCTCATAAGGGTCTCAACCCTCACCTGGAGGGATAAAATCCTACCCTAATTCCTTCCCCCTACAGTAGTAGGGTATTTCCAACTCAACCACATCCAAAATCTCTCTTGAATTACTTTGCATAAGTGTCTCACCCTCAGAAGGCTTTAGGTTACAACCTATCCTTTTAAAAAGAAAGCTGATCTTCCCCTTACATGTTCTTTCCCTCCTGTGCATGTGAAAAGGTGAAGTCACCCAACTCATCCCACCCATATGCCACTGAGGCAACAATGCAGAGTACAGGCTAAAGTAAGGGAGAAGGAAGAGTCAATTCCCAGGATGAAATCCTGGTCCCAGAGAAGTCAGTGGTACTTTTCACTTCAGCATGGGAAAAGAAACCAAAACAGCCAAAAATTGTTAAACAAAAATACACACCTCCATCCCATGTAATACATCCAACAGCACCACAGCTCATTCTATCCCTCAAACTTGCATCCAACCTTAAATCCACCCCCCCCCATGTCCATTTCAGGTAACATCCAGGTAAATATAAATCTTATGTTTCCATATCACTTGCCACTCTTTTAATACTTCACCAAAAGTTCTACAAAAAAACGATAGATTCAGAAGACAACGTACCTGGAAAATGTCTCTTCAGGCAGATATTTAGCCTGTTTCAGCTCAATTTGTTCTTCAGGTGTTGGTACATTATTTTCCCCATCCCTTAGCTTGTTAATTGTTTGACATGACAATAAGTAAGGGGAGAAAGAAAGCTCTTGAATACGAGATAGAACTATATCCTCTGTTGATTGTGAAATCAGAACTCTAAGGATAGCTAGGATACCAGATATCCATAACTGAACAGTGCTCACTGATGCCTAAAAAAAAAACACAGAAAAATGCAGCAGATTAAGAGACTGAAAACTGAAATAATTCATGGAGAACTGACAACATATTAGACCTTATAAAAGATCGTATATGTTCACTTCTTTGAACAAACATCTTTATGAATGAGGTAAACTTTTCTACCTTCTCTTCTGCTATCATGGCTCCCAGGAGCTGAATGTCCATAGCAGCTCCTGGAAATCAGTTTGGCTTTGAGAGCACTCAATGCTGTGTGATCTGGGGAATGGGTACTTCTACAACACTTTTGTGAATAAAAGTTCTCATAAAAAAACTTCCATACTGTCTCAAAAATGAAATACTAGGGGGGAATCTTTGTTACACCTCAACATTTCAACTAAAAAAAAAGGGAAGAGGGAGGAGGAGGGGGGGTGTTGCAAGGTTATTGTAGGGGTGGTTGTGGTACTACTACCCTTCTGCGCTGCTGCTGGCAGTGGCCCTGCCTTCAGAACTGGGTGGCCAGAGAGCAGCGTCTGCTGGCTGGGAGCCCAGTTCTGAAGGCAGAGCTGCCGCCAGCAACACTGCAAAAATAAGGACAGCATGGTATGGTATTGCCACCCTTACTTCTGCGCTGCTGCCTGCAGAGCTGGGCTCTCAGTCAGCAGCCATCACTCTCTGGCAGCTCAGCTCTGACGGCAGCAATGCAGAAGTAAGGTGGCATGGTATGGCATTGCCACCCTTAATTTTGCACTGCTGCTGGCGGGGCGCTGCCTGCAGAACTGGGCGCCCAGCCAACAGCCGCTGCTCTCCGGCCACCCAGCTATGAAGGCAGCATAGAAGTAAGGGTGGCAATACTATGATCCACTCTAAAATAATCTTGTGACCCCCCTGCAACTCCCTTTTGGGTCACAACCCCCCAGTTTGAGAAACTGGTCTCCCCCATGAAATTGGTATAGTATAGCGTAAAAGCACACAAGACCAGAGTTCATGGTCTGTGACGTGTTTTTCACAGCTGTGAATTTGGTAGGGCCCTATTCATAAACCAGGTTATGGAATTTCTCTTACATCAGGAGGCTCCCCATTCTTCACCATCGCATTACAAGTAAAATGACCTATCCAAAGGCAAACTAGTCCTCCTACTGAGTTCTTCCCTATTTCTGAACATGGTACCAAACTAACTTCAGCAGGATTTAGGAACAGAAATATACACCTTGCAAAGGAGTAAGAGAACACTCACTACTGTTTTGCCATGTATGAAAATGCTGAATTGTCTTGACAGACAGACAATCAGAGTAGAGGATAGGTCAGAAATGTATAGTATATGGCCAAAAATGCATTAAAGGCCTCAACATCGAACAGGTAGTGTAATCTCCTTCACTGGTCACTTACCATTGTACTGGGAGTAACAAACATACTTCTTAAAAGCATGTCCACAGGACGGAGGGATGAAGGAGCCAAAATTTCAAATAAAGTGTTCAGTACTCCCAGAGCTTCATGGGAATCTATATGCATCTGTTCAAAAGAAAGGAACAAATTTTATATTCACCATTGAACACAACAACAAAAACAAACACCTCTGTGTCTTGATTATTTTTAGTATGATACGTGTAGGTTTCCTATGCAATAATGCTGCACTTCAGTTTGATAACCAAGAGAGATTAGAAAACCCATAAGGGGTGAACGTTAAAAGCAGGTGCAGCCATTGCTATGCAGAACATGACAGACCTCAAGAAAGCTTAAATTAAAAGCAGTAAAGTTTAATGTGTATATGTACATACACACACACACAATTTGGCCAACAACTGCCCAAAATCTAATTATTTTGGTTTTGGCTCCATCTAAAAGCAACTGTGGTTGGCATGAATTAAAAGGGACATCAACTTGAAACCTGAGTTAGAAATCATTTCAGATAGTGTGCCTGCCCCCCAAGCATTAATTTTGTAGTTTTACTACCATATTTTCTTATTTTTTTTTAAACACCTCTTCCATTTGCTATGAGAAAAACCGATCTAAAAAGGGGAAATGATACTGACTATAAACAAAGAGCTGCCAAATGCTTAAAACCAATTCACTAGGAAAAACAGAAGGGATGAGGGGAGTTTTTCCGCTACTATCTCTGACACAGTGATCTCAGGTATTACAATAAGGAAAAATAGTTTTAGACAGAAGACACATTTTTTCAGTTAACTGTGTCCCTTCACAATTCTAATGTTCTGGGGAATAGACTGTCATAACCTCTATCCTCAATCTTACAAAATACTCTAAGGTGCACACTGAAGCTAATATTTAAGTGGTGATTCAGTACTCGTGGGTAACAGGGAAGCCTAACGAAGTGTGCACATTTTCAGTATGCACACAATAAATGGATTCAATAGATAGTGTCTATTCAAGGGACATCATCACAGGACCTAACCACATCAGCCACGCCATCAGGGGCTCGTTCACCTGCACATCTATCAACGTGATATATGCCATCATGTGCCAGCAATGCCCCTCTGCCATGTACATTGGCCAAACTGGACAGTCTCTACGCAAAAGAATAAATGGACACAAATCTGACATCAGGAATTATAACATTCAAAAATCAGTAGGAGAACACTTCAATCTCCCTGGTCACTCAGTAACAGACCTACAAGTGGCAATTCTTCAACAAAAAACTTCAAAAACCAGACTACAATGTGAAACTGCAGAACTGGAATTAATCTGCAAACTGGACACCATCAAATTAGGCCTGAATAAAGACTGGGAGTGGTTGGGTCATTACAAAACCTAATTTCCCCCATATGTTACTCACATCTTCTTGTCAACTGTTTGAAATGAGCCACTCTCATTACCACTACAAAAGTGATTTTTCCTTTCTTGGTATCCTACTCTTAATTGAATTGTCTCGTTAGACTGACCTCCCACTTGGTAAGGCACCTCCCATCTTTTCATGTGCTGTGTATTTATACCTGCTACTATATTTTCCACTCCATGCATCTGATGAAGTGGGTTCTATGCCCAAATAAATTTGTTAGTCTCTATGGTGCCACAAGAAGTCCTCAGGTTTTTTTTTTGTTTTTTTTTTTTTTTTTTTTTTAAGTACTACAGTTCCCACTGCTGCATCTACAGCAAAGGACTGAACTATTGCACAATGTTTTGTTAATGGAACTCCAGGTAGCTGCTCCGTGTATGTCCAGTATTGATGCTTCCTGTAGAAGCAGCTTGTGATCTGGCTGAGTGAGCCCTCTACCCTGCCAGGTGGAGGGATATGCACTAATTGATAGCACATGATGATGCATCCAGAAATCCATTTAGAGTTTCTCAGAGGGTTGTGAGGACACACTATATCTTTCTGTTATGGTGAGAAAAAGCCTCGGTGATTCTCTGATGTGTCTGGGCGTTCTACCTGCAAAGGACCAAACCTGTCTGACACCACAGGAATGAAAGTCTTCTCTCTTCAGCAGCGGCATGGGGTTTTTGGAAAGAAACACTTAAGCAGATAGTTTGGTTGACATGGTTTTCAGAAATAACCTTCGCGAGGAACTTAGGATGGAGGTGAAGAGAGACCATTTCCTTGTAAAAAGTGGTATTTGGTGGGCCTGCCATGACAGCTGCAATCTTGCTCACCCTTCTGGCAGAGGTAATAGCATATTGTCAAGGGTTCAAATGGTGGTCTGATGAGTGCTGACAGGATAAGATTGAGGTCCCATTGCATTGTAAGTTTGACCACAGGTGGAAAAATCCTGACTAGGTCTTTCAAGAATGACTGTTGTTGAGTGAGTAAAAATGGAACATTATCTACTTGAGATAGGAAGGCACTGATCACAGTGAGCTAATGCAGAGATCTGAGTTTTTTTCTAAAGACAGGAAATAGTCTAAAACAACTAGAATATCAGCAGTGCTTGGAGAAGGCCAGTCATGCTGAGCCCAGGTAAGAAATGTCTCCATTTAGCTAGGTAGCAGGTCCTAGTTGAATCTTTTCAACTTTGAGAAAGGATAACTTGGACAGGTGCTGAACAAGAACATTCTAATTCTGATGCCCCTCCAAACACCAGCCATGAGGAGGAATGGGTCTGGATTGGGGTGTCTGATTCTTCCCCCTTTCTGATGTAGGAAAGCTGGGAAGGGGCGGATCCTGATAGGAGAGCAGGCAGACATTCTCTGAAATTCCAGGAACCAAAACTGTCTGGGCGAGTTGCCTGGTAGGAGAAAGACTCTTCATGACAGAGGGAGAGTCATTTTCAAGACCTGTGGTAGCAGAGGAATGGGAGGCAAGACGTATCTGAGTTTGTCCATCCATGACAACAAGAAAGCATTGCCATGTGTGCTGTGACCCATATCTCATCTGAAGCAACATAGGGGAAGTTTTTTGTTAATTTGGAATACGAAGAGATCCTCGTGAGGTGGTCCCCGGAGTGAATATCTCACTTAGGACAGAGCTGTGTATATTCCACTTGTGGTCTGCACAGAAGCTTCTGCTCGGGTTGTGCGCTAAAGAGTTTTGAGCATCCAGAAGATATGCAGCTTGGATGGTGTCATAACCATAGGGGTAGCCTAAATTCCTCCTTACCTGTAAGGGGTTAAGAAGCTCAAGTAACCTGGTTGGCACCTGACCAAAGAAACCAATGGGGACAAAAGATACTTTCAAATAGGGGAGCGGGGGGGGGGGGAGGGAGAAGAGAAGAGGTTTTGTTTTGGGTTCTTTGTTTCTGTGGCCGTTTGCTCTTGGGACTAAGGGGAAACGGACATCAATCCATGTTCTCCAAATCTTTCTGAACAAGTCTCTCATATTTCAAACTTGTAAGTAACAGCCAGGCAAGGCATATTAGTTTATCTTTGTTTTCTCAACTTGTGAATTTTCCCTTTCCTAAAGGGACATTTATCCCTGTTTTGTTGTAACTTTGAAACTAAGACTAGAGGGGGTTCCTCTGTGCTCTTTGAATTTTCTGATATTCTGTAAGGCTAGCTACCAGCCTAAGTCTACAGAGGTGATTCTTTTATCTTTTTCTCTTTAAATAAAATCCTTCTTTTTAAGAACCTGACTGATTTTTTCAATTGTTCTAAGACCCAGGGGTTTGGGTCTGTAGTCCCTTTGTAACCAATTGGTGAGGATATATGCTCAAGCCTTCCCCAGGAAAGGGGGTGTAGGCTTGGGGGAATATTTTGGGAGGAATAGGACTCCAAGTGTTCCTTTCCCTGATTGTTAAAATCACTTGGTGGTGGCAGCAATCCCAAGGCAAGAAAGAAATCTGTGCCTTGGGGAAGTTTTAACCTAAGTTGGTAAGAATAAGCTTAGGGGGTCTTTCATGCGGGTCCCCACATCTGTACCCCAGAGTTCAGAGTGGGGAAGGAACCCTGACAGATGGTGATGCAGTTTCTGACGCACCAGTCCCAAAGCCTTACTGCTTCTAGACAGAGGAGAAGAGATCTTTATGTAAAAGACAGTTGTCCGACATCCAGTAGAAGGAAAAGCAGTCTGGCCTCTGATGGGGTCCAGGTACCTTGTCTGGTGTCGTTGTTCAAGTCAGCACCCTGAACCAGAAGGGATGCATGTGCTACATTGGTGACATGGAGGGTGGGAGTGTTGCACAGGATGCCTACTCTCACTCGTTCCAAATTCGACAGTCACTCTGGTGTTGATGTGACCCTTGTCTTGTGAGAAGACCGACTGAAGCCAGGCCTGCAAGAATCATAAATTAAGCCTGGAGAATAGTGCCCACATAAGTGATCAAGGCTATGTGGCCTAGAAGAGCAAGGCATACGCTGACCATTGTACAGATAACTCATAGATCAAAGACTATCAATGCTAGAGTAACAATCTGAATTTTGGCTTTTCAATAAAGATGAAAGGTTAGCTCCCAGACTGCTGCGCTGGGCAACACAGCATGGGGAGTAGGTGGCTAGCCCTCTGTGGAGAAAGAAGTGGTTAGGGACCATTTAGAAAAGCTGGACGAGCACAAGTCCATGGGGCCGGATGTGTTGCATCTGAGAGTGCTAAAGGAGTTGGTGGCTGTGATTGCAGAGCCATTGGCCATTATCTTTGAAAACTCTTGACTATAGGGGGAAGTCCCGGACGACTGGAAAAAGGCTAATGTAGTGCCAATCTTTAAAAAAGGGAAGAAGGAGGATCCTGGGAACTACAGGCCAGTCAGCCTCACCTCAGTCCCCGGAAAAATCATGGAGCGGGTCCTCAAGAAATCAATCCTGAAGCACTTACATGAGAGGAAAGTGATCAGGAACAGTCAGCATGGGTTCACCAAGGGAAGGTCATGCCTGACTAATCTAATCGTCTTCTATGAGGAGATTACTGGTTCTGTGGATGAAGGGAAAGCAGTGGATGTACTGTTTCTTGACTTTAGCAAAGCTTTTGACACGGTCTCCCACAGTATTCTTGTCAGCAAGTTAAAGAAGTATGGGCTAGATGAATGCACTATAAGGTGGGTAGAAAGTTGGCTAGATTGTCAGGCTCAACGGGTAGTGATAATGGCTCCATGTCTAGATGGCAGTCGGTATCAAGTGGAGTGCCCCAAGGGTCGGTCCTGGGGCCGGTGTTGTTCAATATCTTCATAAATGATCTGGAGGATGGTGTGGATTGCACTCTCAGCAAATTTGCGGATGATACTAAACTAGGAGGAGTGGTAGATACGGTGGCAGGTAGGGATAGGATACAGAGGGACCTAGACAAATTGGAGGATTGGGCCAAAAGAAATCTGATGAGGTTCAACAAGGATAAGTACAGGGACCTGCACTTAGGATGGAAGAACCCAATGCACCGCTACAGACTAGGGACCGAATGGCTAGGCAGCACTTCTGCGGAAAAGGACCTGGGGCGACATTGGATGAGAAAATGGATATGAGTCAACAGTGTGCCCTTGTTGCCGAGAAGGCCAACGGCATCTTGGGATGTATAAATAGGGGCATAGCCAGCAGATCGAGGGACATGATCGTTCCCCTCTATTCGACATTGGTGAGGCCTCATCTGGAGTACTGTGTCCAGTTTTGGGTCCCACACTACAAGAAGGATGTGGAAAAATTGGAGAGAGTCGAGCGAAGGACAAGAAAAATGATTAGGGGTCTGGAACACATGACTTATGAGGAGAGGCTGAGGGAACTGGGATTGTTTAGTCTGCAGAAGAGAAGAATGAGGGGGGATTTGATAGCTGCTTTCAACTACCTGAGAGGTGGTTCCAAAGAGGATGGTTCTAGACTATTCTCAGTGGTACAAGATGACAGGACAAGGAGTAATGGTCTCAAGTTGCAGTGGGGGAGGTTTAGGTTGGATATTAGGAAAAACTTTTTCACTAGGAGGGTGGTGAATCACTGGAATGCGTTACCTAGGGAGGTGGTAGAATCTCCTTCCTTAGAAGTTTTTAAGGTCAGGCTTGACAAAGCCCTGGCTGGGATGATTTAACTGGGGATTGGTCCTGCTTTGAGCAGGGGGTTGGACTAGATGACCTCCTGAGGTCCCTTCCAACCCAGAGATTCTATGATACTAGGAGTTGTTGAAGGTCCAGAATGGGTCTCCACCTTATCTTTTTGGGGACTAAAATAGAACATTCTCCCTTGATACCAAGGTGACACTATTTCTGTTGCCCCTCGTTGAAAGAGGGAGTCTGCCTCCTGTTGAAGAATCACCTAGTGAGAGTGGTTCCTGAAGATGGACCAGGAAGTGGGTTTGTGGGGAGGGAGAGTGAGAAACCTAGAAATTATCCATCAAGAATATTCCAGGACCCAACTGTATACCGTGACGCAGTCCCAATTGCAGGCAAAAAGTGAGAGATGATCCCCACAGATAAGGGGGAGGTAGAAGTGGGTGGCATCAATAGTGATGGGTGGATCTCTACCGAGGCATCAAAAGTAGCCCTTAGTGGGTGGCTGGGAATGGGCACAGGTCATGGTAACAGAGGAGGCTGAAAATTGAGGCCTCTGAACCTTCTGATGTTTAAACAGAGCCTCATCTGGACAAAGGTGGTACAACATCTGTAGAGGGGGTGGCTTTGGCCTATACACCTGCTTCTGCTGTTTTCTCCTGGGGATTAGGGTGTAAATTCCCAGTGACCGGAGAGTCGACCTTGAGTCTTCCAACAAGTATAGGGACTCATCCATTTTCTCGTTAAACGAATCTGACTTGTCTAAAGAGAGGTTCTGTATGGTGTTCTAGACCTTCCTGAGTAGCCCCAAAGAGGGAAGCCAAGACTCACACCTCGTAACTATGTCAGTGACCAAGCCACTGGATGCTGTATCCGCTGCATCCACTGCAGCTTAAAGAGAAGTCTTAGCCACTAACTTGCGCTCCTCTATGAAGGACTAGAATTGGGCTCTGTCCTCAGAGGGAAGCTTGTCTTTAAAGTCAGCCAGCCTGAAGTAACTGTTAAAATCATAATTTGACTAACAAGGTCTGATAGTTAGCAATACAAAATTTCAGACTTGTCGAGGAAGACCCTTTACCCCCTGCCTCCGCCCAAGAGGTCCAACCTCTTTGAGCCCTTGTCAGCTGTGGTGATCTCGGGAAGTTGTGACCATGCTCTCCCGATGGCTGCCTGTACCATCAGGGAGTTTGGATCTGGATGGGAGAAAAGAAATCCAGCCCCTTTGGAGTGGATGAAATAACATCTCTCAGCCCTCTTACACCTGGGGGCACAGGAGCTGAAGTATGCCAGACCACTACGGCTGGCTCCACGATGGCCTCATTACAAGGGAGCACCACGTTGCCTGGACTTGTAAGCAGCAAAATATTCAGGATCCAGTGCTGGGAATCCTGGAACTCCGCCAGTGGTATCCCAATATGTGTCTCACCCAAGCAATAGAGACAGTGTTGGTGACTGTTGCTCACAGAGAAGGAGCAAAGGCAGGAGACGTATTACTGAACCCCTGGGCACAGTCCCAGGCCACAGGGAGGGAGTCCCCAGTGCACAGAAAGAACAAGCTACACTATACTATAAAACTAACTCTGCTAATGTAAAACTATTTAGAATAGCCATTTACAGGGCATCAAAGAGAAAATCTGGAGAAATTGAACACAGATTCTGACTCAGGCCATGCGGTGATAAGGAGGAACCGGAGAGGCGTTCAGCCCACACTGCCCTTTATGCCATCAGGCTGGAGCACAAGAACTACTGCGCATGTGCAGACCAACCGACACTACTTGTTAGAATTCCAGATTCACATGCACAGCAAACATGTGCACCCACGTGTGGGATACACAAAGGGACCAGCACTCAACTGAGCTTCATTTGCTGGCCATCTTCAATTTGCACACAGATCTCAGGTTTGGCTACAAACTTATATGCAGCTCATGAGGTCTCCAACCCTGTAAATTACTCTGCACCCATGGACTTCAATGAGGGTTCACACAGAAGCTGGGATCTGCCTAAGTGGAGTAATGTGCAATAAAGTCCAGATAATGCCAGTTTTGCCTGTGATCCAGGTCCTGACAACACTTAACTTCTCCCATATTCAGCTACGTCACAGGATTTACAGAAGTGCAATTTTGTCAGACTAAGTTATTTAATAGAGAAAATAAAGACACCTAAAAATGTAACTTAAAAACATTAAAAATAAAGTTAACAGGCAATTACAGATGACCAAACCAGTTTCAAGTAAACAAATTTCATTACAATTTTTATTTTGTTCATTAAAATAGGTTGTAAAGTAAGGTCACTGACCAACGATTATATTGTCTGATTATAATGCCAAATAATAACGACATTCTGTATGTAAAGAAGAAAAAAGACTTGATACCATATAGTAAGCACCGTGAGCTGTATTAGCTATAAAGTCTTAGAGCAGTTATGGACTTAACTCTAAGCTGAGATATATTAGAAGACACGACAAATAGTTTTTATCTACAAAATTAGTCTTTTGTGATTTTAAAAGTATTTAAAAATGACATTAATCTATAAGTACATATGAAATTATACAGAAATTATTCTTCATTATCAGCCCCATTAAGAATGAATGGGATGCCTTATCTTGAACATTATATTTACAAAGTCTTTCATATATATAAACCTATTTTAGTAAAATAGTTTCCAGTATTTATATTTACTTGCAGACTGTAGGCAGAATATTGCTTTCATGTAATAAAAGCAAAATTGATACATAAAGATAAAATCAATAAAGTTAGATACTAACCTGTTGTTTTGCTAACATTGGTAGAATGATATCTGCTATCTGTCGGGACAATCTTTTCCATTTGTCTTCATTCTCTTTGTGACACTGTTGCAGTACTAGGATGAACATCTCCAGCACCTGAAGAAAATATCCCAACGCCCCGCCCCAAAACAAACACACCTGCACTTTAGAAAATGGCATATTTAAATAGTATAGTTGAGGGAGTGAACAGTTAATAAAACTATCATTTTCCCCAAAACCAAAAAGTTATGCAAGGTGTTTCACAAAGATGATTTAAGATCATCTTAAACTATCAAATATATACTGTTCTCTTGTTTAACCTGGCCTTTCATGTAACAGAGTAAGAGAGACAGTATTCCTATTCTGCTCCACTGAGATAACATTTTTACACATTCAGGCATACAAGAAATAAAACTACGTAAATCCAGGAGAAGAAATTAAATATACGTCTATGTACAATAGTAAAAAATTCACTTCAGGCTAGAATTTATAAAAAGAACAAGTTTCTCTCTCAGATATGGTCATTTATGACAACCAAAATACCTGGTATTTCCCAGACCATTTTTTTAAACAAATAAAAGCAAAATTTTCTATGCTTTGTAAAGCCAAAATTTACAAGTGATTAGTCCAACAGTTGGAAGAATAGAGTATGAGATGAAATGCATGGGGAGTGGGAAGAAAAGCAAAACATTGGTAGCTGGCAAGTAAAAGTCTTCATATATTAGAAGGGTATCTGTATTTGCTCCTGTCTTAATGAAAGGAAGAATGGAAATGAGACATACATTAAAACTCTGATCTTGCAAGCTGTTCTATATGAGTGGAACTAAAGTCAATGGAGTTCTGCACAGACGCAGGGTCTGCTTGTGTAGAGCAGTTTGCAAGATCAGGTCCTAATACTGGCTATTCCAGATGTCTACTAGAAACTCCTGTAGTCTAGATAACACTAAAGGTTAAAAATAACCTACATGTGAATACACAGTTAATGTCAGAACACTTTATGTGAATAACAGTTTAATGTCACGTCAAAAAATGTATCCAAACACTACTTTATGACTAATTATGTAAAACTATAAATTCACTATCAACCTATAAAATTTTAGTTGCAGAAATTAATTTCAGTCTGAACTTTGAAACATAAAAAATAAGGTTTGTTAGAAATTTGGATGTTATAACTAAATTAGAAAAAAATAAAAAATAAATAAAGAGTTGCCTCTTCAATTGTATTCAAAAAGGCACATTCCTCCCATTAATACACACGAGCGCAGCATTCCACAACTGGACGAAGTTCAATAAAAGAAAGTATTACGCTTCTGTTAAGTATCTAGAATAAGCAAAAAGATTCCAGATCACTTCTTTCACAAGCACCTTTATGCTTTTTCCCCCCTCTGTCTCCCAATATGCCTGGAAGGTTTTCTCTGTACTCGTCCATATGACCTCTACACTGTTCTCCAAAAAATCCTTCAAGACCCATCTTAACAGTGAGGCTATTGATAAAATGACATCTGTCAATGGCTAGGTGAATAGTCATAAGTTACTGTTTGTTTTTTACTTGTCTGTAGTTATATCTTACAAAAAGTAAATGACTAGCAATCATCTAGTTGTTTCCATAAAAGCCTATGTAACTAAGCATTCCTATGATTGTTACTATGGATAAGATTATGTCATGGATTCCATGACTTTTAGAGACCGCCATGACATTTTCTGGTCAGCCCTGGGGTGGCAGGGCTGGAGCTGTCAGCCAGCAAGGGCCACCCGGAGCTCTGAGACAGTGGAGCACTGGAGGTGTTGGCCACTCCCCAAGACCCGTCTGTGACTTTTACTTAAAAAAAAAACTATGACAAAATCTTAGCCTTAATTACCTATGTACTCCCCCATTTTCTCCTATTTTTAGTTACACCCACTTATTGCATCTTGTCTGAAATTAGACTATCACTCAGGGAAACTACTGTCTCACTATGTATTCATACAGGCCCTGACACAATGCAGGTCCTGAATCTGACTGTAGCCTTTCAGTGCTACTCTAATATAGATAATAAACAAAGGACAATACTTTGCACTATATATGAAATCTACCTCTCTGCCCTATTATATAAATGTATGAAATAATGAATGCTTTTATTGTTTGCTTTTGAACACTTGAGTTTGTACTCTTATGCCTACCAATTACGGGAAGGGCCAGAAAGCACTAAATTCTTTGTCCTGCACACCAAGAAAGCTCTCAGAACAAAGTCTGACTAATCAGGATTTGTTCAGAGAGGGATAAATGTCACCTGAAATGTTTTAAGTGTGGACAGTCCAACAAATAATTCACATTATAAAACATACACAGACACACTAATCTGTCCACTTATCTTACCTGATGATACTGTATAAGTCTTAGCAGCATTGAAACCACCACCTCTTTTTGTGTTTCCAGTTCTTTTCCAGCATCAGCTTTATTTGTTCCTCGTAATACAAAGAGATCATGGACAATGGGTTGCAGAGCTGGTATAGCTAAAATCAAGATGTTTCATATTTCAATATTAAATGCAGGTTAGTTTTGAATAGTACAAAAACGTTCTAACTCCCAGCAATTTTATTACTGAAAACTAGCACTTAAATTGTGAGGTTTCTATGAATACTTGCGGAAAACTTAAGTCATTTCCATCTCTGTTGTTCCTTCATCCCTACTAAAGCACGGTCTAAGTCACTGTTAGAGACAGTTGACCTTTACCCCTTCAGGATTTTACACATTTTTCAAAAGACATGCCTTTCTCAGTACAATTTATGCATTTCTTACACCAACAGTTCTGGAATAAGGAAAGGCTTCCAATGTTCTTTTTCCAAAAGGAAGGCAAATAAAGGTAATATCAAAATAGATTCATCAAAACCTTTCAAAAATACAGCTGTGTTAACCTACTATTCAAATAGCTAACAAGCCCTAATAACATAATTATGTTGCTATTAAATATTGTTTAGCCACCATTTTCACTATTATTTTACTTTTAAAATTAGACAGAAAATTCCTAAAGATCCTCATTACAAGCAGAAATTTCGTCACAGTTATAGCATGCAAATAATTTTTAGTGATTTTACATACACATACATACACACATGCAACATTTTGGAATGTTTTAAAATTAGATATCAGACATTTAGATCAAAATCTAAGTCTCCTTTTTTCTGTGCTAGCAATGTATTGTATAAAGGTAGCAGAGGGTGTTATGTTGCCTTGTTAAATATCAATTCAGCAACTGTCACAAACTGGTAACTGCAAATTTAAAGCAACTGGTTTTTTTCGTCATACGTTTTATGAGAAAGCAGGGGACAGATATCACTGGGTAGAACCAGGCAGACAGTATACAATCTTACCTAAGCAGCTCAAACATACATAATTTATAGCTTTTCTTCTACACTCAAATCTCCTAATTGCTCTGAACAAAAATAGCTAATTATGCATAATTGTGGCAGTAGTGTAAATGGGATAAATAATATTTTCTGTCGGGAGTAGGTTCATACCTTTGAACTAGGTTTAATATATGAAAAATGTAGTTTGAAAAAATACAAAAAAAACATACAAGTAAGTGTTTTCTGGGCTGATCAGCATGAGCCCAGCATTCCTTAGCACAGCACTGTATATTCTTTTTAGTATTCTGCAAATTGTTAGTAGTTTCACTGTTTTGGCTTTTAAGTTACCATGTGTAACAGCTTTCCTTCCACTGGCCATGATACCATCACACAGCTGAATAATCTTAGGAATTCCAATTATCTGTTTGGAGTGATATCGCTCATAAGACAACAATACGAGGAAGAAAAAGATATTAGGGATAATTGCCTCGGATTCCCTGGAACAAAAGAAAAATGTCAATACACACGACCTTCCCTTTATTAAACATACAGGTCAGTTCTATACAGAGGAAAAATAACCTGCTTATGTTTCTTGGAAAATTCATGAACATACTCTTCTACTTCTATATAGTATTTCAGGCATTTCTGTGCCCCATTTTTTACTACAAGATCTTATTTAAAAGTTGAGTTTATTGAATTTCTCAATACTAGCTTACTTACTAACATTTTTGTTCATATGAACTAGAAATAATGCAAACCAAGGATTACAATGCAAAAAAGAATAGTACCACCAGCCTCATTATAAAGGATTTATTTACATGAAAACAAGATCTGTTTAAATGGATGTAAAGGTTAAGCAGCAGAAACACTGAAACACCCATTCAGATCACGTTTATATAAACATCAAAAGTGTGCTAGGTGCTTTACAAAGCAGCAGGAAGGCAAAGACCCTGTGCTGAGAAGCTTATAACCTGATAGCCAGCATGTAGATGAAGATTGGAGGATGAGATATAATACAAAGCAAGCAAAGTGAAGTTTATACCTTAATTCCACTTTAGTTGTGATTAGTTGTGATTTTTTTAGTTGTGATTTTTTTTTTAAAAGACTGGCTTAGTGTTTTTATTGCTTATTTTGGTAATTGACTCAGATTTTAAGGCCAGAAGGGAGGGACTGGTGAGGCCTCATCTGGAGTACTGTGTCCAGTTTTGGGCCCCACACTTCAAGAAGGATGTGGATAAATTGGAGAGAGTCCAGCGAAGGGCAACAAAAATGATTAGGGGTCTGGAACACATGAGTTATGAGGAGAGGCTGAAGGAGCTGGGATTGTTTAGCCTGCAGAAGAGAAGAATGAGGGGGGATTTGATAGCTGCTTTCAACTACCTGAAAGGGGGTTCCAAAGAGGATGGCTCTAGACTGTTCTCAATGGTAGCAGATGACAGAATGAGGAGTAATGGTCTCAAGCTGCAGTGGGGGAGGTTTAGATTGGATATTAGGAAAAACTTTTTCACTAAGAGGGTGGTGAAACACTGGAATGCGTTACCTAGGGAGGTGGTAGAATCTCCTTCCTTAGAGGTTTTTAAGGTCAGGCTTGACAAAGCCCTGGCTGGGATGATTTAACTGGGAATTGGTCCTGCTTCGAGCAGGGGGTTGGACTAGATGACCTTCTGGGGTCCCTTCCAACCCTTATATTCTATGATTCTATGACTGGATTTTGTAGGCTTAAAGAAAGAAGTATGTTTTAAGGAAAGATTTGAAGGAAAGGATGGAGGCATCATACTTTTAGGTGGGGATTAAATTGACAAATTAAGAAACAGATCCTGCTTGCATGCAGTGTCTCTATTAAAAACAAGGGAAGGGGAAAAAATAGCTAAAAATTGCTTGTAACTAAAATGTGAAAATTGCAACATATCATAATGCTAGTTCCTCAAAACCAGTGTAACTAGTTACAAATGAGAGCAAGGTGCCATTTTTTAAAAAAGTTCTCTTAAATATAAATTTTAAAATGTAAAATGGGGAAGTTACAATCTTGATGGACAGTTTAACAAAATGGAATAAAACATGGATTACAAACTACCATATGTATGAGTGACAAAAGCTGACGGCTTGTCAAAGCTGTAGGGAAAACTGCAGTACTTAAAAACAAACAAGTTACTATTAATTAACCACTCTGCTAAGAATAATAATGATCATCTGTTGGCTATTATCCACTTAGGCAGCAAGCAACATTCCTAATCTACATCAAACTGGAACTCCTGCTGAACAATCAAAATGGAATGGCAGTTCAGAAACAAAGCATTATTTGGAGACAACAGTGATATTTTTAAAACTCATTATGGAAAGCAATGGCAGTAAGCAATAAAACATGCATTAAGAGAAGGCACTTTGGAGGCATCCTGTCTTCAGGCACCAAAACAGTGCATAAATAGCCTAATAATACATGCCCTGGAGTAGCTTAATGCTGTTACAGCATATCCAATTTATTTTAACTGCTTTTTTAAAATGAATTTAGGGGAGTACAAAAATAGTTCCTAATGTAATGATTCCGTGCTTATTTTCTTCTCTCTACTATTCTGAGTATATTTGCTAGTTTTTATTTTTATTAAAATCCAATTTTTTAAAGCTCCTCTAGACTTGAGACATCCCCCTACTCCGTTCCTTCCTACCTCCCCTTCAAAAGTAGTATGTGGCTCAAGAACACACACAGCTCTCGTGTCCCACTAAAAATCTAAACAACATTCCCAATGTTATTTTTTCAATATAAAATTAATGGTGTTTGCTAGCCAAAAGCTGGCAATACAGAGTTTTCACTACCAGAATGCATGGATCCAGAGACTCCCCCAAATTACAGATTCCCTCTGAAATTACTCAAACACAGAGAGAGAGAGTTTTTCAGTACAGCAGAAGTAGTACAAATTAATATAGATTAGGATTGTATTTCTTGCACTTTGCTCCCCAAACCCTCCCATTACATAGTGCCCAAACCCCTTGAAGAAGCTGCTATGGGATTAGGGAAAGTGGAAAACACATGACCTACAATGGAACTCTCCTCCTTTAGTGGACAGACACTACACTCTGGATGGATGTAAATGGAAATGTGGGGCCTTAAAGGTGTCAGAATTAATCACTGCAGGTTTTTGGAAAAAAAGACATAATAGGGGTAGTGGGACAGGGGATAGTTCAAAGCAGCTAGTTATTTCCTCTAGATCCATTCCCCTTCTTAAAACAGACATTCCAAAGAAACAGTAAAATTCAACAAGAGATTAACCCAAACTCTTCAATTGACCTGTGTGATTATATCCCATAATCTTACTATAGAAGGAAGAGATTTTATATGTCTGATTTTACCTGAACTGTCCCACTTCAATGTATTCAAACTGCTTTAGCACAAATCCAATAAACACCTGAAAACAGGATAAAAATAAGCGTTAAGAACTGTACACATTCAGAGTGGCATAATATTGTCAATATTAATTTTTCATCTAAATCTAAACTGGCAGATGAATATTTAAAAGTACATCTATGGGTAAACAGATGAAAAGCACGGCTTCCCATACTTTGCTATAAGATGTTTGGAAGAGTTTCCTATGGCTAGGGTCCTACCAAATTCAGGATCCATTTTGGTCAATTTCATGGCCCCAGGATTTTAAAAATAGTAAATTTCATTATTTCAGCTATTTAAATCTGAAATTTCACAGCGCTGTAATCGTAGGAGTCCTGAACCAAAAAGGAGTTTGATGTGGGGGGAAATCGCAAGATCAGTGTAGGTGCGGTTGTGGTACTGCTACCCTTACTTCTACACTGCTGCTGGTACAGCGCTGCCTTCAGAGTTGGGCACCTGGCTAACAGCTGCTGCTCTCCAGCCACTCAGATCTGAAGGCAGTGTAGAAATAAGGGTGGCAATACCACAACCCCCCTAAAATAGCCTTGCAACCCCACAGCAACTCACTTTTGGGTCAGCACCCCCAATTTGAGAAATGTTGGTCTCCCCCATGAAATCTGTATAGTGTAGTGTAAAAGCACAAAAGACCAGATTTCACGGATCCATGACGCGTTTTTCATGGCCATGAATTTGGTAGGGCCCTACCTATGGCTAAGGCTGCAATTTAGTCACAGAGGTCACGGATTCCGTGACTTCAGCCAGGTCCAGCTGGGAGCTGCAGGGTCCTCTGCCGCCAGTGGCAGGCATACCTCCCACAGCTCCCAGCCGCCAGTGCCACCAGTGGGGGGACCCCCTAGAGCTCCCCGCCATTTGGGGCGGCACGGGGACCCCCGCTACTTCCTGCCGCCCCCAGAGACCAGAACCACCAGTGGAGGGGGACCCTGCAGCTCCCAGCCCACCCGCAGCTGCTCAGGCTCCTCGTTTTAGCACGGATATTTTAGTAAAAATCAGGGACAGGTCACAGGTTTCCGTAAATTTTTCATTATTGCCCATGACCTGTTCCAGACTTTTACTAAAAATATCCGTGACAAAATCAGAGCCTTACCTACGACAATACATGAACGCTTAAAAGAGAATCTGAGTCTGTGTTGCAACTTTATAATTTACATATATTTACATGACAACATTATATATTTTATACAAAAATCTAACATTTAATGAAGTGTTATGGTTGAGAAAACATGGAGCTTAAATTAGCTAATGCAGATTTAATATTGAAACTTCAAATTTAACTCTGATCCCTTGTACTTGCGCATCCAAATAAGGTTTTTCCTTTCATATATAAATTTTACTCCTGGATGAATTCTGTGACAAAAAAATTAAGAATACTGCAAAATTCTGCATATTTTATTCATCAAAATAACACAATATAATTACGCCAGTTTCAACTATTTTTGATAATTTATTTCAAAATACCTGTCAGCAAGTATGTCTGTAACAATACAGACACCCACCCCCCCAAAAAAAAAATCGGGAAATGTTTGACAAATAGGCAAATTAATATAGAACTTTGAGTAATAATTCATTTAAACTACAACACAGAAACATATTTCCCGCACCCCTCAGAAACAGTGCAAAGGCTTGGGGAAGTCAGAAGTAATGGAAGAGCTGACGGAGAGGGAAGGAGCCTGGGAGTGAACCTGGAGGGTTGTTGGGTGTGGATGGGAGAAGTACGGAACATTGGGGGGGGGGGGGGAGAGAAAAAGACGGAGGGATTGTTAGGGAGTTGGGGAGCCTCCCCCACGCAGAACCTCACTGACTCATAGACAGTCTCATTGTCAGGCACATCTGTCTCTGTCCCAGTGTGTCCCTGCAGTCCACCTTCCCCGTCCCCGTGTGGCCCTGCCACCCCTCCCCACACATCCCCATGTGGCCCTGCAGTCTCCCACTCCCATTCAGACCCTGGCTCGATGCGGTCGCCCTACTAGCTCCTGAGCCCATGCCCCACTAGCCCTGCAGAACCCCAGTCTGTGACCACCCAGTAGCCCCGTGTACCCCACTCTATCTGTCCCCCTCATCCCCCCAATATCCCCATGCCTCCTAACCTGGCTCCGTGGGCAGGGTGCTGTGATGAACGCAGCTGCCCACTGGCTGTTGCTGGCACCTGTACTGTTAATAACCAGGTGCAGGATTGTATGACATCACTGCTTTCTATGGAGGTTCTTACAGTGCGTAACAACAATGACCAGTGAGACTTAATGAGTAACCTTTAGCCCCTTCCGTAATAACAACTTTAGCTGTACTAGCTCTACAAGGCTCACTAGACTGCTAGCTGTCCTGGCGCCACAGCAGACTCTGGTGGGCGAAAGGAGGAACTGCAGCACTTCTCAGGCAGAATGTATTTTCTGTGCAGAATTCCCACAGGAGTAACATTTACAGACAATTCCAGCCGGTAATATATAACAATATATAACCTTAATTATAGGATGGTGCAGGACAGCATTAATAGTCTTCAGGGCTGGCTGGATGTTAAAACTTGCTATATACAGATGTTTTAATACTCATTATATATGGATATCACACAGGCTTTTTCTGTGGATACTGCTGTACAAATATATAAGTGTTACTTTTTGCCTTGTAGTTAAAAAAATGTAGTGCTAGTCAGCCACAGACTCAGACTTTAAGACCAGCAGGGACCATTGTGATCAACTAGTCTGACTTCCTGAACATCGCAGGCTACAGAATCACTCCCAGCCACTCCTGTAATACACCCATAACCTCAGGCTCAGTTACTGACATTCTCAAATCATGATTTAAAAGACATCAAGATACACAGAATCCACCATTTACTCCAGTTCAAACCAGCAAGTAACCCATGCCCCACACAGCAGAGGAAGGTGAAAACTCCGAAGGTCTTTGCCAATCTGACCTGGGGAAAAATTCCTTCCTGACCTCACATATGGCAATCAATGAGACCCACCTGTCAGACACCTGAGAAAGAATTCACTGTAGTAACTCAGAGCCCCGGCCATTTGGCAGAACAGCAGCTGGAGATATTTTGCTACTAGCAGTTACAGATGGGCCACGTGCCATAGTAGGCAATCTCACCATACCATATTCTCCATACAGCTTAGTCTTGAAACCAGTTAGATGTATTGCCATGTAGCCATGCTATGGTACTTACTAATAGCCATAATATTTAAAGTCTAAATTCCTTGGGACAGTCTCCCCTATGGACCAGTCAGTACCACAAACATCTGTGCTTTAATTAACACAGAAAAAATAATTTGATAAGGTACGTTAAAAGACCATGAAGGTTGCAAAGCAAAGCATGCAAATATCAGCAAATGCCAAAATGCTTGTTGTCATGCATCCTTAACTCAGCCCCCTAGTACTTTATACATTATGTACTACATCAAAGTGTATGATCATGTGATTTTTTTATTATTATTATTTGTATTACACTAGTGCCAAGGAGCCCAAGTCATGGAGCAGGAGCCCAACTTGCATCCGGTGCTCCTTGGCATAGGGCCGACATCTCCCCGTGCCCAGCATTTGGCCCTATCTGGGTGCTACTGCAACCCACTACACTAGGAGAAGCCTAGGGGAACTCCTCACCACAGGATGGGCAACTCCCCCAGCCCACCCACCCCCCACCTCTGCTATCAGTGTTCTACCTTGCCCTATTCTCATATGAGGAACCCCAGAGACATCAGAAAGCTTGAAGTAACCTTTGAAAACTGAAAATATCCTTACTCAAAGGGACAAATTCTGCACCTTTACACCAATGAGAATCCAGAGTAATTTTATTTCCAGAGGATCCCTACTTATTCAGTGTACAAGATAGATCAGGGGTTCTCAAACTTGGGGTCAGGACCCCTTGGGGGTCACAAGGTTATTACATGAGGGGTTGCGAACTGTCAGCCTCCACCCCAAACCCCGCTTTTCCTCCAGCTTTTATAATAGTGCTAAATATATTTTAAAAGCGTTTTTAATTTATAAGGGGTGGGGGGTTACACTCAGAAGCTTACTATGTGAAAGGGGTCACCAGTACAAAAGTTTGAGAACCACTGAGTTAGATGGTGATTAATAACTGCTAGTGGGTATAAAACTTGCAGATTCATGTCCCCAGATCCTCATTAAGTATGCTTTGGAGAAAATTCTCAAGTTGATAATGTATGCAAATGGCAGCCAGCCAGATAACCTACAATTTAATCTATTCTCGCAATGTCACATATTGGGAATATAAAATTAAGATCTCTGTCTTTGCCTACTTTGATTAAGTAGTAATCAATGATTCTGACAACCAAACCACCTTTTCCCTACTTGTAATTATAACATATTCCTGTTTAATAATCTTCATTGTAATAAAATGGTTTGGCAGTGAGATAGGCTGTTACATTTCCAAATGAAGTTCTGATAATTTAGAAATTATTATTTCTAAATGAATGGTTTTGTGGATTTATACATTCACCCATATGCTACATAGTGCAAGACAACCAAAAAATATGAACCTAACTAGAAATGATCATGATCTTCATAGCCCTGAAGAGTGAAATACAATTTCTGTAATTTCAATTTTAAATCACAGTTCTCATTTACGGTGCTATTAGTAGGACAAGGAAGGTAATTATTTTTACAATAAAATATTTTAGCTTGGCAGCGTCCCTCTAAGAACTAGAGTTCTCGAATCTGCTATAAACTGACCAAAATGAGAATACAGTGTGACTAACCTGATCCGAATCTAGAAGACAGTAGTTAACCCGTAGCTGAACCAGCTGTGCTAGTAGATCTAAAACCTGCCTCTGTAGTTGTACCGACGTTGTTGTCGTATATTGTTTTAAAGCTTTTATAACAAGGGGTTCAAACAAGCGAATGTGATTGTGAATAGCATTCTATGAAAAAGAAAAAACAGTTTAAAGCCACATATTGTCTACACGAGATTCCAGTTCAAAAGCAAACTGTTAAAAATACAACTTCATGTGGATAAAAAGATAAATCTTTCCCCTCCTTTTATTTTACTCTTTCTTTAAGAACGTATTTTAAATACCTTGTCAGCACGATGTTTTGTTACACTTGTAAGGCTAGTTTTCAATTGGGTAGAAACTTTCTGCAGCACATCAAACCATCTGTCAAAATAAAAAAATTAAAACAAAGGAATACATTTGAGAAAACTCTTACATGTACACTCCCTACTAATATTTTATTTATCTAGCATTCGTTTTGTGATAGGGCTTGATTGCCTCAAGTATTTTAGTAAGCTAAGAGAAAATTAGAAAGTAAAAATTTACTTCGCTTCAAGTATTTTAGTAACCAGATAATTGGAGAGTACAAATTCACTGGAACATCTACTGTACAGCAAGGGTAGAAACAATGCAAACTTCTGCACATTGTCCTACTAATATATTTGTAGCCTGACTAACTGCAGGCTTGAGAGGAGAATTTAGTCTCCATTCCTTTGCCTCTCAAGACTCTCAACACGAATGCCAATTAGTGAAAAATAAAGAGAGTTTAACACACCAGTATTAATATTTATTAAATAGCACACATATAACCTTAACATTTTCTTCTAAATATAGATATATACAAAGGCTATATTTTTTACATTAAATTTATTTTCCACTTTGCTTTGTGAAGCACGTTTGTTCTATCCATAATATAGTATGGTCCCAGAGATCAAATTAGTAAAGGCAAGATAAAATATGTTATTTCAAAAGATTATAAAAGAAAAATTCCTGCTATTGACAACTGAACAATATATTATAATTTCAATATGTAAGAGACTTCAATAATTTAAAAACTTCACAACAGCCCTGTTCAGTACCTTTAATGATGTTATGATTTATTGTTTTCAGCTAGAATGTTTTGATTAGTCTGATGAAAGTTAACACACTATACCACATACACGTGAAAAACAGTAACAGTTACCCTGAAGCATCATGTTCCTGCTCTGCCTGTACCATGTTCCTTAGACTCGCATCAGCAAGTGCCTGTGTAAAGTGCGTATAAGGGGCCATGAAGCAGTAATGATAAAGACCAGGCCTCAAATTAGAAGAGCCTAAACGCTGGGCTTTGCCTTGAGATTTGCTGGGGTTTGATGATAAGCCATCATATTGAGATGCCAAGTTTGTTCCAAATAAAGTCTTCAGCAACTAAGGAAAGATGTGAAAAAAAATGAACATTTCTGAAACAACATGACTTGAATCCCCACCCTCCCAAAAAGCATTTTATGAATGAGGCTGTCACACGGTAGTCTAACGTGCCAACTGTGCGTCATGGACTCAAATACTATTTCTGGTTCTTTCCCCTTCATAAACTCAGGAGCCTTAAAAATAAAGAAAAAATACACTAAACACTTTTAGTTCCCATAGATATGGACAAAAATTCCCATGGCATCTTCAAAACAATATAGTGACCTGCTAAAGCAAGCCCCACCCTTGGAATTAAAGCAATATTTTGTCCAGGCTAAACAAAATCTTTTCAGGCTGGTACAGCCCTCTGACAGGCTTCCAAACTAAGCTCAGTCTTCCAAGGCTGGAACAAGCCACTGCTTAAGATAATAATCCCAGACTAACTCAATCTTTCAGTACTAGAGAAAGCTTTATAGTGCCAGTGCAGCACGGGAAAAAAAAAAGAGATAGCGCAGCATACTTCCCCCCATTCAGCAAAGGGGGAAGAGGAAGGACTGAACTGGGAGAGACTCCGTCCCAGCCTTGCTCCTGGGACAGTGCAGCTTCATACTGTATCTTACCCTGGCTGAATTACAAGCTACCAGCACAAAATACTCAACTATGCAAGTCCACCCCAAATGTCTATATATAATCAGTCTGGTATGCCATCCTATGAAAACTGGATTTTGTTTCTACCTTTTTAAAATACCTTTTAATAAGCTTTTACTTAAATATGAATGGAATCTTATGGCTTGTTGTTTACCTTGAACAAGAAGCTTCTTTATTTGCTGTTGGAACTAAGCCAACCATGAAAGCAGGCAAAATTGAGAAGAAACTTGATCACTTGCACTGAATTTGATTCTGATGAAGACTACTGTCTATAATTTTTTTTTTTTAATATATATATATAAATTGTTTTTTGCGTTTTCACCAGTTTTTTATCTTTCAATCCCATCACTGGTTCCTATATGGCCCAGGTCATCTACGACCAAAGTCATAACTAGAGTTTTCCTTGTGGTAGCCTTTACAAAGGAATGTTATAGGGAGCATGCATATTTGACTTGTGCCTACCTTCTAGGTCATGCTAGGACATCATAGACAACACTACTGAATCCATGAAGAGTGGGTATAGTTGGAAGTCTGTGTTTAGTAGGTTACTCTAAAAACGTACTAATTTTGTAATTAAGTATTTGATTAACTTTACAGTAAAATAGTTAGTTTACTTCTGTATTTTTTTTTAATTAGAGCCTAAAATAGGTGCTAGATAAACCTCAACAATAAACTGCCAGAAACTCATCATGCTGAGGGATAAAAGAAACCCATAAAATTAAGAATTATATAAAAATAATACAGTGATTCTATTGCACCTTTAATTCAAGAATCAAATAATTTATGAACCTCAATGAATTAAGCCTCACCACCTCAATGGGAGGCTCATCAGGTCAGGAGGGAAGAGGGAGGATGAGAACAGGCATATTAAGTATCCCAGAGGTCACATAAGAACTCTATGGGAAAGTCAAGAATAGTACCCAGATCTCTCAACTCCCTACCAGTCCTTTAAACTTTGCTTCCTACCCTCTCTTAAATGCAGTCTGTAACCAGATAACTGGAATAATTTGTCTCCTGACACTTAATAATAAAGCTCCTTTAATAAGGGTTAGCGTGTCAAGAGAAATTATTCAGATGGCACAAGGGGTTCCAGAACAAAATCACACAAATGATTTAAAAAGTAACCTAAAAGAATTTATCTATTCTATCCTCCCTGGCCACTACCAGGTTGTTTCTCAGATGAAGCTCCCTTCCCCTACACTCCCTTCCTTCAGAATGAGAATAGTTGTGCTAACTCAGTGCTAACACTGCCATCCCCCAAATACAAACAAAAGTCACTTCCTTACCTGCTGGACACAAACGGTTGCCATCATTGGTTCTCTACTGAAACACGATTTCAGATATCCCAAAATCTCTTCAACGCACTAGGCACAAGTTTAACAGTCATTTAATCAAAATTTCTTCATGAAGTAAAAGAGAAGCTATTACATAATTCTCAGACAAAAAAAATGCAAAACTGTAGGCTTTAAAACCAGAAATATGTACCAGAAAGAAACCCAGAAAGTTGCAATTTAAATCTACACTTGCATACAAACTTTTTAAGGTATGTTAAAGACCACCAAGTTGAACAGCCCAGTTAAATTAAGGTCTGAAAATATCAAACTCAGGGGGAAAAAAGAGCAAAACCTGATTATTTTCTTCATTTAATATAAATATAGTATAATTATGTGACTATAATAAGAGTAAGACTCAAAAGATCTCTAACTTTCTTGAAAAATGAAAGCACTGTATCTTAAATTATGCAAAATTATTCAGCTTTTCAGTAGTTAACTTTAATTAAAACATCATCAGTAGGTTTACTGTGTAGTTAAGTGTGGATATTTTCTCCATAAATCAAAAATGAAAGAATCACCAAATTCTGACTGTGGTGAGGTACAAATGACACAACTCATCATGGACAACTGTCCCATTCATGCTTACAGTGGTTGCACAAGGGGGGATCCATCTAGCTGCCCCAGAAGGATTAGAATGCCTTTCAAATCTTAAAATTCAATTATAATCCCAGCACACTGCTTTTCAAATGCCATATGAAAAAAGAAGATATGACACCCATGCTTTAAAGTTCACTTACTATGTAACCCAATATTTTGTCATTGTCTCCAAGATCTGTCAGCCTTTCCAAGCACTAATACTGGAAGGATGAACTAAAATTTCGTTAAATACTTGCTTCCCTATGCACGTTATAAATATGGCTCATTTCACATTATATTAAATAAAGCAACTCACCTTTCCAATGTCTTGAAGAGTTGCAAGTTCCAAAATTTGAGAGAGGACATCCAGAGCAGATCGCAGGAAACCTCCAAATTTTTCGATGTTGTTCTGAAGATCCAGTGTAACCTGGTCAAAATCGTTAGAAGAGTAAAGGTTTTAACCCAGCAAAGTTATTACACAGTCAGGTGGAAGTTAGAGAAAGAAAAAATGGGTGCTGGGATAGAATAGACCTCCACCTCTAAGTCCTCATCAGAGGCCTGATTGTTGTTATTGAAAGAGCTGCAGTTTGAGTTGACTGTAATGTCCCTTTGTGGACTGGGTTACAGACCTGGTCTTCTGGCCTGATGTAATTCCCATGGTGCCTATATGATGCAAGGGTCATGGGGGCAAATACCAAGGAGTAGGTCTCAGAGCTTTATGTCTGGGGTAATAAAAATGAGCCCTCAACTCCCTCTCTAAGGTGTACGGATCTGAATACCTAGGCCTCAGGGAATGCACCGGTGACACCTCCCTGCTATTATCTGAGCCAGAAGAGGAGTATTCCTCTTGCAAAGAGAGAGAAGTACCAGACAGAATAAGGGGAACACACTCATGACTTGTATATACAATCATTTAGTAAGCAGCAAGCTTCAATATTAACCTATAGTACTGCAGTGTGCTGCACAGAAACTGTGTGTGGACCCTGCTGCTGCACACTAGAAGTTCCTTACTGGGTCAAACTTATTACAGAAAGTCAAAGCACACTCAGGAAATTTTAGTGCACAGCAAATGGCTCTGTATGGACAGTTAGTGAGCGGCACACTGGATCTCTGCAGATTTGCATCCCAGCTTGATGCTGACTAACTCACTGTAGAGACAAGCACTCAGGCCATATCCCAATTGGTACTGCTAATGCTCTCAGAACTGGTAAAGGTACTTTCACTCCAAATAGCGTTGAGTCCAGTATCACGGGAATCCTTTACACCATGTAGGGTTTCAGTACTGAGGGTGCCAGTGCTGGAGGCAAGCAAATGGGGGGCATCAGAACCATAGTCGTCGTTACTGGCTATATTGGTACCAAGGTGTCAGTATTGGGCAATTTCCAAGGTACCAAAGAGGCCAGTCCTTGAACACAGTGCCTGGTGACTTAGTGAGTGCCAGAGGGACCCTTCTGGGGCACTGAACTACTCTTTTCAAAGGCAATTTGAGAGGATTTCCAGCTTCCTGGAGTAGGACCTGGTGAAGGAGACCTACATCTCTTTCCCTTAGAGGCTTTGTACTCTTTTCTTCCCCCAGCCCCAAAGGTTTTACCAGTTGAGGAGGATGAATTTTTAGAGGTGCCCATTTCAGTTCTGTGAGCACAGGAGCTGGTGGAAGCACTGAGGACGATTGCTCAAGATTTTCAGCCCTAGCCACTGCAGGATATGAAGAAGGATGCCTCAGTGTCTATTTAGAAGCTATTTCAGGTGGGATTCTTGCCTTTTGAGTTCTTCGAAAATGATTTACAATAGTACATAGTATGTACCCCTTACCAAGGAACATTAAGCACCATGTGTGCCCATTATTAGGGGGAACTACCGCCTCGCATGCAAGGAAACTTTTAAAGCCTAGAGATTTGTGTTCAATCATAATGACTAGACCAGGTACTGGGAAAGTCCTACAGGCAAAGGGAAGTTTTGTCTCCTCAAATGAGGAAAGGAAACACTATCAAAAATGACAGGTTTCTGAGTAGCAGCTGTGTTAGTCCGTATACGCAAAAAGAAAAGGAGTACTTGTGGCACCTTAGAGACTAACAAATTTATTTGAACATAAGAACTGCTAAGTGTGTATCTATTTACTACACAATGGACAGGCTATACAGTGAGCGAGAAGTGTAGACACTGCAAGTTCCAACTACTAGCCACGTACACTGAGAAGGAATTGAGGGATGGCTGGGGTTGGCCCGCCCTTTATATGCCTTCGGGTTGGAGGGACAAAGACACTGAGGGTGCTGGTATTGCCACAAAGGATACTGCTGGCTAAAAGAATATGAATTTCAGTTCTTAGGGCAAATTCACATCACCAGTGGACAATATGGACAAGCACTCAAAGAGGAGCCAACTAGGGGGGGCACTTTTCTTGACCTGCTGCTCACAAACCGGGTAGAATTAGTGGGGAAAGCAAAAGTGGATGGGAATCTGGGAGGCAGTGACCATGAGTTGGTTGAGTTCAGGATCCTGATGCAGGGAAGAAAGGTAAGCAGCAGGATACGGACCCTGGACTTCAGGAAAGCAGACTTTGGCTCCCTCAGGGAACGGATGGTCAGGATCCCCTGGGGGACTAACATGAAGGGGAAAGGAGTCCAGGAGAGCTGGCTGTATTTCAAGGAATCCCTGTTGAGGTTACAGGGACAAACCATCCCGATGAGTCAAAAGAATAGTAAATAGGGCAGGCAACCAGCTTGGCTTAATGGTGAAATCCTAGCGGATCTTAAACATAAAAAAGAAGCTTACAAGAAGTGGAAGATTGGACATATGACCAGGGAAGAGTATAAAAATATTGCTCGGGCATGTAGGAATGATATCAGGAGGGCCAAATCGCACCTGGAGCTGCAGCTAGCAAGAGATGTCAAGAGTAACAAGAAGGGTTTCTTCAGGTATGTTGGCAACAAGAAGAAAGCCAAGGAAATTGTGGGCCCCTTACTGAATGAGGGAGGCAGCCTAGTGACAGAGGATGTGGAAAAAGCTAATGTACTCAATGCTTTTTTTGCCTCTGTCTTCACTAACAAGGTCAGCTCCCAGACTGCTGCGCTGGGCATCACAAAATGGGGAAGAGATGGCCAGCCCTCTGTGGAGATAGAGGTGGTTAGGGACTATTTAGAAAAGCTGGACATGCACAAGTCCATGGGGCCGGACGAGTTGCATCCGAGAGTGCTGAAGGAATTGGCGGCTGTGATTGCAGAGCCATTGGCCATTATCTTTGAAAACTCGTGGCGAACCGGGGAAGTCCCGGATGACTGGAAAAAGGCTAATGTAGTGCCAATCTTTAAAAAAGGGAAGAAGGAGGATCCTGGGAACTACAGGCCAGTCAGCCTCACCTCAGTCCCTGGAAAAATCATGGAGCAGGTCCTCAAAGAATCAATCCTGAAGCACTTGCATGAGAGGAAAGTGATCAGGAACAGTCAGCATGGATTCACCAAGGGAAGGTCATGCCTGACTAATCTAATCGCCTTTTACGATGAGATTACTGGTTCTGTGGATGAAGGGAAAGCAGTGGATGTATTGTTTCTTGACTTTAGCAAAGCTTTTGACACGGTCTCCCACAGTATTCTTGTCAGCAAGTTAAGGAAGTATGGGCTGGATGAATGCACTATAAGGTGGGTAGAAAGCTGGCTAGATTGTCGGGCTCAACGGGTAGTGATCAATGGCTCCATGTCTAGTTGGCAGCCGGTATCAAGTGGAGTGCCCCAAGGGTCGGTCCTGGGACCGGTTTTGTTCAATATCTTCATAAATGATCTGGAGGATGGTGTAGATTGCACTCTCAGCAAATTTGCGGATGATACTAAACTGGGAGGAGTGGTAGATACGCTGGAGGGGAGGGATAGGATACAGAAGGACCTAGACAAATTGGAGGATTGGGCCAAAAGAAATCTGATGAGGTTCAATAAGGATAAGTGCAGGGTCTTGCACTTAGGACGGAAGAATCCAATGCACCGCTACAGACTAGGGGCCGAATGGCTAGGCAGCAGTTCTGCGGAAAAGGACCTAGGGGTGACAGTGGACGAGAAGCTGGATATGAGTCAGCAGTGTGCCCTTGTTGCCAAGAAGGCCAATGGCATTTTGGGATGTATAAGTAGGGGCATAGCCAGCAGATCGAGGGACGTGATCATTCCCCTCTATTCGACATTGGTGAGGCCTCATCTGGAGTACTGTGTCCAGTTTTGGGCCCCACACTACAAGAAGGATGTGGATAAATTGGAGAGAGTCCAGCGAAGGGCAACAAAAATGATTAGGGGTCTAGAACACACGACTTATGAGGAGAGGCTGAGGGAGCTGGGATTGTTTAGTCTGCGGAAGAGAAGAATGAGGGGGGATTTGATAGCTGCTTTCAACTACCTGAAAGGGGGTTCCAAAGAGGATGGCTCTAGACTGTTCTCAATGGTAGCAGATGACAGAACGAGGAGTAATGGTCTCAAGTTGCAGTGGGGGATGTTTAGATTGGATATTAGGAAAAACTTTTTCACTAAGAGGGTGGTGAAACACTGGAATGCGTTACCTAGGGAGGTGGTAGAATCTCCTTCCTTAGAGGTTTTTAAGGTCAGGCTTGACAAAGCTCTGGCTGGGATGATTTAACTGGGAATTGGTCCTGCTTCGAGCAGGGGGTTGGACTAGATGACCTTCTGGGGTCGCTTCCAACCCTGATATTCTATGATTCTATGATTCTAAGAATGAAACTTACAACACGGGGTAGTGTAACACTAGCAGAAAAGAGTTTTCTTGTATTTCACCTGAAGGACATGGTATTGTACCTTATAGTTAGCATGGGTAGCTTTCAAGACATCATATAACTTGAGATACGATGGAAGATGATAGAAACTGCCCAGTGACGACGATTTGCTTGTTGGAGCAGGCCCTGAAGTATCGGTTTGCCTAGTAGCTTATGAAAAGAGAAAAATAATCCTGATCAATTAGCACATTAACTATATTCCATGGTGTTCTTGAATATTTAATTTAACCACTTTGAAATGCACTGTAATATGAGTCAACATATATATTTAAATGATTAGAACTGTGTTTAAGCTCATAGAATGACTCAGGGGACCGGCATTTACAGTATTATATAACAATACATTCTATGCAAATCAGCTACAAAATAAGACCGCTAACCCATACAGAATTCATTACTGAAGTTCCCAAGAATTATTTTAAAGCAGAACTAACTTTTTCTCCTTTTACTCCTGCCTATTTCTGCAATAGCTACAGAAAAACCTGCAAGCTCTTATATTTTCAGTATTTAGATTTTTGCTTTCCAGAATCACCCACTCAGTGCTCTGAATAGGAGCAGAGCTTCCATTTGCAAAGCATATATACAAACTATTTTTGGTTTTAGTCTCCAGTTTATGGGATTTGAAAGCATGATTGTAATAGCAAGAGGCACAAATCCATACTGCTACCAAAGAGTTCATGGGTTCTTTATGAAAAAGTATTGCCACTCAAGATTTAGTACTGAGAATAATTTGACCTTCTTCTGACTATATGCAACCTTCTTCAGAATTAACATTGGAACTTCACAGTAAAGCGAATTATGCAAATCAGTATTTCTTCCCAATACACCATGTACGTATGTACACACAATATCTCCTTACCTGGATTAGTTTCACTACCCTTTTTAGGGCTCATTGGTACAGATGTTTGTTCCACAGGTTCTCTCTCTTTCCCTTTCCGACGAATTGGACTTAGAGAAGGTGGGTTTGAGAGAGAAGGTAATGTTGCCTGAAATAACAACGTTTGAAACAGTGTGACAGCTTAAATATCAGCACTTTTTCTTTCAACTAAACATAGAATACATTTATAGGGATACACACGTTTAATTACACCTGCCTTTTTCAACAATGGTTGCACCTAAACTTATTAGTTTGGGGATGTGACGCTGTATGATTAAAATATGACCACGCAAATCCTTGTTGCTACCTTTGTTATATAACTGCAACAAATATTATACAAAGTATGTCATGTAAGGTATCAATGGAAAAGTTACAATCTATCAAATATGATTATCCTGTTTGTATGCATGTATCATCTTTGTATCTAAAGTTATGAATATTGACTATACACCTGTATTCCAAGTGTTTGCGCTCCTGGATTAACACCCATCAGGTAGTTTACATCCAGTCTAGCCAGCACACTGAATTGACCATTCAAGTTGATGGCCCATCAACTAACACAATGGGTCATAAAAGTTTATCCCCATCCAACTGGTTTGCCTGAGGACCTTTTAGCCAGAATATACATAATGGCTACTTCTGTGACTCAAAGCATGCAAGAGCATGTGATTAGCTCATGTGACCCTGGACTCTATCTTGTGCCTGTACTTTTCCACAAATGAAGACTGAGAGCCTCCATTCCACATGGGAGGATGTATAAAAAACCCTGGAAGCATATCCATTTTGCCTCTTTCCTGCTCTGAACTCTGGACTATGAACTTACACTAACAGAAGCATTATAACCAATGGACTGGAGACCTTCCAATCTTTTGGAAGCTACCAGAGACTTGACAAACCAGCAATTTATTCCATCACTGCTTCAAACCTGATACATACAACCACTGCAAAATTTTTGTATTTGATTCCTTTGACCATTTTGACTCTCTCATCCTTTTCTCTTATAAACCTTTAGATATTAGATACTAAAGGATTGGAAACAAAGTGATTATTGGGTAAGACCTGGCTATGTGGCTGATCTCTTGGAATTAGAAGAACCCCGTGTTTGATTAAATTGGTTTTAGATAACCACTCTTCATATAGTCTAGTGTCTGGGTGGTAAAATAAGTGCTGGAATGCCTAAGGACACTGCATTTCTGACTTCTTGTTAACTGGTCTGGTGAGACAGAAGTTTGCTTTTGTTACTGGCTTGATATATCTTATGGAAGAATAATCACTAGTTCGGGGTGGGTCTGCCCCATTTCTCAGCAGTTTGTCCAGAATCTGGTATTCTCAGCTGTGACCCCCTGAGGCACGGTGACAGGCGGCCAGGATGCAATTGTGTTGGAGAGGAGAGGAGAATATAGTAATATTTTAAGTCTCAATTTGAGCATAAGAACTACAAAGACCAAGGACACAGATTAAGTTTTATTACTAAATTTCTCTGGGTTCAAAACAGGTAAAAGAATATCAAAAGCATTCTACTATATCCTTAGCAGCCTGACACCCTTAATGGACATTATGCAGTTAAGTCTCAGAATTTAGTCTACATTAAAAAAATGTGGCGAGCAATACCTTTCAAGCTACATTCCATAAAACAAACCTCCCACTGTATATCCTAACACTAAAAACAGCCTCTTTCAATTTAAAATGTGTTTGGGGCTGCATAACAAGCCAGCCAACCAGACTGAAAGTAGCACTTGGCAACAATTTACCATAAGTGCATGACCCCAGTGCTTTGACCTCTCTACTGGCTTCTCCATAGTACAGAGTATATGTCAAGGTTTCTCCTCTGATGCTCAAAGTCTTCCATAGGATTAACCTTGGTGACTTGAGAGATCATCTCTCCTTCCATGACCATGACCTAACTCCATGAGAGCTAAATTCTACAAGAAAAATGAAACTGTCCACCAACAAGGGGGAGGCTCATGAATGCAGTAGACAGAAAATAAACTTGCTCCCCCAGAGGTAGGAATGACCATGTACTTCAATATTTTCTAAACTAAATGCAAAACTTGTTTCTTTGCCTTCACATCCTCAGTCAGTTCTTCCAATAAGCAAATAAAAATAAATTTTAAAACCGTGTTAACTAATCAAACTATTTCTCATGCAGGAAGAAAGAAGGTTGTTATTTCTATATTCTTGGGAGGCATTAAAATGTTATGGTTACTGATAAATGAGAGAGAAGGGATAAATATTAATAAACCCTCTGGAGAGCTGCAACGGCAGCAATAATGATGCTACCACTCAGGATACATCCACCCTGCATTTGGAGGTCTGGTGGCAGCATGGGATGGCATATCCGTGCTAGCTAGCATGGCTAAAAATCGGAGTGAAGAAAAGACAGCATGAGACGCTGGCCACTTATTCGTGTTGCTAACCCTCACTGAGGCCCATGCTGCCACGTCTTCACTGCTATTTTTAGCTGTACTAGCTAGATTAATAATAGTGTAGGTATGCCAGGCCATGCTGCAATCGCACATCTGATCACAGTGCAAACTAACTCTCAGTGACTGAAGACGACCAACATATTCTTAACCCTATGAAACAAAGGCCAGAGCTGGCGGGATATTTGCTACAAGGAAAAATATCTGAGAGAGAAAGATAATATCTTATAAAAAGGTTGAAACTTAGAACAATGGAGTTCAACAAAAAACTGTAAATCAGAAGACAACTGTTAGTGCCTCTTTAACATCACTAGCTTTCCTCATATACACCCATGCTCATCCCTGAACACCCCACCAAAATAAATATATCTGGCTGTCTAAATCATCTCCAACAAGGTGCACAACTCAACGACAGCTCTTTATATCACAAGCATTTTGGAGTCATAAAACGTAATAAAAATCATACCTTTATTGCTGGGCCAGGAGCAACATCATCCACCACATGAGCACAAATATTAATGGTCTTCAGCAAATGAGAAAAGAGTTGTTCTACCAAACTAACAAGAGTTCGGTCAGCCAAAGCTGGCCATGGCTCCTCTTGTCTAGCAGCACCTGGATTCATATCTTCTTCAGTAGTCCAGGGAGTTTTCAAAGATTTGGGGGCACTTGCTGAAATAAAAAGCCCATTATTTAAGAAAACTGGTATTTAAGAAATGTTAGCAGAAACTATTTTAAAAGTTGCATCTTTAAGTCAATTATATTCTCCATATGAGCAGAGATTACAAGACAAGGAAAAATAAAATCTTAAACAGTTTAGAGATAAGATGCTTGCACACACTTTCTCCACACTACTTTAAATAAAATTACATTTTATTTGAATTGTAAATATATATACCCACACATTATGTCTTATGTCTATACAGACAGTAGTAGTATATAGCTACATGCACACAATATGCATTAGTAAGTCAAGTATCAAAAACCAAGTTGTTTTAGGCATGAAGTCTGTGCCTAAAGAAATCTAAAAGTAACTTGAGAAATATGTTCTGCTACCTACAGATCATATATGGGCCATTCCACACACAGATCTCTTCTCCTCACTTATTTAAAAATGGAGAGATCTCAGAGGGTTCAAAAAGCACAGACCAAGTGGAAACCTGGGCTTTATGTGACTATTCCAGCCTTAAAACTACAGTTATGATTAGCACGCGAAAGGCCTTGCTTTAGGTTTTCGCTAAAGTCATGTGTTGGCTAGTAAACTATTGGCCCGATGTCAAGAGAGAGGATTGTGCCTTGTGTTAACAGTGGATCCTTTAGCCAATTAAAATCCAGCAGGACCGACTCCAAAAGCCATCTGGTAGTCATCCTGTAGAGCGCTGTAAAGTGGTACTGGGAAGAAGGACAATATCCTTACCAGATTTATTTGGGCATAAGCTTTCATGGGTAAAAAACCCCACTTCTTCAGATGCATGGAGTGAAAATTACAGACATAGGCACAAGAAGAGAAGGGAGTTACTTTACAAGTGGAGAACCAGTGTTGACAAGGCCAATTTAGCCAGAGTGCATGTGGTCCACTCCCCATAATTGATGAGGAGGGGAGCTTTTGTAGGGAGCCAGCCACTCCCTGTCTCAATTCAAGCCCAAATGAATGGTGTTAAGTTTGCAATGAATTGTAGCTCTGCAGTTTCTCTTCGAAATCTGTTTTTGAAGTTTTCTTGTTGAAGGATGATTACTTTTAAATCTGTTATTGAACGTCCAGGGAGACTGAAGTGTTCTCCTACTGGCTGTTGTATGTTACCATTCCTGACGTCTGATTAGTGTCCTTTTACGCAGAGACTGTCCGGTTTGGCTAATATGAACAGGAGGCTGCCAGGCAACTCTCTAACATCACATTCTACAGGCCACTATCCTCCGATCCCACTGAGGAGTACCAAAAGAAACTACACCATCTGCTCAAGAAACTCCCCGCTATAGCACAGGAACAAATCTACACAGACACACACCCCTAGAGACCCGACCAGGGGTATTCTATCGGCTTCCCAAGATCCATAAACCTGGAAATCCTGGACGCTCCATCATCTCAGGCATTGGCACTCTTACAGCAGGATTATGTGACTATTTGGACTCTCTCCTCAGACCATACACTACCAGCACTCCTACCTATCTTTGAAACACCACCGACTTCCTGAGGAAACAACAATTCATTGGTGATCTTCCTGAAAACACCATCCTGGCCACCATGGATGTAGAAGCTCTTTACACCAATATTCCACATGAGGATGGACTACAAACAGTCAGAAATAGTATCCCTGATGAGGCCATGGCACACCCAGTAGCTCAGCTTTGTGACACTGTCCTAACCCACAACCATTTCAGATTTGGGGACAACTTATACCTTCAAGTCAGTATCACTACTATGGGTACCTGCATGGCCCCACAGTACACCAACATTTTTATGGCTGACTTAGAACAACGCTTCCTCGGCTCTCATCCCCTAGTGCCCCTCCTCAACTTGCTCTACACTGATGACATCTTCATCATATAGATCCACAGGAAGGAGGCCCTTGAAGAATTCCACCTGGATTTCAACAATTTCCACCTCACCATCAACCTCAGCCTGGACCAGTCCACACAAGAGATCCACTTCCTGGACACTACAGTGCAAATAAGCGATGATCACAAACGTCAGCCTATTCTGGAAACATACTGATTGCTATTCTCACAGTAAAACTGCCCCATGGGAATGTCCCAGTCACAGTAAAATTGCCCCCCAGGGGGTCCTCTGGGTAAGCACCAGCATTGTATATTGCTAACGCCTATATATGCATATGCATGGGAAAGGATTTTGGGAGGGGTTGAAGATGTGAGTGTGGAGCGAAAGATTCCTTTGCAGGTTGCGAGAAGCCAAAGGGGGAGGAAGGGAGAAAGGAACGGGTTAACTTGACGATCTAGCTCGGTCCAAAGATAAGAAGCTGACTCCAGCCACCCAAGGCCAGTGCACACAAGCAGACTCTCTGATGCCAAGAAAAACGGGAGCCTGGATTCCAACCCCAACCAGCCGTGAGAAAAGAGAAGTAAACTGAACAAGACTGCAGGGGATTGCAAAAACTAGTGAGACGGTGAAGGCCAGCGAGGGGAAAATCTAACAGTTTAACATCCCTGAAGCTGGTGTGTTTTGGGAAGGCTGAGGAAGCCACAGAAAGCCCGTTTTGACTGGTACAAACAGCACGGTGGACAGAGGTCCCTGAACAAAACGCCCCAGAAGAACCCAGGACTTAAAAATCCTCTCAAGAGCCAAAGCAAGTCGGACACTAACAGCGGACCCTGGATGGCCTGTGCACAGGACAGAACTCTCGTCTACCCTTCCCCCTCTTCTTCTTACGTTACACCCAGGCTTGGCCAGCCTTGGGTTGTGCATTTGTGAATATGAAAGTGGGTTAGGGCTCGGGCACTAACGCTTTTTTCCTTCCTCCGAGTGACGTGGGGGTGGATCCAGCACTCACCATTGTTATTTTATTAATAAAGCTTTAAAACTTAGTCACTTGGTGTGCTCCTTCATCTCCTCTCCTAATGATCCTGTGGCCTCAGCCTGATCATCTGACGCCTCAAGCAGATTGGTAACATAAATCTGTCACACTATACTTACCTACATGCCTCCAGCTTCCACCCAGGACACATCACATAATCCATTGTCTACAGCCAAGCCCTAAGATACAACCAAATTTGCTCCAATCCCTCAAAGACAAACACCTACAAGATCTTTATCAAGCATTCTTAAAACTACAATACCCATGTGAGGAAGTGAGTAAACAGATTGACAGAGCGAGATGGATACCCAGAAGTCACCTACTACAGGACAAGCCCAACAAGGAAAACAACAGAACACCACTGGCCATCACGTACAGCCCCCAGCTAAAACCTCTCCAGCACATCATCAATGATCAACAGCCTATCCTGGAAAACGATCCCTTACTCTCACAGACCTTGGGAGGCAGGCCAGCCCTCACTTACAGACAGCCCCCCAACCTGAAGCAAATACTCACCAGCAACTACACACCATACCACGGAAAGACTAACCCAGGAACCAATCCTTGGAACAAACCCTATTGCCTACTCTGTCCCCATATCTACTCTAGTGACACCATCACAGGACCCAGCCACATCAGCCACACCATCAGGGGTTCAGTCACCTGCACATCCACTAATGTGATATATGCCATCATGTGCTAGCAATGCCCCTCTGCCATGTACATTGGCCTAACCAGACAGTCTCTACGTAAAAGAATAAATTGACACAAATCAGACATCAGGAATGTAGCATACAACATATAAAACATACAAAAGCCAGTAGGAGAATATTTCAATCTCCCTAGGCATTCAACAACAGATTTAAAAGTAGCCATCCTTCAACAAAAAAACTTCAAAAACGAACTTCAAAGAGAAACTGCAGAGCTACAATTAATTTGCAAGCTTAACACCATTCATTTGGGCTTGAATAGGGACTGGGAGTGGCTGGCTCCCTACAAAAGCAATTTTCCCTCTCTTAGTATTGACCCCTCATCAGTTAGTGGTAGTGGACCACATCCACTCTGACTGAATTGGCCTTGTCAACACTGGTTCTCCACTTGTAAAGTAACTCCCTTCTCTTCATGTGCCAGTATATTTATGCCGGTCTCTTCAGATGCATGGAGTGAAAATTACAGAAGTGGGGTATTTTACCCATGAAACCTTATGCCCAAATAAATCTGTTAGTCTTTAAGGTGTCACAGACTCCTTGTTGTTTTTGTGGATACAGACTAATGTGGCTACTCCTCTGATACTTAATATCCTTACAATAATATCAGGTCATATATAAGGAAAGCCAACTGTACAAATACTATTAAAATTTGAGAAGGCCCACAGATCTAGCAGGAGCATCAGATGCCCAGCCCAACAAGGAGAAACCATTAGACTTGAAAGATAATCCAAAACCCCATGGGTATAACGACGACTTTTTTTTTTTGCCCTGCATTTCTTCAGCTCTGAAGCTTGCAAGTATTTTATTGCTTAGAGTGAAATGATGATGGGGCATTCTGACTACATAATGTAGATTATAACACTGAGCACACACTGACACAGCCCAACAATTTTTGTCTACCTGCAAGCAAGTTTCCAGCCAAAATCAAAGCATCTTGATGTGCAGAAAGATCCAGTGGGAACCAGGCCGTTGAAAGAAGGGACAAAACCATTCCAGCCATTCCAATGGTACAGCTCTTCCGAGATTCCTCCAAAGGACTCAGCTGGGAAGCACTGAAAGTTTAATTATGAAATTGTCATACATGTCTTCCTAGGCAATTTTTCAGTCTTATGGAAACTAAGAACAGTGTGGTACATAGTTTTAACTTTATATTTCTTATTAATTAGAAACTATTAATCTATCTGTATGGCTGAACTACCTTTAGTATCTTGATTAAGTATACACAAAAAGTTTCAGCAAAGATTAACATGGAAGCTGTTGTGCATCCAATGAAGAACTAGAGGGCTTTGCTACTGCAGTGATCACCACCACTACTTAGGGAACCTATGGGTGGACAACAATTAAATAACAATTTGCTAATTTGCATATTTCAATATTAAGGCATGATGGAACACAAAATAATGGTTTGTTATAATGAACTATCGAATTAAAATGCTTGCAAATACGTAATATGTGTTTGGATGCTCTGTTAAAGATGTTTAGAAATAGGCACATACTAAGAATAACAATGGAAAAGGATGTAGATTTAAATGTTTCAAAAGTTAAGCTCAAACACAGCACAGAAACGGTTTCCCTTAGTTCTAGACGTATTGAGGGACACCAGTTAAGATTAGGGGCTAGCCAGGTGTCCAGTTTTCGACCGGAACATTCAGTGGAAAAGGGACCCTGGCAGCTCTTAAAAGTCCGGTTGGCGCGGGGCTGGCAGGCTCCGCGCAGCTCCCAGGAAGTAGCGACATGTCTCTCTGGCTCTTAGGTGGAGGGATGGCTAAGGTGCCTCTGTGCACTGCCCCGACCCTGAGTGCCAACTGCGCAGCTCCCACTGGCCAGGAACTGCGGCCAATGGGAGCTGCAGGGGAGGCACCTGCAGCGCGCAGAGCCGCCTGGCTGCGCTTCTGCCTAAGACGGGGGATGATGACATGCCACTGCTTCCCAGGAGCCGCCTGATGTAAGCACCGCCCAGAGCCCGCTCCCCCTAACACATCCCAACTCCCTGTCCAGCCTGAAGCCCCCTCCCACACCCCAACACCCTGCCCCAGCCCAGAGCACCCTCCTGCACCCCAACACCCTACCTGGAGCCCCCTCCCACCATCAATGCACACAACACGTTACCAAAATGAGTTTCTACTCCACAGAATTTACAATCTAAATTAATACAAGAACAACAAGAGGAAACAACCATTTGGAGAGCTTGGGAAAAGAGAAAGCCAAAACGACAACAACATGACCATGAAATCATGGAGGAGTACTGCATGCATCTTGAGGGTGGTTTTTATTTGAGGGTGGTTTTGGTTTTATTTATTTTTATTTAAATTATCAATTTTAATCAGCATTTCCATTTGTACTTCAGTTATTTTCTAAAGAAAGGTGAGTTTTTGTTGGTTGATATAACCATTCAAACATGTTGATTTCCAACTAAATAAACCTTTTGCACTAGATTTGGTAAATCTTTTTGCTACCTAGGAAGGTTTACTATAACTATATACATTTATTGAAGCAATTATATAGTTTAATATTTTCAGGTTCTTATTGGCTGTATATTTTTATATTAGTATACTAGCAAATGGTGAATGATATGTTGCTTATTTACTAGATAATTAACCTTTTGCTCATTTGCGTCAAGCTGCATTAGGATGGTAACTGGAATTTAATTAGACCCAAAACAGCATATAAATTTATTTTTATTAAACAAAACAACTTTAAATGCTTTGGTACATAAACATCTCCTATAAATATGTTTCACATTTACAACTAAACTATAACAAGTTTAGGGCTCAACATATTTTGTATTAAATTCAGATTTCATTTTAAACAGGTTTATTTTTAAAAAGTAAAAATATATAACTTAAAATAAAAAATCCAATTAAAAAACACTTTTTAATTTTTCAAAAATAAAAACAAAAAACCCCAACCCCAAAAAAAATATAGATTTTTATCCATCCTTCTTGCTGGTCAAATATTGATCAGGTCTGAACCTATTCCACCTGTAAAACGAGAAGACTGTAGCTCAAAAAGATTGGCTTTCAGCACACAAACGTCGCACATAGTAAACTGAATGGATGGACTACTAATTGCAACAGTATTGCAAAATGGAGCCTGGTATAGAAAGACAGAGCAAGATGAACTAAAAAGATACACCATCTTTAAAGAGATTAGACTTCACAACACAACTTCAGGCAACCAGAGAAGCAGCAAGATTTTAAAATTTTACCATAAGTAATGAAATTAAGGCACACATTCCCCTTGCGATTCAGCCACCAGAAAGAGAGAAAAAACGCTGAAGTCAAAAACATGACAAAGCATGTGAGAGACTAATTCTGTATATGTGAAAATAGGGAGAGAAACCAGTACCCAAGCAAACATGTGAACTTGAAGGACTTGAACAGAAGCCTAATGTAAGGGAGGAGCAGCCAGGACTGGCTCTAGGCACCAGCAAAGCAAGCACATGCGTGGGGCGGCACACTTCCAGGGGCGGCATTCCGGCCATCCTTTTTTTTCCCCCAACCCCTCTCAGTCAACCAATGAGCCCCTGTGTGAGGCGGGGCAGCGGGTTCAACGCAGGGGTCCCGGCCCGGGGGCGGTCCCTGTCCTGGCCCCCCGTTGCCAGCCTTAGACCCGGCCTTAGGAGGAGCACCAAACACAAGCAAAAGAAGCACAGTCGGCATGGGAAGTACAAACAGATGATCGCACTAGTTTATTACTGTATATTTGGTTAACTGAAAATAGCAGATGCAGCAGAAACACACACACACACACAAATATAAATAAGAACACTTGGAACAACAAGGTTTGACCAAAACAAAAAAATCCCACAAACCAAGCAGATGCACAGCCACGCAACATCTAAAATCAGCTACAATATTTACACCTGTGCAGTGACTGATTTTTAGTGGACATGCAGCAATACACACACGGGTATCCAAAGACAGGATCAAACCCTAACATTAACAAGGCTACAGTAACAGATCTCTTCGGAAGATAGACAGTATCTTAGGACTTTCAAAATCATTTTAGCCACATAAGTGGAAGTATGCACTTCAACTAGTGTGTTCCATTTCTCACAGACTTCCCAATAAAAGCAACTAGGAAGCATCTGCCAGTCCCTTTTAGAAAAACAGCTATACACCAGTTTCCATTGCCAAACACTTACAACACAGACCCAAGGAATACGCCACATGAAAAATTCAGACCCCCCGCGCCCACCCCATAAGGCTTTTTTTTCCTCTACATATTTTTATTTACCACTCCAGAGTTTATAACATTCCTTCAAAAGCTTGAAAAATACTTCCGCTCCCCCTCTACCACCACAACATTTTGTCCATTTCCATTTGACTCACAAAAAACGATTTTTTCTAACAGTTACAACCAATACCAAAGAATTTGGACTGTATTATTTAAGATTGCGGAAAGTGCTGTTATTTGGTTCAATGCCAGCCTGTGATAAGCCTAATAATTTTAGGCCTGTCTGAATGAAATCTTTAAACAACTGCTAAGTGAGGCTTAACGGGAAATAATTAAAGCAGGGCTTCTGATACCTGAATGAGTGTCCTCTGTTTTTGTTAACCAAGCTGGATGAGCAAGCATCTCAGAGAGGTGATTAAAAAAAGCAGGAAGCATACAGGGAGTGGAAGATGGGAGGGATCAGCAAGGAACTAGAGGGCTTTGCTAATAACAAGAATTTTAGTTATAAGCTGGGGACGCATCAATTAGAAGTAATGGAGGAGGAGAAGGACCTTGGAATGGTTGACCACAGGATAACTATGAGCCGCCAACGTGATATGGCCATGAAAAAAGCTAATGAGGTCTTCGGATACGTTAGGCGAGGTATTTCCAGTAGAGATAAGGAGGTTTTAGTACCGTTATACAAGGCACTGGTAAGACCTCACTTGGAATACTGTGTGCAGTTCTGGTCTCCCAAGTTTAAGAAGGATGAATTCAAACTGGAACAGGTACAGAGAAGGGCTACTAGGATGATCCGAGGAATGGAAAACCTGCCTTATGAAGGGAGACTCAAAGAGCTTGGCTTGTTTAGCCTAACCAAAAGAAGGTTGAGGGGATTGCTCTCTATAAATATATCAGAGGGATAAATATCGGAGAGGAATTATTTAAGCTCAGTACCAATGTGGACACAAGAACAAATGGATATAAACTGGCCATCAGGAAGTTTAGACTTGAAATTAGATGAAGGTCTCTCACCATCAGAGGAGTGAAGTTCTGGAATAGCCTTCCAAGGGAAGCAGTGGGCGCAAACATCCTATTTGGCTTCAAGATTAAACTCAGTAAGTTTATGGAGGGGATGGTATGATGGATAACATGATTTTGGCAATTAATTGATCTTTAAATATTCATGAAAAATAGGCCAAATGGGATGTTAGATGGGGTGGGATCTGAGTTACTACAGAGAATTCTTGTGGTTATCTGGCTGGTGAATCTTGCCCACATGCTCAGGGTTCAGCTCATTGCCATATTTGGGGTCGGGAAGGAAGTTTCCTCCAGGGCAGATTGGAAGAGGCCCTGGGGTTTTTTCACCTTCCTCTGTATCATGGGGCACGGGTCACTTGCTGGAGGATTCTCTGCTCCTTGAAGTCTTTAAACCATGATTTGAGGACTTCAATAGCTCAGACATAGGTGAGAGGTTTTTCGCAAGAGTGGGTGGGTGAGATTCTGTGGCCTGCATTGTGCAGGAGGTCAGACGAGATGATCATAATGGTCCCTTCTGACCTTAATATCTATGAATTCTAGAAGCTTGTATACTGGATGAAGAAACATACCCACAGTGCCATCCTACAGTCCATGTGCAGACTGGAAATGTTGTGGAGAGAAGACACAAAGCTTCACAGCAGCCAAACTGAAAAAATTAAGGAAGATGGTACAATGTTAACAGTATAGGAGATAGCAGCAAAATATATTGTATTTCCATCTTTATCATTTCTTCATTACATGCTATATGACACTAAAGGCACATACATACAGCAAGAAAGTACTGAATTTATTTATATATAGCCCTTTATTAAAAGTATGTTATTTATAGATTATAAAAATACTCACTGTAAGTGCTCTTGTAGTTGATGTTGTCAATGCCTGGGAAACTGCTGAGATAATCCTGGAAAGGTTGTTTTCCATAGTGACATCTGTTGGACTTTGCACCATGTTGTAACCCCTGTACGTTCTGAATCAAACATAATTAACTAACTAAAACATGAGTATATAAAAGTCAAACAGTATCTTGTTAAAAATCGTTAAAATTAAACATGAATGATGGTTGAGGAGATAAATTGCACTAAATGTCCACCAGATATTAACAAACAAGATGAAACAATGAAATGCAACACAATCATACCCACATTCTAAATCCCAATTAACTTCATCTTTATAGAATTACATTTTAAACTACAAGCTCTAATGGTATTACTGATGGATGCACTAAAGCAGTTTTTTTTTTTTTAAATAGCTGATCTCATTGCACTGCCAGTGCATAGCAACAGACTGATTTTCAATACCTAACTAAGCTCTTTATAAGTTATCCCCTTCTAGCATTGGCTCTTAGTTTCTGCTTAAACATATCTAACTGTTTCAGACCACAAAGTAGTGAAACTGCTTCCTTGGAGTATTAAATGAAAAGCTTAAAAGCTTTGCAATCTGTATTTTATGCTATTTCTTAATTTGTTTTAGCTTTATTGTTTCTGTAGCACTGTGCACACATGACATTTTACAAATAAGATAATCAAGTCCCTGCCCTCAAAGAGTTTACAACCTAAGACCTGAACCCTGCAACTTAATCCACACAGTAGGCTCTTATAACTGTATGGCTCAGGCTGTCTCCAGACTCAAGAGAAACTGGAAAGGTATATTATTAAGAACATAGTTGGCAGTAAGGGAGAGTAATGGGGGACACACTATCATATTAAAAATTAAAAACCTTAAACACAATAATTCACTTTTAAGTCACTCTGATCCTCATGTTTTATAAAGGGAGAGTTTGAGGTTATAATGAAATACTTTAACTAATATTGAATCATGTAATGCAGGTGGCTTCTCCCATCCTTGGAAATGTACAAAATGGATTTACATTTTTACATCAGTTTTTGTTTTGAAGTGTAAGAAAGATGATAAAAATGACTGTAAATTACAGCACCTTAAGTGAAAGGCAATGTGAGTGTAGACATGTCAAATAAGATCTGTTTCCTACTTCACCAACAAATGTTTGGTTGACTGATTGATTTTGAATGCTCATAGCTATGAGAGCACAAACTGGATTTTTTTCTGCCTAGCTGACTCATTGCTGGTGGTGATGACACAGGCAGAATTCCCAGATTGATTTGCTGATCTAGGCATCAAGAATATGGAAAGAGACAGTTACCTACCTTTCTGTAACTGTTTTTCTTGAAGATGTGTTGCACATGTCCATTCCACTGCAGGTGTGTGTATGGCTAGTGCACAGATATCAGATTCCCCCCCCCCCCTCCACAGCGGTACACATAAGGGTGATTTGAGCACGCACAGTCACCATTCATAGAATCATAGAATATCAGAGTTGGAAGGGACCTCAGGAGGTCATCTAGTCCAACTCCCTGCTCAAAGCAGGACCAATCCCCAACTAAATCATCCCAGTCAGGGCTTTGTCAAGCCTGATCTCAAAGGAAGGAGATTCCACCACCTCTCTAGGTAACGCATTCCAGTGTTTCACCACCCTCCTAGTGAAAAAGTTTTTCCTAATATCCAACCTAAACCTCCCCCACTGCAACTTGAGACCATTACTCCTCATTCTGTCATCTGCTACCACTGAGAACAGTCTAGATCCATCCTCTTTGGAACCCCCTTTCAGGTAGTTGAAAGCAGCTATCAAATCCCCCCCTCATTCTTCTCTTCCGTAGACTAAACAAACGCAGTTCCCTCAGCCTCTCCTCATAAGTCATGTGTTCCAGTCCCCTAATCATTTTTGTTGCCCTCCGCTGGACGCTTTCCAATTTTTTCACATCCTTCTTGTAGTGTGGGGCCCAAAACTGGACAGTACTCCAGATGAGGCCTCACTGATGTCGAACAGAGGGGAACGATCATGTCCCTCGATCTGCCAGCAATGCCCCTATTTATACAGCCCAAAATGCCACGAGCCTTCTTGGCAACAGCAGCACACTGGTGACTCATATCCAGCTTCTCGTCCACTGTCACCCCTAGGTCCTTTTCTGCAGAACTGCTGCCTAGGGACCAAATGGCTAGTCTGTAGCGATGTATGGGATTCTTCCGTCTTAAGTGCAGGACTCTGCACTTGTCCTTGTTGAACCTCATCAGATTTCTTTTGGCCCAATCCTCTAATTTGTCTAGGGCCCTATGTATCCTATCCCTACCCTCCATCATATCTACCTCTCCTCCCTGTTTAGTGTCACCTGCAAACTTGCCGAGGGTGCAATCCATGCACCCTCCAGATCATTAATGAAGATACTGAACAAAACCGGCCCCAGGACCGACCCTTGGGGCACTCCACTTGATACCGGCTGCCAACTAGACATGGAGCCATTGATCACTACCTGTTGAGCCCGATGATCTAGCCAACTTTCTATCCACCTTGTGTCCATTCCTCCACCCATACTACTTTAACTTGCTGGCAAGAATACTGTGGGAGACCGCGTCAAAAGCTTTGCTAAAGTCAAGGAATAACACGTCCACTGCTTTCCCCTCATCCACAGAGCCAGTTATCTCGTCATAGGAGGCCATTAGGTTAGTCAGGCATGACTTGCCCTTTGTGAATCCATGCTGACTGTTCCTGATCACTTTCCTCTCTAAGTGCTTCAAAATTGGTTCCTTAAGGAACTGCTCCATGATTTTTCCAGGAACTGAGGTGAGGCTGACTGGCCTGTAGTTCTCCAGATCCTCCTCCTTCCTTTTTTAAAAGATGGGCACTACATTAGCCTTTTTCCAGTCGTCCAGGACCTCCCCCGATCACCATGAGTTTTCAAAGATAATGGCCAATGGCTCTGCAATCACATCAACCAACTCCTTTAGCAGTCTCAGATGCAGTGCATCCGGCCCCATGGATTTGTGCTCGTCCAGCTTTTCTAAATCGTCCAGAACCACTTCTTTCTTCACAGAGGGCTGGTCACCTCCTCCCCATGCTGTGCTGCCCAGTGCAGTAGTCTGGGAGCTGACCTTGTTCGTGAAGACAGAGGCAAAAAAAGCATTGAGTACATTAGCTTTTTCCACATCCTCTGTCACTAGGTTGCCTCCCTCATTCAGTAAGGGGCCCACACTCTTCTTGACTTTCTTCTTGTTGCTAACATACCTGAAGAAACCCTTCTTGTTACTCTTAACATCTCTTGCTAGCTGCAACTCCAGGTGTGATTTGGCCTTCCTGATTTCACTCCTGTATGCCTGAGCAATATTTTTATACTCCTCCCTGGTCACTTGTCTAATCATCCACTTCTTGTAAGCTTTTTTGTGTTTAAGATCAGCAAGGATTTCACTGTTAAGCCAAGCTGGTTGCCTGCCATATTTACTATTCTTTCTACACATCGGGATGGTTTGTCCCTGTAACCTCAATAAGGATTCTTTAAAATACAGCCAGCTCTCCTGGACTCCCTTCCCCCTCATGTTATTCTCCCAGGGGATCTTGCCCATCCGTTCCCTGAGGGAGTCAAAGTCTGCTTTTCTGAAGTCCAGGGTCCGTATTCTGCTGCTCTCCTTTCTTACTTGTGTCAGGATCCTGAACTTGACCATCTCATGGTCACTGCCTCCCAGGTTCCCCTCCACTTTTGCTTCCCCTACAATTCTTCCCGGTTTGTGAGCAGCAGGTCAAGAAGAGCTCTGCTCCTTGTTGGTTCCTCCAGCACTTGCACCAGGAAATTGTCTCCTACATTTCCTGGATTGTCTGTGCACCTCTGTATTGCTCTCCTAGCAAATATCAGTGTGATTGAAGTCTCCCATGAGAACCAGGGCCTGCGATTTAGTAACTTCCATTAGTTGCCGGAAGAAAGCCTCGTCCACCTCATCCCCCTGGTCCGGTGGTCTATAGCAGACTCCCACCATTAGATCACCCTTGTTGCTCACAGTTCTAAACTTAATCCAGAGACACTCAGGTTTTTCTGCAGTTTCATATCGGAGCTCTGAGCAGTCATACTGCTCTCTTACATACAATGCAACTCCCCCACCTTTTCTGCCCTGCCTGTCCACCCATGACAGTACTCCAATCATGTGAGTTATCCCACCAAGTCTCTGTTATTCCAATCACATCATAATTCCTTGACTGTGCCAGGACTTCCAGTTCTCCCTGCTTGTTTCCCAAGCTTCTTGTATTTGTGTATAGGCACTTAAGGTAACTCGCTGATCATCCATCTTTCTCAGTATGAGGCAGGAGCCCTCCCTGCTCACACGCTCCTGCTCGTGCTTCCTCCCAGTATCCCACTTCCCCACTTACCTCAGGGCTTTGGTCTCCTTCCCCCGGTGAACCTAGTTTAAAGCCCTCCTCACTAGGTTAGCCAGCCTGCTTGTGAAGATGCTCTTCCCTCTCTTTGTTAGGCGGAGCCCGTCTCTGCCTAGCACTCCTCCTCCTTGGAACACCATCCCATAGTCAAAGAATCCAAAGCCTTCTCTCCGACACCACCTGTGTAGCCATTTGTTGACTTCCATGATTCGACGGTCTCTACCCGGGCCTTTTCCTTCCACAGGGAGGATGGACGAGACCACCACTTGTACCTCAAACTCCTTTATGCTTCTTCCCAGAGCCACGAAGTCTGAAGTGATCTGCTCAAGGTCATTCTTGGCAGTATCATTGGTGCCCACGTGGAGAAGCAGGAAGGGGTAGCAATCTGAGGGCTTGGAGTCTCACTGTGTGGTGGTCTAAGAGGGGGAGCCACCCCACATCCCCCTCAGTTCCTTTGTGCCATTGTGACTCCAATACAGAAGTGAAGGTGGGCAGGTTGTGAAATGGACATCTTGAAGAACCACAGGTACAGAAAAATAGGTAACCGTTTCTTCTTTGAGTGATTCCACATCAGAATTCCACTGTAGGTGACTCACAAGCAAGTGGCAGAGGAGGTGGATTCAGAGTCTATCTGAACAGTGATTGCAGGATCACCCGTCCAAAACTGGCATCATCTCTGGACTGACAGATGATGGTGTAAATGATAGGACAATCCAGTTTCCTCTAAGATATTTTTCCCCGCTCTGTGGGGAAGG